CTTGAACGCGAAGATGATGTACTAGCCGACGAGACGATGAAGAGGCCGACGCGAGCTCGCGACTCGAGCTCGCTCGAGCGTCGTCGGCAGCTAGTCGGGCGAGTTCTGCGGAGACGTCGCCTGGCTGCTGCTGCCGCTGTTGGTCGAGGTGCGACTCAGGGGCAGGTGCGGGCTCGACGAACTCGGGCCGCTGCCACCGAAGTAGCCGCCCGACCCGGCGAGCGACGGGCTCGAGTGCATGCGCTTCTTGCTCGAGAACAGGCCCGAGATGGTCGTCGACGCGCGACGTTGAAGCTTGACGGCTGCGCTCGCCGGCACGAGGCTCGGCGACGACGAGGCCGTGTCGCTCGCGTGGATCGTCGGGCTGCGCAGCGTCAAGCTCTCGTCGGACGCCGACGGCGACGTGCGGGTCGGGAACGCCGGCGGGACGAGGCCGAGCGTGCTCTTGCGACGGCGGATGCGGAACACGTTCGACACGCCGTCCGACACGGTCGACCACCGAGCCCAGGCGTGCTGCGTCGGCGGCGGTGCGACAGGGAATGCGGCCTTGTTGCCCGAGCCCAACGACGGCGGCGGCGGCGGGCAGAGCGCGTCGGCGAGCTCGACCGTGCCAAAGTCGGGCGAGGGCGGGATCGACGACGGCGGCGTGTCGATGACCTGCATGCCGTGCGCGTGCGACGACGACGAGTTGGTGCCCGTCCCGGACGACGACGTCGTCGACGAGACCGAGTTGTTGCGCTCGACGTCGGCGGTGCTGCCGCTCGTGGCGGCGGGGCTCGACGCCGTCACCTTGCCCGGCGCGGCCGTCGAGGCTGCGACGGCGTCGTCGGGGATCTCGCGCGAGGTCGGCAGCGAGGTCGGCGTCGCGTCGACCGAGGCGACTCGCCGCAGCTGCCCGCCGAGACCACCGTCCCGGTCGCGCTCGCGCTCGCGCCCGCCGCGCCGGCTCCAGCTCGCGCCGGCCGACAAGGGCGGCGCCTGCCCCCGCTTGCCCGAGCGCTCGGCCAAGGCCGTGTCGATGTCCGACAAGGCCGGGCGCGGGCGCGACGCGCTCGCGCTCGAGCTCGTGCCGGCGCCGCCGCCGTGCGGGAGCGGTCTTGTGGCCGGCCTTGCGGATCGCGTTGGCCCAGCTGCGGCCGCGCTCCTTGTCGGGCGCCGTCGTCGCGACCGTGAGCCCGGCGAGGCCGAGACCGGGCGCCTTGTTGTGGTGGTACAGCGCCGCCTGGGCCGCGTCGAACCCGATGGCGCCGCGGAACTCGGCGCGCTCGGCGAGCGCGAGGCCGACCTCGGCCGACGACATGCGGCGGCGCTCGCGGACCGACCCTGCCGGGCCGTGGAGCGTCTTGTGCTACGAGAACGGCGGCGACGCTGACGAGCTGTGCGAGCTAGCCGGCGCGAGCGTCGTCATGCTGCGCTTCGGGCCCGAGATGGTGCGGAAGCGTCGACTTGCGAGCGATGCCGCCCGCTCGAGCTCGACCTCTCGCGCCGCCTGCGCACGGGCCGAGAGACACTCCTCGGAGAAGACGTCGGCGAGGCGCAGGTCGACGGCCGCACGCTGCGAGGCGGGCGTGCGGCCGAGAAGGAGGGACGACGCCGTGCTCGAGAACCGAGAGCGCGAGGCGAGGGTGGGTGTGGTCGCGAGCGTGAGGGTGCTGCTTGGCGGCGAGAGGACGGGCGCGAGGGGTGCCGAGGTCGAGAGAACGGCGGCAGGAGGCGAGGGCGACGGCGTCTTGACGAGCTCGGCGTACTCGATCGGGACGGGCGGGACGGGTTCTTCCTGCACGAGGACAGGGCTGCTCGACGACGACGGCGCGTGGCTGCTGCTCGAGCCGCCGAACGTCGACACGACCGAGATCGAGCTTGCCGACCGCGAGTGCGACCGGCGCTGGGCGACGGCGGCGTCGGTCGCGACGCTCGACACGACCGAGTCGTCGAACAACGTCGGCTTGCCGTGCTCGTCGCGGTCCTGCGTGTCCCATATGCGCCGAGCGTCGGCCTGGGCGGCAAGGAGCTGCGACAGCCAGACGCTGCGCTCGCCGTCGCAGAGAGCGCCGAGCTCGAACTGGTGGTCGCGATAGCTGAGGCGGATGCTGTGCGACAGGAGGCCTGCAGGGGCCGACGACGAGGAACGTCAGGTCGCCGCACGACGATGCGCGGCAGGATGGGGGAGAAGAGAGACAAGCCGACGCACCTTGACCGTCGTCGACGCCCTGGATGTCGAACAGGCGCAGCGGCAGCCACTCCTTGGGCTCGTAGCTCGCGCGCTTCTTGACCTTGGCCATGACGAGGTGCGACCGGTACAGGAAACAGCCGAGGTACTTGACCTTGAGGACCTCGCCGGGATGCTGCACGCCGGCGGTCGCCGCGATTGGCGCAGGCGGGGCGAGCGGGCCGCCCGAGTGGACGACGTGCAGCGCACCAACGAGGAGGGTCGGCCCGAGGATGTCGCAGAACGTGCCGCCGACGAGCGGCGTGTTGAACTCCATGCGGCGGGCGACGACCTTGGTGCGCATCTCGCCCTCTCGCTCACGCTTGGCCGCGTCGACGCCCTGCGCGACCCGCTTGAACGCGGTCCAGGTGGACGTGAGGTCGGCGTGCTCGGGCGAGCCGACAAAGAACTTGGCGAGCTGGCCGAACACGAGCGGGTACCGCGTCACGCGCTGGACGGGCGCGATGGCGTAGTCGACGAAGCGCAGGCGCGACGTGCGGCTGATCGACGACGCCGCAGAGGGCACGAGGGACGCCATAGTCGGCACGCTGCCGGACGAGTGGCTCGGCGTCGCGAGGGGCGTTGCCGAGAAGGGCAGAGGTGACGCCGAGGTGGCCGCCGAGACGGGAGGGAAGAAGCCCGACGAGTTTGCCGACGCGATGGGCGTCCGGTCGCCGCGCCCGCCGTCGAGGGCGACACGAGCGGCGCACTGACGCTCGAACGCCTCCCACTCGGGCCTCGACGCGACCGAGCGAGTGATGTCGAGCGCCTCGGCGTGACGAGCGCAGAACTCGTGGTACAGGACGAAGCTTGACGCCTGTGACGTGAACACGAGGAAGGAGGTGAGCTCAGTGCGAGACGAGGCTAGAGAGAGAGAGAGAGAGAGAGAGAGCGGGACGCACCTCGTCGGCAAAGATGCTGGCGATCCGACCGGGCCGCCTTTCTCGTCTTGAACGACTTGTCGCGCTTGCCGTCCCGACCGACCTGGGTCGCCCTCGACGCGTCGTCGCGCACGAGAGCTCGCGCTCGACCTGGTCGACGCGGTCGGCGATGATATTTAGCGCTTTAGGAGCTTGTTGGCGTTGCGGACGACGGTCTGGACCTCGGCGGCCGTGAGGGCGGTGAGGAACGGGAGGGTGCGGAAGTAGACCTGCGAGGGAGGGACATCGGCCGAGAGAGGAGGGAGGGGACGGGGCAAGGACGATTAGTTCCGTGTTTTGCGTGCGAGGGAGGCTGCCAAGATCGAGGAGGAGCCTCGGCGCAAAGTGGTTCGACGCGGCGTTTTCTCCGGATGTGGGGAAAATGAAAGCCCACCTGGACGAGGACGCGCAGATGTTCCAAGTAGCCGCGCTCCGTGTCGACGAGCTCGACGAGAGCGTGGTACCGGCGCTCGTCGAGCTGGGCCGCGTCGGCTCGCTCCTTGGCGTCGGCGTCGGCGAGCGCGGCTGCCGCCGCCGTGACGTCGTCGGCGACGAGGTCCGAGTCGTACTCGAAGGCGGCACGAGTCGAAGAGGACGAGGTGGGCCCGAGGGCGAGGGCGGCGCCGGCGAGTGGGAGGGGGACGGTCGCGGCGGTGGGCGACGAGGCGGCAGTTGGGGCGGGCGACGAAAAGTACGACGACGCCTCGCTGACCGGGGCGTACGAGAAGAGGGAGAGGTCGGGCGCAGAGGCCGAGGTCGAGGAGCGATAGACGAGGGGAGGGGGAACGCGGGCCGTTGTGCCGGCGTCGTGGTCCCGGGCAGCCGCGTCGTCGCCGTTGGGCCAGGCGGCCGGCGGCGAGAGCGGGGCGGTCGGTGGGACGAGGGCGAACGAGGGCGACAGGGGGCCGCCGAGGGCGATGTCGGGGAGGATGGGCGGCGACGAGGCGGAGCGAGTGAGGCCGGGCGAGACGGCGGTCGAGGGAAGTGGGGACGCCGGGATGGGGGGAAGGAAGGGTAGGCGGAGCGAGTGTCGGAACAGCGGGGCGGGCGAGGCGCGATTCAGACGGGACGAAGAACCCTTGGCGGCGACGGCGGCGAATGGCCCGTCTGCAGAAGACGAGCGCGCCCGAGTGGGGGCGGCCGGCGCTGCCGACTCGGTCGCTGCATGCGCTCGACCACCGGCCGGATCGCGCTCGTCGCTGGCCCCGCTGCGGCTGCGCGACGCGGCTGATGGCGACGCCGACGACGCCCGCGTCGTCGATTTGCGCGGCGCGAGCGCGAGCTGCGAGAGGTGGCTCGACCAGGCCGACGCCGGGATGTAGCTCGACGCCGGCCGCTGCTGGGCCCTGCGAGTCGCCGTCGCCGCGCCGGTGGCGCCGTCTCGAGGCAAGTCGTCGGCGGCGGGGCTGACCGGGTCGGCGGAGCGGCCGCGGCGGCGAGCGGCGAAGAAGAGGGGCTCATCGAGGTCGTCCAGCTCGGGCGAGGGCTGCTGCTCGAGGTGGAAGTGGGCGTCGAGCTGGGCGTGCAGGCGGCGGACGTGGTCGTGCTGCGAGTCGTGGTCGGTGTCGCCCGCGCGCTGGTGGTGCTGGACGGCCGAGGCGAGGGGCTTGGGCTCGCCGCTCGAATCGGCCGCCGGGAGAGCATCGCGAGACGCGCCCCCTGGCGGCGCACCCGCGGGTGGTGGGTCGTCTCCCGGTGCACTGGTGGACGGTGCACCGAGGGCGGCACTCGAGAGAGCCCTCATGCTCCTGCACGCGGCGCGAGGAGCGGGCGGGACGACGAGGCGAGGGGAGGAGGGGGCGAGGGTGCGGGTCAGCGCGGGTTCAACGAGCGCGCAAGCTCGCACGAGGACCCAGGGGAGGGTGTCAAGGACAGAGACGCACCTCGAGGTAGTCGTGCGCTGTGGAAAGGCGTCGGCGGGTTGCTAGGCAGGGCGCCCTCGTTGACGGCGAGGCGAGAGGAGCGCGCGAGGCGGAGCGAGAGGCGGGGGGGCTCGGTTTCGCGCCAACAGCTGGCCGCGCTCGCCTGCGATGCGGTTCAGCCTCGCAGCGACGGCGAGAGCTCGTGCGGGCGCACAGGTGCAAGGCAGCAGCTCGACCTCGCACGCCGAGCGCGAGTGCGATCCGTCGTGATCCTCCTCGTTTCGTCCAGCTCCGACCCCGGCCGACTTTCCTCGCTCGACGCTGGCACTGCGCTCCGCTGCGATCGCTGCCCTCTGAGTCTCGAGCTGGCCTCGCTCGCGTCTCTCCTGCAGCTAACATTCGCGTCCGCGCCCTCTGTGCTCACTCTCTCCTCCTCGTCGTCGACCGTCGGCGAGACAGCTCTTGCTCGTCCGTCCACCCCGGGTTCCGACCTCCGGATCTACATCGATCGCCCCAACGACGCACCCAAGTTGGCGTCCCGATGACCCGGCTTGCCAATCGCGACGAGCTGCGCGGCTGGGCGTCGGCGCACGCTTCGCTCGACTTGCCGCCAGGTGGCACGCTGTCTTTCTCCAGCTCCAAGCTTCTCGCTCAAGCGCTCGGCTCGGGACCATGTTCGCTGCTCGCTCGGTCACGCAACGTACTTCCACCTATCGAGAGGCAGTCTCGCGCCGTCGCGCTGCCGTCGGCCGCTCGCTCGCCGCGACGGCTGCCAAGTCACGCGCACCCGGCGGCTGTCGCGGGTTAAAGCCTCCCAGCCACAAGAGAGAGTGCAGGCTTCACGGCTTGGCTTGAGAGGAGAGCCGGCCCGCCCGCTCCGCGAGGAAACCAGAGCCTTTCGCTCCCCCACGTCTCGCGCCGTCCTGTCGCTTCCTCGGCCGAGATGCAGAGAGGACAGGCTCCCTTGCACTTGAGCAGAAGCGTCGGTCGAAGCGGGGCTGCCGAGAGCGGACGAGGGAGAGCAACTCTCGAGCGGGACCTTCTCAAGCGCGAAAAGGCGAGAAAATGCTCATGCGCAGTGCACAACACGCCGTCCCTCTCTGCGTACAACAGTCCACCTCGCGCCGTCCCTCCCCTGACACTCGACCGCCCCCGCTTAGCCCTGGATCACCCTCGGCTTGTTGGCGACGCCGCCAAACTCGGGCCGCACCTTCTTGCCGCCCTTGTGGCCCTGCCGGCGCCCGAGCGCGCCGTGCACGGGCAGCTTGACGAGCTGTTTGCGCTGCTGCTGCTGCTGCTGCTGCTGCTGCTGCTTCTGCTGAGCTTGGGGCGACCGCGCCTGAGCGGGCGAGGCTGCCGGCGACGAGGCGGTCGCGACCTGCGGCGGCTGCGGGCCCGTGACGAACGGGATCCGGACGGGCACAGGCGGCGACGAGCTGCGCCGCACCGCGTCCGGGGACGCACGTGCGCGCTTGGCCGCAGGCGACTGGGCGGGCGACGCGACCGCGCCGTTCTGGCTCGCGAGGCTGTCCCGCGGGCGCTTGCCCGACGCGCCGCCGCCGCCGCCGTTGACCTTGGAGGGCACGCCGGCCGCCGCAGGCGCACCGTTGACGGCCTGGCGCAGGGCGTCGCCTCGCTCGCGGATGTAGAACAGGACGTAGGCGTTGCGCTCGCCGAGAGGGGCCTTGCCGCCAGGGACCGGGCTGACAAAGTCGTCGTTCATGTCGTACCAGCGCTCGTCGGCGGCCCGGACGTACGACGTGTAGTGGCCCGAGTGCGGGCCCGAGCCCGAGTGGAGGATGAGGCCGTACAGGCGGTACGACGGGCCCGAGTCCGAGTTGACCTGCGCGAGGGGAGGGGCGGGGGGCGAGCGTCAGGATCACGACGACGAGGACGAGGAACACGGGAGAGAGGTAGACGCACCGACGACATGTAGGGACCGAGCTTGAGCTGCTCGGGGTACTTGAGCGGGTACGCGAGCTTGCGGCCGGTCGGCGTGAAGCGCTTGAGGTGGATCGTGAGGACGAGCGGCGCCTCGTCGATCGTAAAGTTCTTCTCGGCGTTGACGAGCTTCTTGCACCTGTGTGGAGATGGCGTGTCAGGGCGAGGACGACGACGACGTCGGCGAGAGGAGGGGGAAGAGTCGGACGCACTTCTCGCACTTGTACTTGTTCTGGCCCGTCAGCTTGTCCTTGCGGACGAGGTTCTCGAGAGCGTCCTTGAGGCTGTTGGCGCGACCGCCGGCGAGGTCGAGCGAGAGGTCGAGGATCGAGTCGAACGTGTCGCTGTTGTGCTCGCACGCAAGGCAGTGCACACGCGAGCGCAGGCGGCCGCCGAACAGCTGGTGGATGAACGTCGTCTCCTTGACCTTCTGCTCGAGTTTCCTGAGAGCGTGGCGGAGCGAGTGTGAGTGACGAGGACAGGCTTGACGAGGCTCGTCGCGAGAAGAGAAAGAGAGAGGGACGCACGGGCTCTTGCCGGCGAGGGCAGTTGCCGCCATGGCGTCGATGAAGAAGCGCAAGAACTCGTGCGAGTCTTCTTGCCGACCGATGCGGAAATGCCGAGCGATACCTGCACGGTGTGACGAGGTCAGGATGGGTCGCGAAGGTGGTTGCGAAGAGGGAGAGACTCGACGCACCCTTGAGGTGGTTGACGACGACCTTGGGTTGGTACGAGCGCTTGCCCGGAGCAAAGGACTGCTTGACCAGCATCTTCATGGCGCACGTCATGCACCAGCCCTTCTTTTGCACCATGACGCCTGTCGACGATGGGGGACGACGAGGTCAGGCTGAGGATCACGGGGCGACCGTGCCGGACGGCTCGACGAGGAGCAAGAGTGGAAGACGCACAGTTGGCGTGCGAATGGCCCTGGCCCTCGAGGTAGCGGACGAGTGGCGGCGTGTGGAGGAGGACCTGGAGGGCCGAGTTGAGGAAGCACGTGTTGCCCATGTTTTGGAGGCCTGCGCCGACCGGGTGCTTGCGAGCCCAGCCGACCGACGTGTCGATAACGGGGAAGACGGCGGAAGCACGGGCAGGCGTGGGCGAGTCGGTCGAGTTGGCCGATGCGCCGGGAGGGGCATGGGGCGCCTTGGACGTCGAGGCGACAGGCGAGCCGTGGGTCGAGCCGTTCGAGAGCTTGGCGACAGATGCAGGGGCCGGCTGCAGGTACGCGTGGGGCGAGGGAGGGGTCGCAAGACAGTCAGCGACGCGTCGCCGACGGCGAACGAGGACGCGAGGAGGGCTCACCTTTGGGGCGTTGATGGGCACGTACGGGACGACGTCGTCGCGAGTGTTTGTGCTCGCGTGGACGAACTCGACCGGGTGCTCGAGGAGGCTGGCGAGGGTGATGGGCCTCGCGGCGGTGAGGGCGGCGAGCGAGTTGTGGTGGTCCGAGGAGCGCTTGGACTTTTGCGGGAGCTTTGGCGAGTCGCGGAGGTGGTCGGTGTGCAAGGTGCGGACCGGCTGGTGCGCCGCGACGGCCATGGTGGGCGGCAGGCGGTGCTGTTGGTGCGGCGGTGCTGAGCTTGACGGCGAGGCGAGGGTGCGACGAGCAGCGGTCGCTCGGCTGGCGAGGCGAGTGGGCGAGGGGGCTGGAGAGCGCAAGGTGCGCGTAGCTGGCTCGACGATGAGCTCGCTCGAGTCGGAGGACGAGGACGACAGGGCCGAGATGCGCGGGCTCACTTCAGAGGACGAGCGGCGGCCGTCGACGAGCCGAGCTGATGACGGAACGCTCGCACCACTCGCTCAGCACCATGAGCGTCTCGCCTGCTCGCACCGTACTGCTCACAGGCGCGTCCTCGTCTTGTTCCGATTTCGCCCCGTCCCCTCGCTCACCTTTGCTCTCCTCCCCCACCTCTCTCCCCTCTCTCGTCAAGCAGGCGGCTCGGCTGGACTCGGACTCGCCACCCTGTGCGCACCCACCGTCCTCCCTCGTATCGCCCTCCCCTATCCCGGGCTGACCTCAAGCGCCCGGCCCCCGCAGCGAGATCCTCCTCCGCGACGGCTGCAACGTCGTCTCGCTCCAGCGCACCGAGTCGCCAGAGCTCACTGCCCTCGCCGGCAAGTACAACGGCGCCCTCGTCATCAGCAAAGGCGACGTCGCCGTCGAGGACGACAACAAGGTCCGCCCGACCCTCTTCCTTGTCGTCGCCCCCCAGCCTGACCGTCTTGCACCTCGCACAGGCCGCTGTCGACGTCGCGCTCCAGTCGTTCGGCCGCCTCGACGCCCTCATCCGCGCGTCCCTCTCGCGACCGCCTTCAGACACGGTCCCTGACGTGGCCGCGCCCCCGCAGTCAACGCCGGTACGCTGCACCCGCTCGGCGCCGTCTCGTCCCTCTCGGGCCCGAGACTCGACGAGCTTAAGCACCTGTTCGACGTCAACTTCTTTGCCCTCGTCGCCATCCTCGCCCACGCCATCCCGCACCTGCGCACCCGCGACGGCAAGGAGGGGCTCGCCGAGGGACAGCCGGCCGGCAGGGTCATCCTCGTCAGCTCGGGCGCTGCGACGGGCGGTACGACTGGGTGGGCAGCTTACAAGTGCGTCGCACCCGCTCTATCGCCAACCGCGCCGCGTCGTCGGGCCCGAACCCTGCCAACTCACCGTGACCCTCACCGCTCGCAGCGCCTCAAAGGCCGCCATGAACTCGCTCGGCCGCACCCTCGCCAACGAGGAGCCCGACATCGTCACTGTCGCCGTTCGTCCCGGTACGCCCGACACCGTCATGCAGCAGAAGATTCGCGAACTCGGTCCGTCCCCGTCCTCCTTTTCGGCCCTCCTGCTCGACCACGGCGTCCGAGTCTGACCATCTCTCGCGTCGGCCCACCTGCCTCTCTCAGGCGCAGCGCACATGTCGCCGACCGACCACGCACGCTTCACCGGCCTGCACGAGCGGGGCGAGCTCCTGCCGCCGCACGAGCCTGGCGGCGTCCTCGCCGGCCTCGCCCTCGACGCGCCTCGCGGCCTGAGTGGCGAGTTTGTCAACTGGAACGACGAGACGAAGGCGCTCAAGTGGCAGCGCAAGCTGTAGAGCGGCGGCGTCGACAAGGTCGGCTGTCGTAACCTGCGAGTCGAGGCGGCGGCGGTGGTTGTGAATAGACAGACGCTCGACAGCCTTTCGGCTTTGCGCTACCCTCGAGAGATACCGACGTCCGAGGAGAACTACACGTCCGCAATCACAGCCTGTGCTGTGCGAGCTCGAGAGCGAGCTGCCCCACCTCGAGCTCCTCCTCGAGCCTCTCTTGCCCCGACCACGCCTCTCGAGCTGCCTGCCGCGGCCTCGGCCAGCCGTACACCAGCTTAAAGAGCCGCACCCCTGCCCTGCACGCCGGGCCGTGCATGCCTGACGAGTACCCGCCTCGCCCCGCTCGAATGCACCACGACTCGTCGTCCTCGTCGCCCTCGCGCGTTCGTTGGACCTTCGCCCTCGCCTTCTTCCTGTTCGGGACTCTGAACAACATCGTGCGTCCCCTTTCTCCCTCCAGAAGGCGTGCGAGGCCGCCCTCGTCTCCATCAGCAACGACGCTGACCTCGTTTTCTCCCTCCTTCTCTGCCTTCTGTGGTCGCCTCGCAGATCTATGTGGTCATCTTGAGCGCTGCTCTCGACCTGGTCGACAAGGCCTCAACGCCCAAGGTGCGTCCCCGGTCCACTCCTCCCCCACTTGCCCTCCCAGCGCGCGAACCGAACAACTGACCTCGTGCGTGTGCGCACACAGGGTCTCATCCTCTTCGTTAACATCGCCCCGGCCCTTCTGGTCAAGGTCGGCTGGCCCTACTTTGTGCCCGGGCCGGCGAGGTACGCTCGGCGAGTCCGCTGGTGCACGGCGCTCAGCTTTGGCGGGATCCTCGTGCGTCCACTCGTTCGCTTTCGTCCGCCTTGCCAGCGTGAACTGACACAGAATGTCCCCTGCGAGCAGGTCGTCGCTGCCTCGACTGGCCTCGCCCCTCGCCTGTTCGGCATCGCCGTCGCCTCGTTCTCGTCCGGCCTCGGCGAGATGACCTTCCTCCAGCTCGCCACCGTCTACGGCGCGCTCGACCCGTCGCGAGGGCAGGAGAACTCGGCGGCTCCGCGTGACGGCGAGGACAAGAGCGCCGACCTGGGAGGGGTCGCCGTCGGGTGGTTCGCGAGCGGGACGGGCGCGGCTGGCATTGGCGGCGCCGGCTTGTGGTGGGTCGTGAGAGGGTTGGGCGTCCGAGGTGGCCTCGGGGTCTGCATGGTGCGTCCTCCACTCCTCTTTCGCTCGCCCTTGTCGCCTGAGCAGACACTCATTCGTGTTCTCGACCGGCTGCGCAGGTCCTCCCGCTCTGCATGGCCGCGAGCTTCTTCCTCCTCCTCCCGCCACTTTCTGCCCTCGCGCCAACAACGCCTTTCTCAGTGGGCTCCTCCTCGCCGTATGCGCCGCTGCGACGAGGCGACGGCGACCTGGACGGCGACGACCTCGACGAGGAAGAAGACGACCTTCCCGACGAGGCGCTTCTCGAGCGAGCCGATGCGGCATTACCGAGCCTGACGACGCGGGAGAAGATTGCGCTCGCGAGGCCGCTCGCCGTGCGGTACATGCTCCCGCTCTTCCTCGTCTACCTCGCCGGTGCGTCCCCTCTGCCTTTTTGCCTCTTTCTCTTCGCGCCCACGAGGGAGGCGAAGCCTGCCTCGCCCTCGCGTGACATACTCTGACGCACATGTCCTCGCGCTCACAGAGTACACGATCAACTCGGGCGTTGCGTCGACGCTCCTGTACGAGGTGCCGACAAAGGAGAGCGCGCCTGTCCTCGCCCTCATGATCAAGTCCCTGCGCGACTACTACCCGTGCGCCCACCTCTCTCTTGTCTTCTTCTCTAGATTCGGCGTCAACTGACGATGTCCTCTTGCAGCCTGTGGGCGTTGCTCTACCAGACCTTCGTCTTCGTCTCGCGCTCCTCCCTTTCGATCCTGCGCCTTCCACCTCTGCCCCTCGCCCTCTTGCCCCTCCCGACTATCCTCCAGCTCGTCGTCCTCCTCGCGACCTTCCTCGAGGCGCGCACCGGCTTCATCGTCAACAGCCTGGGCGAGCACGGCGCGACATGGTGCGTCGCCGCCCTCGTGTGCGCCGAGGGTCTCTGCGGCGGCGCGGCGTACGTCAACGCCTTTCACCGGCTCGCGACCGAGATCGACGACGAGGAAGTGGACGAGGTGGGCCTGGGCAAGGACAGGAGGAGGCTCGACCAGGAGCGCGAGTTTGTGCGTCTTCTGCTCCCCTTTCGGCTTCGACGGCGCTCTCGCGTCCCTCGCGCCGTGCCCGTGACTGACCCTCCCTGTGTGCCCCCTCTCCCTCCTCCCTACCCCTCGCAGTGCATCGCGAGCGTCGGCTTTGCCGACACGAGCGGCATCCTGGCGGCGGCCATGCTGTCGATGGCGGTCGAGCCGTACCTGTGCGCGTCGCAAGTCGCTCGAGGTCGGCTGTACTGCCGTGAGCTGTAACGGATCGCTCTCGAATTCGCGTGCACATGCTCGACGAGGAGGAGCAAGCTCTCTTGCGAGAGTGCCAGTCGAGATTGAGCGCAAGCTGGAGCGAGGTCGAGAGGAAAGCTGCTCTCTAGTGGGCCTGCGAGTGGGTGCGCTTTTGGTTTGCGCGTGGACAGGTGTCGTAGAGGAGGGCCACGGACTCGAGAGGAGCGTCGCCGACGAGCTGGTTTCACGCGCAAGTGCGAGATCGGCGAGGCAGGCGAGGCCACGCGACGGTCGACCAACCGCCTCGGAGGGGAGAGGCAGCCGTTTGTCCCGTCCGCACTCCTCGCTCGCCTCTCGCTCCCTCGACACCAGGGCAGAGCGCACAGCGCACATGCTCGATGCAGCCATGCCCGACACGGCCGCGTGCAGCACCCTCGCCGAGCGGCACCACCTCGCCTCGTCGGTCGCCGCCCCCACTGCCGCCGACCTCCCGCTCACCGCCATCCAGCACGCCGTACACGCCCAGCTCCCTCAGTCCCTCGTGCGGTCCCGCATCAGCTCGAGCCCTACCCTCCTGCCGACCCACCTCGCCCAACTTGTGACGGCCCTCTCGCTGTGCGCCCGCGTCTCGCTCCGCGCGAGCGCCCTCTTCATCGAGGCCATCGTCGAGGGCTTGCAGTGCGGCACCGTCACGGGCTTGGGCCTCACGCGCCGCGCCCTCATCGCGGCGGTCGGCAGCGCGCGCGCCATGCACCACGTCAAGGAGGGCCTCGACTGGAGCGGACGCGACAAGGACGGCGGCAAGAGCGAGTGCGTCCCCTCCTTCCAGCCTCACATCTCCCCCAAGACCGTGTATTGACGTCGCCATGCACCGCAGGGACGCGTTCCTCCAGGTCCTCGACAAGTACACCAACCTCGGCATCTACCTCGTACGCCCCGCCCTCTTCCACCTCTTCCCTCCCCCTCGCCAGATCGCGACGCTGACACGGCGCCCGCATCCGCAGATCCACCACACGTTCACCCTCGCCGAGCTGTTCACCATGTCGGGCTTCTACCTCACCCTCAACACGATCTCGACCGGGTTCTCGGCCGCCGAGGAGTCGGTCCGCATGCTCGACTCGATCCTCGGCTCGAACGAGTCGTCGCGCGCCCTGAGCTCGATCATCACGCTCGTCCGCAACGAGCTCACGCGCGAGGACCCGCGGTTCCGCCCAGTCGGGCTCCTCGCCGACCAAGACGACGACCTGGACGAGCAGCAGCGCAAGGCCGGCGCACTCAGCAACATCACGGCCCTAACCAAGGCCCTGACGGCCTTTGCGTGCCTCCAGACGGCGACGCACCGCCGCACGCTGCGCGAGCTCAAGATGCGCGTCGTGTACGACTGCACGGTCGTCGTCGAGGGCCAGGCGACCTTTTCCTCGGCGTCGACGCCGACCTCGCCTGACGGTTCGCCCGCATCGGCGAGCGGCTTCGATGTGACGGTCGACTCGCCGGGCAAGTACGCCGGCCCGCCTGCGCCGCCTCGAGGGCCCCGCCTGTCGCGCAAGTCGTCCCGTTCGACCGTCTCGACCCGCACCCGCGAGTCGTCCTCGACGACGACCACGATGAACGGCGCCACGACGGGCAGCGAGATCATCACCGACGTCCGGAGCGAGCTCGAGGCTCGAGCCGTCAAGGCGCTCGCGTCGCAGCCGGGCTCGGCCAGCCACTCGCGACGCACGTCGGGCCCGTTCGACCTCGGCGGCGCGAGCTTCACCTGCATCTCGTCCTCGGCACCAGGTCCTGTCGAGCCGTCACTCGCCGTTGACCCGGTCGAGCTCCTCGACTCGCGCTCCGAGGAGGAGATCGTCACCGAGCTCGAGAGCCTCTGCGGCGGGCCCGTCAAGCCGTCGCACCGCCGGGTCACGAGTCGAGACGGCGGGTACGACGGCGATGCCGAGGCCCAGTTCATCACGACCGACGAGCTCGAGAGCGAGTCGGAGGGCGAGTACGACAACGACGCCGACCAGCTCCTGTCGAACGGCGTCGCCGGGCTCGACGGCGAGATCCCGCCCGAGGTGCAGGCCGCGCTGCGCGAGATCGACGCGCGTTACGCCGCACGCGACAAAGAGCGCGCTCCGTCCTTCTCGTCGGGCGCGTCAACCGTTCGCGGCGCAGCTCGGCCTCGCTCGAAACGCGACAGCCGCGCCGTCCGCGCCGGCGCCGCCGGGCCGTTCAGCTACCAGGTCGAGGTCGAGGAGACGACCACGACGACCACGACGACGGTGCGCACGGTCGAGGAGGTGTCGGCGGCGAGCTCGGGTGCGGCGGAGGAGGACCGAGCGCTCATCGCCCGCCGCGAGGGGCGGTCGCGCATGCCGGGCGTGCTCCTCCTCGAGACGAGTTCTCCCGCCACGCCGACCGATGTCGAGCACGACGAGCGTGTTGGCTACGAGCGCGACGCGACGGCGGCGGGCACCGGGTCGGACGAGGTGGGCGAGTGGGTCGAGGTCGGCAGCTCGGCCAGTCGCACGGCGTCGAGGTCGCAGGGCGGGTCGAGCGTCGCCAGCGACGTCGACATGTCGAGCGAGGACGGCATCGAGGCGAGGGTGCCGTCGGCGCCGAATGGCGAGGTCAAGTCGAGCGGCTCGAGGTGGGCAAACCTCGCGGGCCTGTCGCGGCAAGAGGCGCTCGAGCACCCGGAGGAGAACAAGCAGCGGCTTCAGGTGCGTCCTCTTCTCCCAGCTCTCCTCTTGCGGCCGTGCGTCGCGGTCCTGACCGACCCCTCTGCCCTCGCAGGTCGTCCTGTCGACCATGACCAAGAAGTTCATTCAGCGCCGCCGCACGATCCGCCGCGTCGTCTCGAGCTCGGGCTTCTCTTCATCGACCTCGGCGAGTCGCTCGAGGCCGTGCTCACCGGCGCTTGGCGCCGGCAAGAAGCGTCGGTGGCCGCGCACCTCGTCCCGCACGGCCTCGTTCTCGTCGACCATTCGGCCTGACGACGAGCTCCCTGTCGCTCCGCCATCGCCTATCCTGTCGTCCACCTCGTCGCCCAAGAGCAGGACCAAGAGCGTCTTCCGCACGTTGACTCGCGGCTGGCGAGGCGAGCGCGGCCCGTCGACCCCGCCCAATTCCGAGGCGTCAACGGCGGCCTCGAGCGATGTCGAGCTCGCAGACGCCGACGAGAGCGTCTACTTCGACGACGTTCGCGGGCTCGAGGCGCCGGCCTCTGCCGCACCTTCCACCTCGTTCAACCCGCCGACGCCTCGCTCGACCTCGGCGCCGACCCGCCCGCCTCTTTCGCCGACACCGACGTCCCCTCCTCCGCCTGTGCCACCTAAGCACGGCGTCCGACATGCCGCCTCGGTGCAGACGATGCGCTCGACGCTCACGACGACCTGCCGCACGGCGTCGTCGCCCACCGACGAGCCCGAGCCCAAGAGCAGCAACTTCCCGCACGCGTACCTCGTCAGCAACCTGCAGCACTTTGCGAGATACTCGAGCGCGGCGTACGGCCAAAGCTTCCTCCGCATCCTCGGCATCGCCAAACACGAGGTGCGCCGGCCCTCGTTTCCCTTCTCGCCGGTCGTCGGCCGACCCTGACTCGTCCCTCGTCTCGGCCGCAGTTCAAGTTCCCGCATACCGAGATCCGTACGTCCACCTCGTCGCCGTGTTACCCAAGGCGACGCTCACCTGTCCTTGCCTCGCAGACGCCAACAACCACGCGTTCGCGCACCATGTCGGCATCCACGTCGAGGACATCCTGCTCTCGTCCTTTACCGACCCGACGCCCACGTTCGACAGCGAGAAGATGTCGCCCATCGTCAACTACGGTGCGCTCGCCTTGTCCCTCTGCATCCGCCGAGCGCAAAGGAGAAGGCGGTCCTGACGAACTCGTGTCCCCTCGCAGTCGCCGTCGACCATTCGATCAAGGCCATCGTCCTCGCCTGTCGCGGGTCGCTCGGCCTGTCCGACATCCTCACCGACCTCACGTGCTCGTACGAGCCGATCCCGGTCCCGGACGCCGACCCGTCGGGCTCGTACCTCGTCCACAGCGGCATGTTCTGCTCGGCGACCGTTCTTCAACGCGGCACGGTCCACGACGTCATCCGCGACGCGCTCAAGCAGTTCCCGGACTATGGTCTCGTGCTCTGCGGCCACAGGTGCGCCCACCTCTCGCCGACCTCGAGCGGTCGCCGTCCTCGACTGACATTTCTCGCGACCGTGCAGCCTCGGCGGCGGCGTCGCGTCCCTCCTGTCGATCCTGTGGTCGACCCCGTCTGCTGCGTTCGAGCGCTACGCCGAGGCCGTCGAGGAGCAGTCGGGCCGCCACATCGTGCACCCGCCGCTGTCGACGCCATTCGTCACGAGCGCGTCCTCGGGCCTGCCACCCGGTCGCCCGATCTCGTGCTACACCTACGGCGTGCCCTGTGTCGCCTCTGTCGACCTCGGCGCCTACTGCCACGGCCTCGTCATCTCGACCGTGCACAACTACGACCTCGTCCCGACCCTGTCGCTCGGCGTCCTGCGCGACTTCAAGGCCATGGCCATGGGCTTCTACGCCGAGCAAGGCGTGTCCGAGGAGATCGTCGGGCGCGTCATCGGCTTGTGTCAGCGCCGCTTCATGGCCCGTCGTGCGGCGAGAAAGGCCGGCAGCTCGTCGTCCGCGCCTGCGCGCGCGCCCTTTCCCGGCGCCTCGAACGACGACCTCGAGTCGTGCGGGCCCGAGTCGCTCACGGACCCAGCCGAGGAATCGCGCCTCGTGCCGCTCTCGAACGACGAGATCTCGGCAGGGCGCGGCTCGAACAAGGCGCTCGAGCCGGCGTACCAGGACCCGGGCCTGCTCGGGCACGACCTCGTCGCCGACGACCTCGAGCTCAGCAACTGGCTGTGGAGCCTGCGCACGACGATTCGCGCGAACAGCGACAACGAGAAGCTGTACCCTCCTGGTGCGTCCTTGCTCGTTCCCTCCCTCCCCTTCTTCCTCGACTAGGATCGGCCCGCTCACCTTTGTACCTCTTCTCGCAGGCTCGGTCTACGTCATCGAGAGCTACACGGTCTTCATCTCGGGCGAGTCGTCGTCGTCGGGCCAGTACTCTCGTCGCGAGGGTCGCCGAGTCCTCCTTCGAGCGGTCGACGACGTCGAGCGCCGGTTCTCGGAGCCCATCTTCAGCCGCACGAGTGCGTCTCGCTCCTCCACCTTCGAGACTGTCCGACCGGTCACTGACTGTGCCCGCCGTGCCGCACACAGTGTTGAGCGATCACTCGCCGCGCGAATACGAGGTCAACGCCGACTACCTCGCGAGCGCCGTCGTCTGAGCGCCCTTCCTGCACTCGTCCCTGTACACCGTGTCTCCCTATGTCCCTTTTCACCTCTCCTTTCTCCCCCTCGAGCCTGTCGTTGTCGTCGTGTCTCCCTCGCAGCCCTTTCCCTCCCTCGTTCCTCCTCCTCCTCTCCTCGCTTTCGCTCTTCCTTCCCCTCTCTCGGTCTTGTGCGTCTACCCCGCTCTCAGTATGTATACCCCCTTTCCCGGAACCCATGTGTAGTCCGTCTTTGCGCGCTCGAGGGCTGCAGCGTCGCACGGCTCGCGTTTCCTTTCCAGCCAAGGCGGCCGGCCGTCGCATGATCTCGTCTCGTGAGAGTCGACCTGGAGAGCAAGCGAAGCCTAGTGCAGCGACAGTTGCGACGTGGACCTGCGCTCCTCGAGCCCGACTCGGCGAACGAGCCCCTCGTACGCGAGGAGGAGCGGTGTGGCGCCAGGTGGACGCGCTCCCGGCCTGCGCTTGCTCGTCCGCATTCGGCTTCCGCGTGCGAGCCGCTCCGCAGATCGTGCTGGCGAACGCGGCCGCGTGGCCGTCTCAGCTCACTCGACGATCGCGTTCCAACCGCGAGCCGACCTTCCCAAGTGAGGTGTTGCGCTCTCGCCCACCGAATGAACCGGAGCCTCGGCTCATGTGCAGCACTTCCCTCGAGAGTCGGCGTGCGCCTCGACAGGCAGGCGCACGCTTCATGCCGAGCACCATCGAGCTGGCTTGCGAGCCCGCTCGAGTGCTGCCGCACGCCGCTCCTCTTCCTCGTCTTCCTCGCCAGCTCTCGGCGCTCGTCCCTCTCGACGACGCACCTGTCACCCAGACGCTCGAACGCTCCTGTCCTCGCGCGTCCAGTCGCTCAACACGCGCCCGGAACCGGGCGCCGCACCCTGATCGTTGGTCGCCGTTCCGCCCGCTCGCAACCTCGTCTCGTCGCCGATGGACGGCATGCAACACGCCAGCGCCGTCTGGCCCGAGGGCCAGGACTACCTGAGGCCAATCGTCGCGACTGGTGCGTGTTTCTTCACCCTGTCTCGCGCGAGATGCGCGGTCGTACGTCGGCCGCGGTTGACATTCTGTCCCTCCTCCTCCTTTCCTCGGCGACAGTCTACCTCGTCGTCGTCGGGCTGCTCTCGATCCTTCTATCGCGTCGATGGGGCTCGTGGAACTACATGAAGCGCCTGCCATTGATCCAGGTGCTGGTCATCGTGCTCCTCGCAGCGTCGTGCGTCTCCTTTCTCCCTCGTCCCTCTACTCTCCTCTTTCCTCGAGAGACCTCGCCTTCCTCTCTTCTCGTGAACCCTCGCCTGACTCTGCTCATCGACGCAAGCAGACTCGCCTTTATCTTCATCTCGGCCATCCTCGTCCTAGGAGTCGGCTCGTCGTACTCGGAAGCCGCCTGCGACGGCGGCATCTGGCTGTGCGTCCTCTTGTACGCCGGCACCAAGGCGGTCCTGTACTACCTGCTGCTCGAGAAGCTGCAGCGGGTCCACGCGCACAGCGTCACGGGCCGAGTCGGCCGGTTCCACTCGTGGTGGTACCGCGGCGGCGTCCTCCTGTTCGTCGCGTGGCTCGCCGTCGCCGTGACGATGATCGTCGGGCGCATCAGCCACATCCGCCGTCAAGACGGCGCGTGCATCATCGGCCTGCGCCTGTACGCGACCGTCCCGATGCTCGCCGTCGACGCCATCACGAACATCTACCTCACGACCGGGTTCGTCGTGCCCGTCTGGCGCAGCAAGAACGAGAAGGCGCGTCGGCTCGCCAAGGTGTCGTCCCTCGCCGCGTTCGCCTCCCTCATCACCTCGTTCGCCAACATCCTCGTCCTTTCGATCCTCCACGGCCACCAGCTCTCGTTCGTCTGCCTCGGCTCGTGCGGCCTCGACGTCGCGTTCAACTCGGTCGTCTGCTACCTCGTCACGACGGCGCGACACTCGCGGGACGAGCAGACGACGAGGGGCTCGACCGACATGCGCGTGCCCGAGCTGTCCGGCACGGTGGCCGGCCCCAGCACGGGCAAGAGCGGCACCAAGCGCTCGTCCTCGAGGGCCGTCGGCAGCCTAGGAGGGCTCGCCGGGTACGGCACGGCGAGCGGCGTCTACGTCAACGAGGAGGTCTGCGTCGAGTCGGAACTCGACGAGGAGCCGACGCTCGGTTCATCGAGGCGCAACAGCGGGCTCGGTGGCGCAAGAGGAGGGGGCCCGGCGCTCCACACGGTGTCGTTCTCGACGCCCGAGGTATTGACACACCTCGACGACGTCGAGGAGGAGAAGCTGGGTCCGAGCGCGAGGGACGAGAAGTGAGAGATCCGGCTGTACGACTCTTTGGTCTTGTGCATTACTAGTTGGTGACCGACGAGATCCCGAGAGAGTTGCGAGAGAGACACCTGAGCGAAAGAGGCTAGCAGTAGAGGCAGCGAGGGAAGCGCGAGCGAGCAGGTTGCGAGCGAGAGCCGACTTGAGAAGGCCACTTTTCGGCCTTTGTCTGTGCGCTCTCGAGCTCTGCTATCTTCTCAAGACCTTGACGCCGGCCGAAGCTCTATTCGACGCTGTGTCAAGGACGAGGACCCGCTCTCGAAAGTAGGTGCGAGGTGCCGCGCTCGGCTTGGACCTTCTCGCGCCGGCTCTTTTGGCACTCTGGCCTTCGAAAGGCTCTCAGCTCGCGTTGACTAGACGGACAAAGAAAGCGAAGATGCAGATGGGGGTACGGTACTACAAGAAAGAAGAGAGGAAAGCGAGGAGGAAGAAGAAGAGAGAGACCGAGACGAGGTGAGGAGAAAGACAAGGTAGGGAAGCTCGTCGCCGGCGCCGTACTCGTCGCACCGTCACGAGCCGGGACGAGAGGGGGCGAGGCGTGCGAGAACGTCGCGTCCTGCTCGACTAGTAGTTCTTGCCGAGCCCGCCTTTGTTGCCCTGCTCGTCCTCGGTGAACTTCTTGAGCGTGCCGTCGTTGGCGTCGATGCCGTTGCTCTCGACGTTGGTGTTCCTCATGGCGCCGCCGAGGCCACCGTCGACGATCGAGGCGGCGTTCGAGTCGCCGAAAGCTGCGAGGACGAGAGAGGCTCGAGCGGGTCAGAAATTGCTCGCACCGACGAGAGTGAGGAAGGGAGACGCACTCTTTTCCTTGTGCGACGAGTAGTGGAAGGCCTTGTAGCAGAACGACTGCAGGACAGGAGGGTCAGCCGAACGTTCGACGGCGAGGACGGGTTGACCGAGCGAGTCGTCTCGGGGAGAGGCGCGAGCGCACCTTGTAGTACCACTCCTGTTCCGTCTCGTCCTTTTTGAAGCCGTCGGTGAGGTAGACCGAGCGCGAGAACTCTGCGAGGGCAACGAGAAAGCTCAAAGGTCAGTCCGGCTGAGAGGAAAGAGGACGGGAAAGTGAAAGGTCGAGCGCACCATCCTTGATGAGCGTCTCCTTCTGGTACGACAGCGACGAGACCTGGCTCGCCTCGTAGAGCTCCATGAAGCAGACCTCCTTCTGCGAGACCTCTGCGGGAGGAAGCTGGTCAGTCTTGTTCTTAGGGCCGAGCTGTGCGCACCTGTCGACGGCGCAAGTCCGGGTCGTGGGCTGAGGGCAAGAGGCGTCCGATGGAGAGAGAGCCGGCCGAGGCGATGCTGCGCAAGAGGGGGACGTACATCGCTCGCTCGGACCCGCTCCCGGCGACGCCGCCGACGATGCTGACGACGCTCGGAGGCGGCAGAAGACGACGCCAACGACACGGAACGGTGTGTATCATTGACAAGGGGAGCGTCCGACAAAAAAAGGGAAGGGACCGAGGCCAGAAACGCGAAACGAGACTCTCCTCGACGACGGCGACGACCCGCTCTACATCTCGGCCCAGCCCGACGCCTCCTCGCCGCCGGCGATGAGCGCGAGCAAGAAGACGACGGCGTTGGCGCCGACGCCCATGCCGAACCCGCGGTACAGCTGGCGCAGGCCGCCGCTTGCGCCCAACCCGGCCGTCGCGAGGTCCTCCTTGTCCTCGTCGACGGGGACGCTCACGCCCGGCGACGGCGCGCCACCGAGCCCGGGCGTGCCCGGTGCCGCACTCGAGCGACGACGGCGGCGGCGGCGCGGGATCTTGCCCGTCTCCTCGGTGAGGATGCGGTACACGGCCTCGACGACGCCGGCGTACGGCTGAGGCCGCGTCTCGACGCACGTGCGCCACGCGCGCCCGACGCCGCCTGCGCGACCCGCACGGACGAACGCGGCGCGCGACTGGAGCTGGAGGCGCTTGCGGACCGTCTCGAGCGGGAGGGTGACGAGGAGGCCGGCGGTGCCGAGGACGAGCTCGGCGAGGCCGAACGTGAGCGGCGACGACGACGGCTCGATGTGGAGGTACCGCGAGATGATGAGGGGCGTCGACAGGTGGATGAGCGGGCGGACGACGCCCTCGAGGAGCGCCGGGAACAGGAGGTTGGGGTGAAAGTAGGTCGTCCACAGGCCGCCCTCCTCCTCGACGATGGTGCGCAGGGCGTGCAGCGGGCCCTTGTACTTGCGGTGCTGGGGCTGGGCGCTCTGGACGATGAGACGTGTCCGAACGAGGTCGAGCGGCGACAGGAGGAAGGTCGTCACGGTGTGCGACAGGGTCGTGAGGATGAGGAGCGGGCCGGGTTTCGGGGCGTAGATGAGCGGGAGGGCGCTGAACGACGACGAGGGGAGGAGGGCGGCCGTCATGGCGGCGAGGAAGAAGGGCTGGATGGCCGTCGTCAGGCTGTCGAGGACGCAGGTCGTGAGCTGGCCTGCGGGTTGGGGAAGACGAGTCAGTTAATGCCCTCTGCAGCGCCGCTGCCGAGAGTGTAGAGAGACAGAAGGCGCACCCTTCCACAAGCTCGCCCAGCCCTCGCCCTTCCACCTGCCCACCGCCTTGATCATGTCCCACACGCCGCCCTGGACGACGATGGGCATGATCCACTCGGGCCGCGTGCCGAGGGCCGAGTCGGCGCCGACGACGCCGCCGCGCGTGAGGTAGCCTCCTGGGCTCGTCGGGCGCGGCGGCGCGAGGAATGAGCCGCCGGGAGGCTGGAACGACGGGCCCGAGGCGGCGCGCAGGTCCTCGAAGTAGGCCTCGGCGTCGCCCTCGTCCTCGATCTGTGGACCGTCGAAACACCGTGTCAGGCCTTGCCCCTCTCGAGTGCTTCGAAGGAAAGGAGGAGAGAATGGGACGCACCTCGGCGCCCTCGTCCGCGATGTTGTCGGCGGCGTCCCACCCAAGTTGGGCCGCCTCCTCGCCGCGCGGGACCCACTGCACCTGGGCGAGCGTCTTGCCGACCTCGAACGGCTGGACGAGTGCGACGCCCGTGAAGCTCAGGAGCGAGCTCGTGACGAACGCGCGCAGCATGACGCCGGCCTGGGCGGCTGCACCACCCGAGCCCGCCCCGGGCCCGCCGTCACCGGCCGAGGGGACGCCGAGGAGGCCGTCGGCACGGCCGTAGCGGTCGGTCGGGGGCGGGATGCGGAGCGAGGGCGGAACGGCGGTGCCCGTGCTGGTGCGCGACGAGGGGAGGCCGGACGACGACGAGGCGGTGGGGGGTGCGCCTGCGGGCAGCGACCAGTCGTCGAGCGAGGGCGACGTCGAGTAGGGTCGCAGTGGGTGGGTGCGCGGTGCACTCGGCTGCGCGTCCATCGCGCACGCGAGCCGTGTGAGAGGTCGACGAGGGAGAGAGGCAGAGCGGGGAGCGGCAAAGGCGACGATGGCGAAACCACCGCGACTCGCTCTCCTGTAGAGCTCGAGCGCACTGTCACGGCAAGGAGAAGAGTCTCTCGAGCCAGGCCCGCCGTTCCACCACGAGCAGAGAGCGAACGCTGCTCTCGACCTCCTCGCCGCCTCGGAATCTCTCGCTCAACTCGACCGCGCTCGACCGGCTCAATCGCGTGCAGAACGGGGTATGTCTAGTACAGAAGGAGGGGACAGCGACTGCGGAAGCAACAATGGCGAGCTCGTACAGAGGGGACATCGTGGGAGGGAAGGGCTGCGAGGAGAGGGGGAGGGTGGAAGGAAGGGAGAACAGTGCATGCGGGCGCGCCTGCGAGACGCTCGAGTCGTCGCACAGGACGAAGAGGGATGTACAGCGGGAGAGGTGGAGAACGGCGGCAGGTGCGACGCCGGGCCGAGCGTCGAGGAGGGCGAGTCGACCCTGAAGACCGCCATCGACGACGAGCGCGCTCACAGGAAATACTGCAGCGCCGTGCTCTTGGCCGGGATACCTCGTGCGTCTTGCTGTGGGCGTGCGGCAGACGAGGCCGAGTCAGAGGTCCGCTCGGTAACGAGGAGGGGCGCAGACAGGGCAGGTCGAGTCGGACGCACCTGAGCGGCCGCCTCGAACGTGAGGTAGTTCGAGTTGAGGTTCTCGTCGAGCTCGAGGATCGACGCCACGTTGCCGCACCTGTGTGCGCAGACGAGGGGCATGAAAGTCAGTATCTCCCGAGCGACCGCGGCGCGCGCTCAGGTTCAGGCGAGAGAGAGAGAGAGAGAGAGAGAGGGGCCCGGCGCACCTGTAGCAGTAGTTGGGCGCGCTCCACACGGTGACGATCTTGTCGTCGAACATGAGCTTGTGGCCCTCCATGACGAGCTGGTGCGCGCGAGCGATCAGGTCGAGGTTGTTGGCGTGCACGAACTGCTTGACGACGTCGGCGCCGAACAGGTACCCGGCGCCTCGAGGCGACAAGCCCCAGCCCTCGATGTCTGTGAGAGTGGGACGAGGTGGACGAGGGGAAACAGTCAGTCACGGGGCAAGAGGCGGCGAGGGAAAGTCGCGGTCGACGTGAGGGAAGGGGAGAGAGGGAGCGAGTCGACGAGCGCACCGTCTGGGTCGGACCACAGGAGGTCGCACATGGCGCCGTCGTGCGGCACTTCTTGTTTCCGGTCGATGAGGCGAATCTGCGCACGCGTGAGGCAAGAGTGAGCGGTGCGCGCACACGAGGGAGTGAACGTATCGGCGGCGAGGGCCTCGGCGCCAAGACGAACACGACGACGACGACGACGCACCTGATCGAGGCTGTTGACGTTGGGGCTCAGGCCGCCGTGGACACAGAAGACGCGGCCGTCGACGACGGCGCCGAGGCTCATGTAGTCGAACACCTCGCAGCAGTGCCGCCACACGCTCGCCGAGCCGTACTTCTTCATGCACTCGTCGTAGAAGCCGTACACCTGGGTGATCTGGCGCGACTCGTGGTTGCCGCGGATGAGCGTCATGCGGTCCGGGTACCGGACCTTGAGGGCGAGGAGGAGGAGGAACGTCTCGACCGAGTAGAAGCCGCGGTCGACGTAGTCGCCTGTGCGCGCAACACGAGTGTCAGTGAAGGGAGGTGGCTCGAGAGGGGCTGCTGCGAGAGTGGGGCGCACCGAGGAAGAGGTAGTTGGTGTCGGGACACTCGCCGCCGACGCGGAAGAGCTCGAGGAGGTCCCAGAACTGGCCATGGATGTCGCCGCAGATCTGCGTGCACGAGGGTGGGGTCAGTCGAGGTGTGCGACCGAGCACTCAGGGGGGGACGGCGAGGACGCACAGTGACGGGCGAGTCGATCCACTGGATGTTGGCCTCCTCGACGAGGATCTCGCGAGCCTTGAGGCAGAGGTCCTTGACTTGCTGTTCCGAGATGGGCTGGCTGCGGGTGTGGCGGGCTCGGGTCAGGCTGTGGACGGGTGCGAGGTGTGCGCGAGATGCCGGAGGAGGAGGGGACGGACCAGTTCCTCAGCTGCTCGATCTGGCTGCGGGTTGGGGAGGCGGGTCAGGTGTGTACGGTGACGGCGAGCTTGCACTGGACGTACCGGTCGAGGCTAGAGGCCATGGTCGCTGCGAGCCGGAGAGCGAGAGCCGGCGAACGAGGCGACCAGTCTAGGGACAAGCGACCTCCCTGTTCACCACCCGCGCAGCCTGCTTGCGAGCTACTCCTGCACCTGCCATGTCGCGCATCACTCCCACCAGCTCGGTCGGCAACGTCAGTCTTGTCCCCTCGCCCTCTCGTCGCCCCGCTCGTCCTCCGCAACTTTCCCATCAGCTCGACCTCGCACTCGCCCACCCTCCCCTCGTGCAGGGCCTCACACTGACTCGCCGTCCTCATCACCCGACTACAGACCGCTCTCGCGTACGCCCGCGCCTGGCGAGGAGTCGACGCCGACGGCCAGGTCCTCGGCCGCCTCGCAACCCGGATAGCCATCGTCCTCATGGGCAAGCACAAGCCCATCTACGACCCGGCCAGTGCGTACACCCTCTCTCTCACTCCTCTACCTCCACCCCCCGCTGACCCGCTTCCCGCCGCACAGACGACTGCGGCGACTATGTCGTCGTCAAGAACGCCAAGAAGGTCCGCGTCACGGGCCGCAAGGCAGAGCAGAAGCTGTACCGCCACCACACCCAGTTCCCCGGCGGCCTCAAGGAGATCCCCTACGCGACCATGCTCGAGCGCAAGCCCGAGGAGGTGCGTCCACGCTCTCTCGACTCGCCTCTCGTCGCCTCGGGCAGGCTCGCCATGCCGCGCGAGCTCCTCGTTGCGTCTGCGAAGCCTACGACGTGACGGTGACTGACTTCCTCGCCCCCCTGTCGCGCCCATCGCAATCACAGATCATCCGGCGAGCCGTGTCGGGCATGCTGCCCAAGAACCGCCTGCGCGCAAAACGGCTCGAGCGCCTCCTCATCTTTGCCGACGCCGACACGCCGCACGAGCAGAACCTCCTCAAGGACCATGCGGCCGAGTTTGGCAAGACGTTCAAGCGCGAGCGCGCAAGGAAGGTTGAGCAGCTCGCGGCGCATGTCAAGGACGCGGCCGTCGCCGAGCAGCAGTAGACGGGGTGGGCTCCTCTCGACGGGCGTGTCGCCCAGGTCGCGTGTATTGTACCACTCTCGTTCTCTGTCCCGAGGTGCGGAAGGAGAGCGCCCGCCTCGACCGCGAGAGCTCGTGCGGAAGGAGCGAAGGCCAGCATGGCTCTCGCGCGCGCGCTCTGTTTCCGGGCGCTGGCTCCAGAGCTGTTCGAGAGTCGGTGCGGTCCAGTGAAACGCTGAAGATCGCGTGAGCGACCCGAGAGCCGACCTTGAACCTCGCAGCTCGGAGGACGCGTCGAATCGCGCCGCCGCTCGAACTTCATCGCTCTCGAGCGCAAACAACTCTCTCGCCGCCCGCCCGCAGAGAGCCCGACTGCGCCTGGGCCCCAGCCACCATGGCACCGCTGCCACTCGGGCACCTGGGCTCGCCCGCCTCGTCGCCGCCCACCTCGCCTCACTTCCTCGCCTCATCCCCGCTCGCTCCGCCCTCTCCCTCGCCAACGCACTCGCCCGCCCACCAGCAGCAGTACCACCACGACGACTATGCCCACATCGTCCGCTCCCTCCACCGTCGCTCGACCGACCGCGTCTCGCTCGCCGCCCTCGCCTCGTCCTCGTCCCCGGCCTCGTCGAGCCGCGCCGCCGACCCGCACCCCGTGCCGGCACTCGAGGCCGACCTGCGCCTCGCCGCCCAGATCGGCCAGACGCTCCTCGCCGACAAGACGGCCCTGCAGGGCAGACTCGACGCCGCCGAGCGCGCAAAGGGCAAGCTCCTCGACCGCTTGACGGCCAGTGTCAAGGAGGGCAACGGCCTGCAACGGGTGCGTCCCCCTCTCTCTCAAGCTGTCACCCGTAGCCGAGCTCACCTCTCTCGCCGCCGCAACAGCGCCTCGAGGAGACGGTCGCCAACCTCGAGAACGCCGACGCGTCCAACCGCGCTCTCCTCGTCTCGCTCGAGGAGGACCGCAAGACCATCTCGCGCCTGTCGTCCGACGCCGGCCGCTCGATCCAGGCCCACGCCCAGCTCTCGAACCTCCAGCGCGCGCACGACGACCTGCGGCAAGAGCTCGCCGCCGAGCGCCGCCGCGCCGACGCCGCCGACGCCAAGGCGCGCAAGCTCGCCGAGCGCGCCACCGAGCTCGAGGAGCGCCTGCGCAGGGCGACGGCCGACCTCGAGGAGATGCGCCAGGACAAGGTCCTCAACGCGCGCCGCAGCCTCGACGCGCTCAACCGCGCTCGCGCCGCCGCCGCCGGCTCGTCCTCGTCGGCCAAGCCGGGCCTGCCGCGCATCGGCGCCCTTGCGCCGCTCGTCCCTGCAGATGGCAGCGGCGGACCCGGCGGCGGCGGCACCGAGATCGAGGCGCAGCTCAGCGACAACCCCGAGGCCAAGGAGCTCCTGCGCATGGTCGAGACGCTCGCGCGCGAGAACACGCTCCTGCGCAGCGAGAGCATGGAACTCCGCGGCCTCCTCGACGACTCGCGCGACGAGCAGTGCGACCTGCGCAGCGCCATGGCGCTCGGCGAGCGCGAGCCGCTCCCCGAGGAGGACGAGCGCGCGCTCGAGCAGGACGACGAGCTCGGCGGGCGAGGCGGCTTCGACGCGCCTCGGCGGCTCTCGCTCGCGTCGCCGAGGGTCCCGCAGCAGGACTCGCCCGCACTCGACGACGGCGCGTCGGTGGGAGCGTCGAGCGTTGCCGAGCCGGCGTTCACGTCCTGGACGAGCAGCGCGTTCCTCGCCCAGTCGCATTCGTCGCGCGCCGCCGAGCTGAGTCGCACGCTCAGTGCGGGCTCGTCATCGTCGCTGGGAGCGGCGGCGGCAAGTGGCGTCGACGAGCCGCAGAGCCGGCGCATCGGCGTCGGCGCACGGCCACCGCCGGTCACGAGCGCGAGCACGGGCGCGCTCGGCATGGGCAGGAGGTCCGTCGGTCCGGCGGCGAGAGGGCACAGCAGGAGGGCGATGAGCATGGACGTCACGCCGCAGGTCAAGTCGGTGAGCCCGCGTTTGCCTTTCCCTCGCCCGTCCCGTCGCACGCGACCTGACCTTCGTCTCTCCCCGCAGCTCATCAGCAGCGCCCCGACCTCTCCCCGCATCGACGAGTACTCGCCCTCGACCCGCCCGGCGTCCATCTTCAGCAACGCGAGCGAGGACGTCGAGCCTCGTCCCCGCCGGCACCACCGCCCCCTGTCGCTCTCGCTCGGCCCGAGCGTCTTCCCGCTCGTGCCCGAGGACGACCAGGACAGCGGCATCGTGTCGCCGTTCACTCGGCAACCCGCCAACTCGCACCGCCGCCGCTCGAGCCAGGCGCCGTCGCTCACCGGCCTCGGGCTTGGACTCGCATCGCCTCGACCGACCAGTCGCCCGAGGCGGTCTCGCTCGCCTGAGCGCGTCGAGATGGCGACGCAGACGACGCCGCCGCGTCGAGCTGCCGAGGCGCGCGCCCCGAGCCCGCCCCGGGTCCTGTCGCCGTCGCCCGGGCCTTCCACCCCTCGATCCCGCTCGCCACGTCTGTCGCGCAGCCCGTCGCCTCGACTCGGCCCCGCACCATCCTCGTCCTCGTCCGTCCATTCCGCCGAGACGCCCGCTCAACCACCTGTCGAGCGCCCGAGCAGCCGGGCAGAACAGCGCACGGCGGCGCTCGGACAGCTCATCGAGCATGCCGCCAAGCTCCTCGGCCGGGTCCAAGGCGCCGACATCGCGACGCAGGAGAAGCGTCTGCGGAAGCAGAACCTGCCCGGCGACGTGCGGCACCTGGCGCACGCCAACCTGCGCGACCTTGTACGTCCCGCACCTTCCTCCTCTCTCGACTTTTCTCTCACACGCCGAGCCGACCTGATTTTCTCTCCTGCTCCAGGTCAACGAGATCGACTCGGTCCGGACGCACTTCCGCCGGGTCGTCGAGCTCGAGCGCGCCGCACAAGCCCGATCGTCCTCGCCAAGCTCGTCTGCGCACGGTCCGCCCAGCCTCGACACGTCGCTCGTCACTCGCCGCGACTTTGTCTCGCTCGTCAAGCTCGTGCGCGACCTCCTGTTCGAGTCGTCGCGGCTGCGCATGCTCGTCAACCGCGTCCAGCTCGACCCGGCGCTCGCGACCTCGCTCAAGGACCTCGACGTGCCGGACGCGATCGACGCGCTTGACGCGCAGCGGTCGCGTCTCGGTCCCGGGTCGGCCCAGCCCGGTGCGGCAGCGTCGTCTTCGTCGTCAGCGGCGGCCGCAGCAACAGCAGGCGGGCTGCTTGCGCCGCTGTCGAGGCTGTTCGGCGCCGGGCCCGACTCGGCGGAGCAGCACTCGGCTCTCGCGCACAAGGCGAGCACGGCGCAACTGCGTCCGCCCATGGCCAAGCGCGGCGGGAGCAGCACGGTCAGCACGGCGACGGTCAACGTCGAGTTTGGGAGCGGGCAGGTGCGCCAGGCCGAGAGCGCCGGCTCGCCCGTCGGGCCGTCGCTCGCCTCGCCGTCCTCGTCGGCGGGAGGGGCAGCGACGACGGGCAGATCGTCGTCCAAGCCGAGGCAGGCGCAGGTCAAGCGCGACCTCGCGAGCATCTTTGCCGGCGCGTCGAGCCGGTCGACCGGCGGCGAGCAGCACCCGCACTCGTCGTCGTCTTCGGCAGCCGGCCACCTCCTCACGGGCGCAGCGCCTATTCCTCGAGCGCACGAGCACGCCGTCGGCGCAGGTGCGCCCGCAGGACGACTCGCATCGTCGGCCTTCTCGTCGGCGGCGTCGTACATCCCGTTCGGCCGCCTCCTTTCGTCCTATCGCCCTGCGCTCAGCAGCACGACCAACGCCGTCCTCGACTCGATGCCTCACTCGTCCTCCTCGGGCGTCAACGGCGCTCGGCATGCGTCGTCGTCGACGTCGTCTGCGACCGACGAGCGCCCGCCCACGCTCCTCGAGCGGCAGCTGCGCCCTCGCGGCCTGAGCGACTCGTCGATCCGCTCGACGTTCGTCGCGCACGCCAACCCGCATCACCGACTCGTCACGGCCGCCGGGCTCGCGCTCAGTGCCGAACCGGCGCGCGCCACCGCCATCGCGACTGCGACGGCGGCCGACTCGGACACGGCGGCCGGCGTGTCGTCGCTCGGCACGTCGGTCGGCGCTGCAGGCGCAGGCGCGATGGACGCGCTCCGGGTGCAGCTCGACGAGGCTGCGCTCGGACTCGGGCTCGGCGTCGGGCCGGGCGGCAAGAGCGTGTCGCGCCGGCCGTCGGCGGCGCAGCTGCGCGCAAAGGCCTCGTCGTCCCGCCTGCGCGAGTCGTCCTCGGCGCACACGTCCGCAGACGTGCCGCCGGTACCGCCGCTGCCCAAGGTCATGGTGGTCCCGACGCCGTCGAGCGCGGCGACGAGCGAGTCGTCGTTGTCCTTCCTCGGCTCGCCGCCTCTCGCCTCGCCCTCCTCGACGACGGCCACCACGGCGACGGCCACGACGCAGCCCATCTCAATCTCGCCGTCGTCGACAAGCTCGCTCGGCGCCGCAGCCGCCTCGCTGTCGCAGTCGCAGTCGTCGTCCGGCCACGGCGCCGGGGCAGGAGCCGGTGCGGGCGCGACGAGCCTCCTCGGGTCGCTCGCGAGCAGCGCGTTCGGGAGCTTGGCCAAGCAGGCGACGGGAGCGGGCATGGGCGACTGGAAGGAGCGAGGGCGAATGGGCTGAGCGGGTCCGAGCGGGCTCGAGGGAGCCGTCGAGCCGCTCGCAAGGAGGTCTCTCGGCGTGTACTGGCCCTCTCCCCCTCTCCTGTCTCTTCGGCATACGTGTTCGGGTCGTGCCTTGTTGTCTTGCTCGGCGGGCGGTCGGCGGTGTCGCGTCTTGGCGTAGCAGCTGTACAGCATCTCTTTGCATGCCCTCGTTCTGCCTCTCGAGCTCTCGTCGCACGTCATTGTCTCTCTTTCTCACGCACAGTCTCGAAGTGAGCGTGCACACGCAAAGAGCTGCAGAAAGCCGAGGCTGCGTTACACATGCACAGGCTCGCGCCCTCGCCCTCGCCTCGCTCGACGTTGCCCGCACAGGCCCAACTCACCGCTCGGCCTTGACCTTCTTGCTCTTGCGGCCCTCGTTGCCCTCCTTGGCCGCCTTCTTGTCCTTCTTTGCCGCCTTCTTCGCCGCCTTGGCCGCCGCCGCCGCGCCGTCGTCCGCCTCGTTCTTGACCTCGCCCTTCTTGACGGCGAGGTGCGCCGGCGCCGGGAGCGGGCTCGGGCTCCTGCTGCTCGCGACGCTCTGCGCGCGCTCGACGGTGGGCACGGCGGCCCGGCCGCCGTGCTGCGCGCGCTGCGACGCCTTGGCGACGTCGACGCCGTGCCGCGGGATGCCCGTCCCGACGCCGTCGTCGTCGTCGTTGTCGAGCTCCGAGTCCGAGCTGTCGCTCGCGGCGGCCGCACCTCGAGGTGCAGGCGATGCCGACGACTCGCGGTCGTCGTCGTCGTCGTCGTCCGAGTCGGACCCGGACGAGCCCGTGTCGCTCTCGCTGTCGCGCCCACGCTTGCGCTTGTTGTCGCGCGTCGTGAGGATCTTGCTCTTGACGAGGGATGCGTCCGGGTCGGGCTTGGTCGACGACGAGGGGTGGTGTGCCGAGAGGGCGGCGAGCGCCGAGGGCGAGAAGGGGTCGGCGAGGAGCGAGCCCGTGCACGACAGGAGCGAGTTGGTCGTCGTGAGGCTGCGGGCGCGAGAGCGATTCAGTCGTGTCGTCGAGCAGGCGACAGAGAAGGAAGAGAGATAGGGAGACGCACTCGACCAGAGTGAACTCGATGCGGCCGTCGGACCCGCCGAGCGGCTCGCGCGTCGTGCGGTGCACCCACCACCCGCGCTCGGCCAGCAACGCCTCGTCCTCTTCCTCCTTGAGCTCGTCCTCCTCGTCCTGCTCCTCCTCTGCGTCCGCCTCGGCCTTGGCGACGTCCGCCTCGCCCGCCGCGCTCTGCGGCACGAGGTGCTCCGAGCCCGGCTCGCCCGTCACCGTCTCCTCGACGGCGCCCTCGCCGCCGTCTTCTGCTGCAGCGGCGGCGCCGGCGCGGCGCTTGACCGAGTCGACGACGCTGCGGAGCGGCACGTTGGCGTTGCGGCGCTCGAGGACGATGGGCGGCACGGCGCACTCGGGGTCGAACTCGTAGTCCTGCGAGGGGATGTGGGACGAGGGGATCGAGGCGTTGAAGAGGTTGTGGAGGAGGAGCGAGACGTGCGAGGGCGAGGCGAGCGTGAGGGTGCCGACTGCGAGGATCGAGCGCGCGAGGGCGAAGGTCAGGGTCACTGGGCGGCGGCGAGGAGGAGGCCGAGGTAGACGGGGACGCACGAAGCTTCATTCCGACGCGTGGCCGCCAGCCGACGCCCTCCCACTCGACGTTGGCGAGCGTGAAGCCGGTGCCCTGGACCATGGGGAGCGACTTGAAGCGGACCGTCTCGCCATCATCGTCGTCGTCGTCATCTGCGGCGGCGGCTTGAGGTTGCGGGGTCGAGAGGAGCGCTCGCGGGTCCTTTGCCGGGCTGAAGGACGAGTCGAACGGCGAGGCAGACGCCGGGAAGGACGCGGCCGGGTGGAGGAAGCGGGGGGTGGGCGAGAAGGAGAGGAGGACGGCGCGAACTGGCGGCAGGTACCTGCGGGCAGGGTTCGAGGGTCAGCACGACGCTCAGGAGGACAGAGTGACGTGTAGGACGGACCGCATGACCCAGCCGGCGAGGACCTCTCGGACGCCGTCCATGCCCTGGTCATGGCCCGGATAGCTCGACGAGTGGTTGGACGCGGCAAAGCGGGGCGAGATCGGGAGGCGCATGGTGGCCTTGAACGTGATGAACTCGCCCTCGCTGCTGCTGCTGCTGCTCGAGGCTTGAGGGAGCGAGGTCGACGCCGAGACCGACGACAGGCGGAGCGAGGCGGCAGCGGTCGCAGACGCCATGGCGGGAGGTGCGCGCGGGCGAGTCGGGGTAGAAGGAGCTGGCGAGTAGATCTAGCCGGGCAGATCTGGCCCTAGAGCTGGTTGGGTCGAGGGAGAGACGGTGAGGCTGTGAGCTCGACGACGAGCGACGAGCGAACCAAGCTCTCGCTCCCCACACCTCGTCCCACTCGCTCCGAGCGACCTTCTGAGCCCGCTAGACCTACTCAGCGCACCCTGTTAGCCATGTCTGGCACCCGTCCGGAACACATCGCCCCGCCAGAAGTCGTCCGTCCCTCCCTCTCCTTCCTCATCTCTCATCTCCCACACCGCTCACCCACCGCCCCTGGACACAGTTCTACAATGCCGGCGAGGCCCACAAGTACACCAACAACTCGCGCGTCCAGTCGATCCAGGCCGAGATGACCTACCGCTGCCTCGAGCTCCTCGACCTCCCCGCCGCCTCGACCGCAACTCAAGCCTCGCACGCCGCACACCAAGCCGCCATGCGCGACGACGACGACGACGAGCAGGACGACGACGAGCAGGACGACGACGAGCAGGACGAGCAGGACGACCTGCGCCGGCCTAGCTTCCTCCTCGACATCGGCGCCGGCAGTGGCCTCAGCGGCGAGATTCTCACCGAGGAGGGCCACCAGTGGGTCGGCATGGACGTCAGCGGCGGCATGCTCGAGGTTGCACTTGAGCGCGAGGTCGAGGGCGACCTCATGCTCGCCGACATCGGCCAGGGTATTCCGTTCCGCCCTTCGTCGTTCGACGGCGCCATCTCGTGCGTCCCTCTCTCTCTTTCTCTCGCTTCCGCGCCCCGAGACTGACTCTCGCCCCCTCGTCTCGCAGGGTCTCGGTCCTTCAATGGCTGTGCAACGCCGACTCGACGGCGCACTCGCCCGCCGGTCGCCTCCTGCGCTTCTTCACCGACCTGTTCGGCGCCCTGCGCAAAGGCTCGCGCGCCGTGTTCCAGTTCTACCCGGAGAGCGACGACCAGGTCACCTTCATCATGACGCAGGCGACCAAGGCCGGCTTTGGCGGCGGCCTCTGCGTCGACTACGTACGTCCACGCTCCCCTCCCCCCCCTCTCGCTCGGACCCCCTACTGACGCACCCTCTCTCTCGCCGACACAGCCCAACTCGAGCAAGAAGAAGAAGTTCTACCTGATTCTGTTCGCGGGCCAGCCCATCGTCGGCGGCAAGCCGCAGCCGATCGCGGTCCCGCAAGGTCTGCGCGACGAGCACGAGCAGGTCGCGTTCGAGAAGAAGCGCGCCGACGCCGACGCGCGCAAGAAGATGCACCGCGGGTCTGGCGGGAAGAAGGGCAAGGGCAAGAGGGGGCTCAAGGAGGAGACCAAGGAGTGGGTCCTCAGGAAGAAGGAGCTGTACCGCACGAGGGGCAAGGAGGGCGTCCCGCGCGACTCCAAGTGCGTCCCTCTCTCTCACTTCTCCCCCTTTTGCCCCTCGACGTGACCCTGACCTCGCCCCTCGCCGACAGGTACACGGCCCGATCGCGCAAGCCGCGCTTCTGAGCCCACCCTCCCCTCCCTCCTTCTTGGTCGCCGCTCCCTTCCTTGTCGCCCGGGAGCTGTCGCCGTCGTCTCTCTGCCCAGGTCCTCTACTGTTTCATACCCTCTCGAGCGTCCCTCCCTGTGTCCTGTTGTACCTCGTCGCCCGTTCCTCGCACTGCATCGTCGTCTCTTTCCTCCCTCTCGGCCGTCTAAAGCGAGGGTTTCTCGCTCGCTCTTGCGTCTCGCTCTCGACTCGAGACTCTGTCAGAGACGAGCATGCTCGCGGAGAGACACGATCCCTCTCGAGAGACGACGAACGCGCGAAGAAAGAGGAGAGTCGCAAGGATTCATATTCAGGAAGAGCAGGGGCGTCTACATGCAGTCGCCGCAGCGGCGAGGACGAGAAGGCGGGAAGGGGGAGCTAAGCAAAGAGGGAGGAGAGACCGAAAGAGGGTGAGGACGTACACAAGTCGAGGGCGACGGCGAAAAGTAGAAAGAGGGAGAAACGAGGCAGGGGTCGCAACAAGGGGGACGAGACGGGGCACGGGGCACGAAAAGGTCGAGAGAGGCAGAGAGGGAGGTCTATGAACGAGGAGAGGAGAGGGGGGAGAGGGTATGGGGAGCGAGGGCTATGCGCCGACCTTGGCGACGACGGCGGGAACGGGCGGCGGTGCGGCGACAGGCTTGAGCGTCGGCGAAGGCGGGACCGGGTAGAAGGCGCCACCGACCTTGGTGAGGAGGTAGGCCTCCCACGACGAGATGAGGTACTGCGTGAGGACGACGAGTCGGTCAGGGACCGAGCACGAGGGGAACGTGCGCGGGTGGTTGAGAGAGGGAGAGAAAGAGAGACGCACGTTGGCGATGCCGAGGTACCAGAAGCTCGTCCACGAGAAGAGGCTGCTCGTCTCCTTGGCGACCTTGTCCCAGTCCTGCTCCATCTCGTGACGCAGCTCGAGAAGCGCCTTGGTGCGGTCCGTCAGGATCGCCTTGACGCCCCACTTGGTCGCCTCGATCATCTCGCGGCGGTCGTTGACGGTCCTGCACGAGCGGATCAAGGTGCTGCCAGGTCAGGTCGCTGTCACGGATCGCGAGCCAGACCAGAGAGGGGGACCGTGCGCCGGACGCACCAGACGGTGATCTCCTTGCCGGCCTTGCGGCACTCGTCGCGGAACGACGCGCCCTCCGAGTTGACCATGCTCGCAAAGCTCATGCTGAACGTGCAGCACGCGTCCCAGAAGTACTTGCGCGCGAGCGCGGGCGACATGCCGATGTGGGCGCGGCGCACGTCGGGCAGGAGGCGCTGCGCCGGCTCGACGTACTTGGGGTGCCACAGGCCGAGAACTGCGCGAGGGTGGACCAGTGCAGGGTGAGCTCGCGATCGAGAAAGAGGGGGAGGGAAGGGGGAGGACGAGGGGGACGCACGCAGTCGGGGCGCGAGCTTGGTCTCAAAATCGGGGTACGACGAGATGATGTCCTTCATGATGGTGAACAGGCGCTCCGGGTCGTTGTCGACCTTGACGTCGATGTTGAGGAGGACGTGCTCGTTGGCGGGCTGCATCAAGAGGTCGAGCGTCTCGCGCAGGAGCGGGATCTTCTGGTGCGGCGCCTGCACCGTGCGCAGCTGGTCGAGGCCGCCGTGGTAGTTCTGCGTCGCGATGCGGCCCGTGCCGTCGGTCGTGCGGTCTGTGCGAGGCGAGAGAAAGGGTGAGCGATCGTGGGCAAGTGCGGGTTGCGGCCCCGTCACAAGGGAAGGGAGGGAAAGAGGAGGACGCACCGACGCGAGGATCATGGAAGACGACTGTGACAGCGGCGTCGTCGAAGGTCAGGAGCTGCTCGCAGCACAACAACACGCACACGCGCTAAGGGAGCGACGAGGCGGTTCTAAGGGGACGTACGGATCTCGCCGTCGGCCGAGATGTGGACGTCTGCGGCGGGCAAGGTGGATCGGTCAGCTCGACGTTCTGTAGACGATGTCGACAATCGTGTCGTGTCCGGCGAGAGCGCAACAGCGTTCCACCCGCCAGTCGACCGCGTCGACCTTCCCAACTCGCCGACGACGACGGTCCCTCGCCCGGCCTCGCCCGCTCGTCCCACGGCGCCGCTCGCAGCGCCTCGTCCGCCCGTCCTTGCCCATGCAGAACCGCATGGCGCGTCCACAGTGGCGCGCCAAAATTGGCCGGGCTCTCGAGCTCGCTCCAGCCGAGCGTGCCGGCCGGGAGGTTCGGAGAGAGAGAGGGAGAGAGGACGGACCGGACTCGATGCCTTCTGCGCCGTCGCGGATGGCGGCCTCGAAGCTGGCGAGCGTGTTCTCGGGGAAGGCGGCCGAGGCCTGCCGGTGGGAGGGGCGTGAGCGGCTCGGAGCTCGGCAAAGGGTCCGAGATAGGGCTCGGGGGAGAGGGACGCACCCCGCGGTGACCCCAGCAGAGCGGGACGCGCTCGAGGGACGACGGGTTACGCTCGAGAGTGGGTTTGGGCGCGGGCGACATGGCGGACCGAGACGAGTGACGAAGGGCGACCGAAGCTGCGGAAGCGGAGGGGAGGGAGCGCCACAGGCGAGTGGGTGGTGGCGCGCGGTGGAGCGTCGTGCGGGTGGCTAGGGTGGGTCGGGCTGGGTGCGGAGGCTGCACGCAAGGCGGGCGAACGCGCCAACAAGAGTCAGCTCGCGAGGTCGGAACGACGACGACGTCGGATAGTGCGCCCGCTGATGAGCGCGCAGACGGCGCGACTCACGTGGTGGGTGGCGCGGGGCGGCTGCGAGCTCGTAGTGCTGGTGCAGGTAGAGCAGACAGGTGTCTGTGTAGTGGACAGAGGGCGGGAGACCAAGAGGGACCAGGTGCACTTTGCCCGAGCCGGCGCGAGCCACTCCGAGCGAGGCGGTGCAGCCGCACGTTCTTTCGGTCAACTCGCTCGCCTCCTCTCTCCTGTCGCCAACCAGGCCAACGTGCGCTTGCTCTCGCAAAGTGCCCCAGCCGAGAACCCGCCACGAGGAGCACCTGGCTCTCCTCGCTCGCGCACTCTGCGCCGGCAGCTCACGACGACGTCGACGTGGACAGACGTGGATTGCAGCTAGGGGTCGTACACAGACAGAGAGAGGGGGGCTACGAGACGAGGGCGCGAGGTCGGAAACGTGGGAAAGGACAGGAGGGAGAGGAGAGCGCTCGACGAGAGCGCACGAGGAGGAAAGGCGAAAGTCGAGCCGAGGCGGGGAACAGACAGAGGGGGACGAGGGACGAACAGGTGTGAGCGTAGAGGGTAAGGGGAGGCCGAAGAGGAGAGTCGAGGGGCGAGGACGAGATGGTGTAAGTCGGGAAGGTCGAGAGGGTCGAGGGCGGCGAGGCTTGCCTAGCGGCCGTCCCACGTCTGCACGATCGAGTCGCGCGTGGGAGCTGTGTGACAAGAGAGAAAGAGGTCAACTCGTGCGCAGCCACGCTTCGGGCTTGACGAGGGTCCGTGGTCGAGGGAGAGAGAGAGCGGGACGCACCCTTGAGCTTCTTCTTGTCCTCGACGAGCACGTTCTCGGGCAGCGTCACGATCTGTGAGAGAGAGGCTCGTCAGTGACCGGCGCCTCGTGCACATAGCGCCTCGACGGCGCGGTCGACCGCGCCGCCAACGAGCATCAGAGGACGAGGAACGAGCGGGGCTCACAATCTCGCGGTCGCCGCCAAACTTGAAGTTGTCGGCGACAATGGTGTCCGTGAACCTGCGCAGCGTGTACTTGTGCAGCCTGCCCTCCTTGACGTGGCGGAAGTTCCACGCGACGATGAAGGGCCCGGTCGACGTGACGATCGTCGTCTCGGCCTCGCCGCTCAGGGTTGTGTTGAATCTGCTCGTGAGCAAGCGTGGTCAGTGGCTGACGGCCGAGACCAAGTGGGAGGGAGAGGGGCAGAGAAAGGAGAGGACGCACTTGGCGACCGTGAAGCTGACGCCCTCGCCGCCCTGGACCTCCTGCATGTGGGCGACGTGCTCGGGACGGAGCGTGAGCCGCTTGGGCGTCGGCTTCTCGGCGGCAGGGAAGCTCCTGTCGAACCCGCTGTGGCCGGCGTACCGGCTCGAGCTCGACTCGGGGATGCGCGTGTCGACCAGGAGCAGGTACGTCTTGCACGTCGCGAGGACCCACCGGCCGTCGGCGCTCACGTCGACGCCGAGGATCTCGTCGCCGAGCGCGGGCAGGGCCGTCTTGGCCATCTTGCCGAGCTTGTCGAACAGGCGAATGTCGCCCTTCCTGCTCGCGACGGCGAGCCGGCCCGACTCGGTCGTCGCCGCCGCGGTAAAGTCGGCCTTGGTCGCGTACTGCTTGAACTCGCTCTCGACGAGCTTGGTGCCCGACAGGCGCGGGTCGATCCGGAACAGGCCGTTGGACGAGTGCCCGATGAACGTCTGCTGCTGGGTCGTCTGGGCAAACTTGCTCCCCGGCAGGAAGTTGGTGACGCCAAAGTCGTCGCTGACCTTGTACTCGTCGACGACCTTGCCCGTCTCGAGGTCGAGCCGGTACAGCGAGCCCGACGCGAGCGGGTTCTGCAGGATCATCGACGTGTCTGCGCGCGCGAGTCGAGGAACGGCGAGTCAGTCTCGGGCTGTCGAGGAGAGTGGGGGAAGAGGCAGGAGACGCACCCTGGTTGTGCAGCATGACCTTGCCCGGCGCAAAGTTCTTCTTGCCCGGCGCAGCGATGTTGACGATGCTCGTCACGAACTTGAGCTGCGGGACGACGACGGCGGCGAGCAGGTCAGGGTCTCGTTCCGCTCGTGCGCAGAGGCGACAGATAAGGAGGGCAGAGAGAGGGAGAGAGAGTCGGGCGAACCTTCTTGCCGCCCTCGCGCTGCTGCTTGAAGACGCCGATCATGTCGCCCTGGACGACGAACGACAGGTCCTCCTTGTACCCGACGGCGAGCGCACTGTTCTTGGCGCGACGCTTTGCGCCGATCGCGAGCTGTTTAGGCTGGCGCGACGAGAAAGCGCGAGCGGCCGAGGGCGCACGGGCGTCGTCGTCTGCGAGGAGGGTGGGAGGGCGAGGGTCAGTTCTCGGCGCCCGGCTCGTGCACGCACTCGCCGACGGCCCAGGTCAAGAGGCCGCCAAGAACGCGCGATAGAGAGGGGGAGAGAGGCGCGACGGACCCGAGTCGTCGTCGTCGTCGCTGATGCCCGCCTGCGGCTCGTCGTCCTCGCTCTCGTCCTCCTCCTCGAGCGCCTCGAGCCGTTCCTCCTCGTCCCTCGCGTCGTCCCTCTCGCGCTCCTCGGCCTCGGCGTCCCACATCTCGGCGTCCTCCTCGAGCCACGCCTGGCGCGCGTACTCGCGCTCGTCGGCCTTCATCCGGTTCCACGCGCCCGCGCCGTGCTTGTCCTCGAACAGGGCGGCGCTCACGGCCTGCTGCAGCGCGACGAACGCGGCGTCGTCCGACAGGCGCAGGAGCCACGTGAACGTCTCGGGTGCCGGAGCGGCATCGCCGGAGTCGGCCGTCGACGCCGGCGCCGGCGCCGTGTAGTTGAACACCATCGCTCGCTCGCGCTCGGCAAAATTGACGGTCGTGTCCTTGTCGACGGCCTGGCTGACCCACACCTCGCCCTGGTCCTTTACGCTCTCGACGACGAGCCACTGGGCGGACGGCGCCGTGCGGTACAGCTCGGCGCGCACGTCGGCGTCCTGCTGCATGAAGAGGCCCGTCGCGCGGTCGTACAGGTGCAGCGACGCCGAGACGCTCAGGAGCTTGTCGGGCGCCGAGCCGGTGCCGGCCGCGCTCGAGGTCGAGGCCGAGGGCGGTGCGGGCGGAGGAGGAGGGCGGCGCAGGGCGGGCGCGTACGGGTCGTCCGTGACGGCGGTCGGTGCGGTCGACGACGAAGGCGACGCCTTGCCCTTGCCCTTGCCCTTGGTGTTGGCGGGCGTGGCGGTGGACGGCGCCGGCGCGGGAACGGGCGGCGCGAGGACGGCCTTGTGCTCGAGCTGCTGCGCGAGGTCGTCGGCGCTGTCGTCGTCGCCGTCGCTCGGGGCGACACCGCCGTCGTACTCGTCGTCGTCGTACTGCGGCTGGGCGACGGGCGCGTCGCGCTCGTCGTCGTCGTCGTCGTCCGAGCCGGGCGTGCTCGAGCGGAACAGGGGCGTCTTGGCCGGCGCGCGCGCCGCGGCGGGGGCGGTCTCGAGGGGCGTACCGTAGGTCGACGAGGCGGCCGAGGTGCGGGACGGGGTCGAGAGGGCGGACGAGCCGGCGGGGAGGGTCGGGTACAGGGGTGACGGGGCGGGAGGAGCGGCGGCGCGCCTGTGAGGGTCGGGGTCCAGGTCAGTACGAGGACGTCGAGAGGGAGGGGAGGTACAGGGAGAGACGAGAGTGGGCGGGACGTACTCGACCTTGAAGTCGTCCTCGAGGTGGAGCTCTGCGGCTTGGGCGTCGCGGTCGTCACTCGGCCAGTCGCGGCCCTCGCGGCGCTCCCACATGCACCTCCAGCACAGGCGCTCAAAGTCACGTGCGGCCTGCTCCTGGCGCGGGTTGCGGGTCGCGGGGAGGACAAACTCGAACTCGTCGTCGGGCGAGTCGCCGTCCGGGTCGAGCCAGGTGAAGGACCACGGGCGGGGCTCGTCCGGGCTCGAGGTGGCGGTCGGGTCGAGGGTCGGACCGAGCGAGAGGAACAGGCTCGAGTCGAGGAGGAACGAGCGCTCGTCGGTCGACTCGGCGTCGTCGTCGAGGAGCTGTTCCTCGCCGTCCTCGAAGGCGCGGGTGACGACGAGCTGGAACATGTTGGGGTGGGTCGTCTTGCGGATCGAGAGGGTGGCGTCGATGAAGATGCACTCGCGTGCGCCCTTTGGCGAGTCGGGGCGGACGAGGAAGAGGCGGCCGCCGTCGAGTGTGGTTAGCTCGGGAGCGGGGCCCGAGGGTGCGGCCATGCCAAAGACTGTGTCGGGTGAGAGGGTCAGTTGGGGGTGGTGGTCGTTGTTGGGAGTGAGATGGACGCACGGCGGTTGACCTGTGCATGGTGTGAGGGAGTGGCGAGGAGGGGTGAGTTGGTTGAGAGAGGGGGAGGAGGATGAGGGGAGGAGGGGGAAGGGGGCGAGGTGAGTGCGGGTTCTTTGGGTGGGTGGCACGGTGGAGGGGAGCGGTGTACGTACGAGGAACATGGCTGGTCGCTGCTCGTGTCGCTGGAGAGAGAAGGGAGGGGCGACGACTTGTCGTCGTCGTCGCCTCCTCGTCGTCGCATCTCTCCCTCAAACGCCCTGCATCCGCTCTCCCGCCAGCGAGATGCACGGGCACAGCTCTCAGCCAGACTCGCCCCAGTCTCAACTCGCCCTCGCCCAGTGGTCCCAGCGCAAGTGGTCCGTCGCCGCTCCCCTCTCCCTCCCTCCCTCCCTCGTCCGTCGCTCCTCGCGGCCAGCCCCAACTCCCCCTCTGGGCCTGCGCCCTGTCCTCTCACACCACTCACACTCGCCAACAACGCGCAACAAACACGCGCACACGGCCCCGCGAGCCACCCTCGACCAGGCACGCTCCTCGACTCGGGGACCGTGTGTTGAACGATCACCGACCCCTCGTCCTCTCCACCCTCGTCCTCGACCGCCGACCTGCACCCTCGCCACTCCTGCACCACCTCGCCATCCCCAACAGCCCCTTCCCCCGCGAGCCAACCCGTACTGACCCTTGCCCTCCCTCCTCCTCGTCGCGCAGGGTCTGGGTTCCCGACGACCGCAATGGCTACCTCGCAGGTTGGGTCGTCAAGGACAACGACGACGACGCCACCTCGACCGTCGCCCTCGAAGCCGGCGACGATGTGAGTCGCCGCCTCGCTCACTCACTCCTGGGACACGGCCGGCTCGACTCGTCGTCCTGCCGTGCCGCTCTCCCTCTCGCCTTCGTACTGACACCCGTCACTCCCTCGACACAGATGCGCACCGTCGAGACAGACCTCCTCACCCGCGTCAACCCGCCAAACTTTGACGGCGTCGGCGACATTGCCGACCTGACGTACCTCAACGAGGCCTCCGTCGTCCACAACCTGCGCTACCGCTTCCACCGCGGCGACATCTACGTGCGTCCCTGCTCTCTTCCCTCCTCACTAACTCCCACCGACACGCGACTGACGAGAACTCGCCGCCCCATCCCCTCCTTCGCCTCGCTCCCTCGTCCGACCTCAAACTCGCCTGCTCCGCCGCAGACCTACTCGGGCCTGTTCCTCGTCGCCGTCAACCCGTACCGCAACCTGCCCATCTACTCTCCTCAAGTCGTCGAGTGTGCGTCGCCGCGGCCTCGTCCTCTCGCAGCCCGCCCTCTCCCGCACTGACTCGCTCTCTCCCCCCTCTTCCTCCCCTCTCGCCCTCCCTCCTCTTCCTTCCCCGCCGCATGCCCCGCCAACAGCCTACAAGTCGTCGCGTCGCGCGTCGCAGCCGCCCCACGTCTTTGCCGTCGCCGAGCGCGCGTGGCTCAACCTCGTCGACCAGCGCGGCCATCAGTCGCAAAGCGTCCTTGTCACGGGCGAGTCGGGCGCAGGCAAGACCGAGAACACCAAGAAGGTGATCCAGTACCTCGCCGCGAGGGCCGCAGACCCCCGCACTGCCTCGGGCGCGGCGACGGGCGTGAGCAGGAGCGAGTCGGTCGACCTCGTCGCGGCACGGCATGCGGCCGCGGCTTCGGGGAGCGGTTCGGGCGGTGCGGGAGAAGCAGGAGGAGCAGGAGGAGGGCCGGCGCCTCGACTCGGCCGCCTCGAGCAGCAGATCCTCGACGCCAACCCGATCCTCGAGGCGTTCGGCAACGCCCAGACGGTCAAGAACCACAACTCGTCCCGGTTCGGCAAGTTTGTCCGCATCTTCTTCACGCCCGGCGGGTCCATCTCGGGCGCCGCCATCGACTGGTACCTGCTCGAGAAGAGCCGCGTCGTCGGGCGCAGCAAGGACGAGCGCGGCTTCCACGTCTTCTTCTGGTTGCTCCGAGGCGCCGACCGTGGCCTACTCGGTGCGTCTCTGTCTCTCTCTCTCTTTCCCTCTTTCTCTGGGCGCCCGCACGTCGAGACGAGTCACTCACGCGCCCACCGGCGGTCCGTGCGTCCTCCCCTCGCAGACAAGCTCCTGCTCGCCGACGAGGCGCACGACAAGGGTTCCGCCGCCTTCGAGTACCTCGCGCACTCGCGGCAAGACGTCGACGGCATGGACGACCGCGCAGAATGGTCGGCGCTCGTTGTGCGTCCCTCTGCCTCTTTCGTCCCCCTCCTTCCCCCTCGTCCCGCCAACTGACTCGACCCTCGCCTTTTCCGCCGCCTGCAGCGCGCCCTCGACACGGTCGGCTTCACCTCGACCGAGCAGCTGTCGCTGTTCCGCACGATCGCGACCATCCTCCACCTCGGCCAGCTCTCGCTCTCGGTGTCGGGCACGACGACGGCCTCGCTCTCGTCGCGCGCCGCCCTCGAAAAGGCGGCGTACCTGCTCGGCGTGCCCGCCGACGCGCTCGCCGACGCGCTCCTGCGCCCGCGCGTCAAGGCCGGCCGCGAGGTCGTCGTCCAGAGCCGGTCGCGCGACCAGGTCGTCGCCGAGCTCGGCGCCCTTGCCAAGAGCCTGTACGAGAAGAACTTTGCCGCCCTCGTCGAGCGCATCAACGTGTCGCTCGCCGGCTCGGGCGCCTCGGGCTCGTCGGGCGCGACGTCGTCGGCGTCGGCGGTCGCGGCTGCCGCTCAGCAGCACAGCAAGCAGGCGTTCATAGGCGTCCTCGACATTGCCGGCTTCGAGATCTTTGAGACGAACGGCTTCGAGCAGCTGTGCATCAACTACACGAACGAGGTCCGTCCCGCTCGGTCTCTCTTTCCTCCCCCTCGCCCGCATCCTCGACTGACCCAGTCCGTCCACCTTTGCCGCCCGCAGAAGCTCCAGCAGTTCTTCAACCACCACATGTTCGTCCTCGAGCAAGAAGAGTACGCGCGCGAGGACATCCAGTGGGACTTTGTCAACTTTGGCCTCGAGCTGCAGCCGACGATCGACCTCATCGAGGGCACGGCGCCTCTCGGTGTCCTCGCCTGCCTCGAGGACGCGAGCATCACCCGCAAGAACGACGCCTCGGTGCGTCCTCTTCTCACGCGGTCTCGCTCTCTCGCTCTCTCGCGCGACCGTCACTCACTCGGACTCGTCGCCGTCGCAGTTCACCAACGCCCTGCACCAGCTCGCGTCGACCAAGCCCGTCTCGGAGCCGTACAAGCAGTACACGCCGTCGCGCCTGTCGCAGGGCTTCACGATCGCGCACTACGCCGGCAAGGTCGAGTACCGCACCGACGGCTGGATCGACAAGAACCGCGACCCGCTCAACGACTCGGTCACGGCGCTCCTCGCCCGCAGCGGCGACGACTACGTCAAGCGCATGTACGCCGAGTACGCCGACGTCGCCGCCGCCGCCACGACCACCGCGTCCGACGGCGAGCTCGTCGTCGCAGGAGGAGGAGGTCCGCGCACCCGGGTCCGCAAGGGCAACTTCCGCACGGTCGGGCAGCGCCACAAGGAGCAGCTGTCGCTCCTCCTGTCGCAGCTGCACGCGACGCAGCCCCACTTTGTGCGCTGCATCGTGCCCAACCCGGACAAGTCGCCGTCGAGCATCGACGTGCCCCTCGTCCTCGACCAGCTGCGGTGCAACGGCGTCCTCGAGGGCATCCGCATCGCGCGCCTCGGCTACCCGAACCGGCTCGCCTTCGCCGACCTGCGCCGCCGGTTCGAGCTCCTCCTCCCGCTCGGCACCTTGCCGTCGTCGGGCGGCGCTTTCGTCGACGGCGCCGAGGCGTGCGCGACCATCCTGCGCCACGCCGGCCTCGACCCGACGACGTACCGCCTCGGACTCACCAAGGCCTTCTTCAAGGCGGGCATCCTCGCCGAGCTCGAGGAGCGCCGCGACGCGGCCCTGAGCGGCATCGTGACGCGGGTCCAGGCCGCCGCGCGCCGGTTCGTCGCCCGCCGCCAGGCCGTCAAGGTCCTGCACCGCGCCGGCGCCGTGCGCACGATCCAGCGCAACGCGCGCATCTACGCCCAGCTGCGCGCGTGGCCCTGGTGGCCCCTGTTCCAGCGCGTGCGCCCTCTGCTTGCCGCCGCGAGGAGCGATGACGAGCTGCGCCGCCGCGAGCACGAGCTCGCCGAGGCCAGAAAGCGCGCCGACGACGAGGAGCGCGTCCGGCGCGAGCTCGAGGAGCGCCAGGCCCAGCTCGAGCGCGACCAGGACGAGCTCGCGCGCAGCCTCGAGCAGGAGCGCCAGCTCTCGCTCGAGCAGGTCGGCGCGCTCGAGCGTGCGGCGCAGCGCGAGGTCGACCTCCAGGCCGAGCTCGAGGCGGCGCAGGGCGACTACGACGCCGTCGCCGCCCAGCTCGACGAGGCGCTCTCTGCGCGCCGCACCGCCGATTCGCGCCTCGAGGAGCGCGGCGCGTCGTACGCCACGCAGACCAAGCTCGTCGAAGCGCTCCAGGCGGCGCAGGCGGTCGCCAAGCAGCGCGAGGCCGAGCTCGCCCGCCAGACGAGCGTCGACACGCTCGAGTGGGAGCGCGTCCGGCGCGAGCGGAGCGAGGCGCTCGAGCGCGTCGCCCGCATCGAGCGCGAGCTCGGCGAGGTCAAGGAGGACCGGCGTCGCGAGCAGGAGAGGCTCACGGCGGCCATGCGGCAGCTCGAGGGGCGCGTCGAGGCCGAGACGAGGGCGTCGACCGAGGCGAGGGCCAAGTTTGTCGCGCTCGAGGCGGACGCGAGGGCGGCCAAGGCCGAGGTGGCGGCGTTGCAGCGGGCGCACAGGGACGGCGACGAGCGTTTGCGGGCCAAGGAGGGCGAGCTCACCCGCCTGCGCACCGGTCCGTCCTCGCCACCTGTTCCCTCTCTCTCTCTTCCTCTCTCACTCTGTACTGACGTCGTCCTCCTCGTTGCCTCTCACTGCAGATGCCGCCACCGCTCGTCAGCAGCTCGACGCCGCAAGCGACCGCGCCCGTCGGGCCGAGAGCCTCGCCTCGTCGCTCCAGCAGGAGCTCGCCGCCACCACCGGCGCTCTCGAGTCGTCTCGTGTCGCCCAGGACAAGGCCGGCGCCGACCTCCTGTCGCTCAAGAAGCTCGTCGACGAGCAGGCGTCGGACCGCCAACGCGCGCTCGAGGTCGCCAAGATCCGAGAGGCCGAGATCGCCGACCTCAAGTTCCAGCTGTCCAAGGTCGGCTCCGAGCTCACGCTCGCACAGCGTGACGGCGCCAAGCACGTCGAGCGCCTCCAGGGCGACCTCGAACACGCTCGTCGCGAGGCGACCGACGCCACGGCGCACCGGCGCGACCTCGAGCGCAAGGTCGCCGGCCAGGCCTCAGCGCTCGCCCAGCTCGAGGAAAAGAACGTCGCGCTCGAGCGCGCCCAGCAGGCGCACGAGCTCGAGTTTGAGCTCTTGCGCACCGAGACGGCCGAGCAGATGCTTCACGCGCGCGAGAAGGCCGACCACGAGCTCGCCGGCGTCCACGCCCAGTTCCAGGTCCTCGAGGACGACGCCGTGCAGGCTCGTCGCGACCGAGATGCCGCGCTGCGCGACGTCGAGGCGTTCAAGGCGCTGTACGAGGCCGAGCAGGAGACGGTCAAGCAGCGCGAGGTCGACCTCGTCGAGCTCGACAAGCAGGTCGAGGCGCAGCGCTTCCACCTCCTCGACCTCGACAAGATCAACGGCGACCTGCGCGCCGAGCTTGCATCGACCAAGGCCCGACTCGTCGTCGCCGAGGAGAAGGCCGGCAGGACCGTCGTGCGTCCCTGTTCCTGCCCACGCTCTCCCTCTTATTCCCTCCTCTAAATCCCTTTCTCTGCGTGCAGGTCGAGCACATTCGCGTCCTCGAGGAGGCGCAGCGCCTGCAGAACGCCGAGATGGACCGCATCCGCGCCGACCGCGACAAGCGCGACGCCTACGTCCGCACGCTCGAGCGAGCCCGTGCCGCCCTCACTCTCTCGGTCGAGGACGTGCGTCAACCTTCCTCCTTTCTCTCGTTCCCTGCGTCGCGCGCAGACCTGACATGCCCTGCCGCTCGCAGTACCAGCATCAGCTCGAGGCCGAGCGCCGGGCGGCTTTCGCCAAGCAGGTCCCTCGCGACACGACGCCCGACCGCCTGCGCGACGAGCTCGCGAGCGAGAAGAAGGTTCGCGAGCTTGCCGAGCTCAACGTGGTGCGTCGGCCTTTCCCTAGTCCTGCCCCTTGAACCCTCGACTTACTCGGTTTCGTCGTTGCAGTCCCGCCTTCGCTCCGAGATCAAGCACCTCGAGTCGCTCCTCGACTCGTCCAGGACCGAGATCTCGGACCTCAAACGGCGCAGCGACCGCGCCGAGCGCGACCTGCAGCGCTTTGCCGCCTCGGACGCCGACGAGGCCCTGATCGCCCCGAGCAGGTCGTCGAGCGCGTCGCCGACCAAGAACTTTATCGCGTCGTACCCGAACAACGCGATGCGGGACTCGCGCGCCGCCAACGCTCTGCCGAGCGTACCTGCGCCACGAGTCGGCGGCGGCCGCATCGAGACGCCGTTTGGGTCCGGCACGGGCTCGGTCCACCACTCGCGCAGTGCGTCCCACTTTCTCTCGCCCTCTCGCCACACTTTCGCCGTTCCCTGTCCTGACGATGATCTCTGTGCAGCGTCCGTCGACCTCAAGCGTGCGTCGCTGCAGTTCCCGCTCTCGTCGAGCCCGTCGGCGGCGCCGCCACCGAGTCCCTCTCGGGTGCGCCGCTGGGAGTAACCTCGCCCTGTCCCTGTGTCTTTCTTGTGCGTCCACTCTCTCGCTCTCGCCTGCAGCAAGCCCTGACGCACGTGCCCCTCGCAGAGTCCGTCCTCGCGACCCTCCTTCCTTCCCTCCCCTTTCCCGACCTTGTTGCGCCTCGTCTACCCCCTCGATGTCTGTCGCCCTCACTGCCCGCATCAGTACATACCTCTCCTCGCGCCGGGCTGCTGTACACTCTCTGTATGCCATGGACGCTCTCTCTTTCTCGACCCTCGAGCGTGCGACACGAGAGCCCGACGTGAGAGACAGTCGGACACGACAGGCCTACCTCGTCTAGCCTCAGATGGCGTGCGCAAGTCAAGCGTAGCGATCTGAGGGTTGTCGATGGCGACAGGCTTTCGAGGAGTTGGCGCGCTCAGGCCTCCCCTCACCTCGCGCTGTCTCGCCTCCTCGTCGCCGCTAGCGATTCCCGCACTGGTGCCAGGGGCTCTCTGCTTCTCCTTCAGGCCACTCCACCATTCCCGTCATGCTCTTCCGACCCGTCCGGCGCGCCCTCTGTCGATTTCGTTCTCTTCAGCTCGTGCAGGCGCAGCACTGTCGCTTTCGCCCGCCGTGCACGATACGCGAGAGCGCTCGTTGGAGCTCTAGTCGATGCTCGTAGCGACGGCGCACGCTTTGAGAGGAACGCTGCGCGAAAGCCGAACCGCTTGACCTTCTCAAGTTCCGGCTGCGAGCGCTCGCTCGACGTCTCTCTCCTGCTGTGCAACCTCTGCGCCAGCACGGCGCTGCCCAGACCGAGCCACATGCAGCTCAGCCGGGCGGTGTCGAGCGAGGCGAGCGTTTCTCGAGCGAGAAGCCGAGCGTGCACGGTTCTCTCGCCGAGTCGAGTTTCGCAACCGGCCGGGCTCGCGTTTGCGGCAGCTCGACGTCGAGAGGGACGCAAAGGTCGAGCCCAGCTGTTGCTCGAGTCGACCCGGGCGGCGTGCGAGAAGGAGAGAAGAGGACGAGGTCCGAGCGGACGAGGGAGCATGCGAGGAAACGGAGCGAGTCGGGACGAGCAAAGCGATTGCGAGGCTCGTGCGGTTGGACAGCTCTCGGCTCTTGACCCATCTCTATTCGGCGAGCACGAACCAGTTGCAGGGCCAAGCTCGCACAGCTTTCGTCTCGCTCGAGGGGAAGGAGGGTCGGACGCTCTCGCACAACGCTCTCTCGTCGCAGCCGGCTCGTCTGCAAGGGAGCTCGAGAGGGAGCTTTATCTAGCAAGCGAGCGCCTGAGAGAGGGCAGCGGGAGCGACGAGGACAGCTGGAAGGTCCGTGCACGGCGAGCGCGGTCGTCGACGCTCCTGGCTCTCTCTTTCGAGAACGCGGCCCGCCTCCCTCTGCTCGAGCTTGGCGACCACGCCGTCGCCCTCTGATTGAGGCGAGAGCCAGCAGGCTCTCGAGCAGGAGGAGAGGGAAGCCCTCTCTCGGGGTCGCCTCGTCTCTCCAGCTTTCTCGTCTCTCTCGTCTCGCTCGAGAGGTGCGGCGGCAGGGAAGATGGGTGAAAAGGCATTGCGAGCGACCAAAGAGGGGATGACTACACAAGAAGAAGGGGGAGAGAGGGGGTCCGAGGCAGAGGAGACGGCGACGAGGTCGAGAGGGAAAGATCGGGCGCGAACGACCTGCGTTTGAGACGAGTGGGGCGGAAGAGAGTCAGTAAATGCGACTCGGGACGGGCGAGAGACCAAGTGAGGGGACGCACCTGGAGGAAAGAGGCTGAGGTCGGCTCAGACGAAGCTGCCGCCGACGCCGCCACCAATGCCGCCGCCGATGCCGCCGTCGAAGCCGCCGCTGAAGCCGCCGCCGCCGAGCGACGAGGAGCCGCCGAAGCCGCCGCCGAGCCCGTTGTCGTAGTCGCCGAAACCGCCGTCGAGGAAGCTGGCCGAGTCGAGCGAGCCCGCGCCGTCAAAGCCGCCGATGCCTGCGTGCGAGAGGTGGCTCGACGTCAGTGACGAGCGTCGTACCTGGGAAGAGGCAGAGAGAGAGAGAGAGAGGGGAGCGCACCGTTGAGCCCGCCGCCCGAGATGCCGTCGAGGCCGCCGCCGAGGCCGATTCCGCCGCCGAGGCCAAGGCCGCCGCCGAGACCTGCGTACGCTCGCGCGAAAGAGGTCAGTGCGTGTGTCGACAAAGAGAACGAGCGAGAGGTGGGCGCACCGTTGCCGATGCCGCCGTCGCGCTTCTCCTTGAGGCCGACGAGGACCGAGTCGGCGCTCACTGCGGGCGCGCGCCGGGTCAGAGACGTCTCGCGCGAGGGAGAGAGAAGGGACGCACCCTTCGAGTTGTGCTCCTTCTTGTGCGTCTGCTTGTAGCAGAACTCCTCGTAGTAGAACTCCTTGTCCTGGTAGTCCTTCTTGAAGTTGGCGAACAGGAACACGTCGGCGTTGCCGGCTGCGGGTCGGTGCGCTCGAGGGCGTGTCAGTCGCTGTCGTCGTCTCCACGAGATTGAGAAAGAGGGGGACGCACCGTCCTTGATCGCGACCTCCTTGTCGGTGCGGAGCTTGAACGCCTCTGCGGGTGGAGCGACGTCGAGGTCAGGCCATTCCTCGCTGACGCGTGAAGAGAGAAGATGAACGCACCGACGTCGGCGTAAAGGTTGCGGTAGCAGATCTCCCTGTAGCTCAGAGACTCCTCGGCGTTCTTCTGCGAGTAGTCGGACGCCGAGATGATGCCGTCGCCCAGGCCGTAGTCGTCGTAGCCGCCACCGTAGCCTGCGCGTCGAGTGAGGGTGGGCGAGAGTGTCAGTACAAGGTCTGAGAAGGAGCGAGAGAGAGAGAGGGACGCACCGCCCTTGCCGCCACCCGAGGGGAGCGCCGCGACGTTGAGCGCCGTGCCGGCGATCGTGAGGGCGATGAGCGTCTTGGTGAGCATCTTGAGGGTCGTGACGAGGACGAGGTGCGAGAGGTAGAAGGTCGAAAGGACGAGGAGGGTCGAGACGGTCGACGAGGGACGAGGATGGGAAAGGAAGCCAAGAGGGACAGGCGAGCGTCGTCGGCTGGTCCTCGAGGCTCGTCTCGGCCACAGCGAGGCTTGGATGCAGCGAGAGATGAGCCAGCGACCGGCCTCGGAGCGCAGCAGCGTGGCGGCCTGCGCGAGGACGACCGCTCGGACGCGCTCGAAAGGCGAAGCGCCGGGGAGGGCGCAGCTGGCAGGCGGCGAGCATGGACGCCAGCGTCGTCCGGGCTCGCTCGACGACCGAGAAGCGCCCTGTCGAGGGACACCGGCCTCGCGCGGCACCACTCGACGGTCGCGCGAGCCCTCCAGCCGGGTGGACGGTTGCGAGGCTGCGCGGCCAGCCAGGCGGACACGTCGGAGCCGGTCCGGATCCACCAGCACCGCTCGCCCGAGATGTCTGGATGGCGTTGACGTCGTCCGAGCTGGCCCTGGTGCGTGAGAGGAGGAGGGCGGGGGTTTGTCGAGCGAGGCAAGTCGGAGGAGGAACGCGGGTTGGTCGCGCCACGGCAGCGCTTCGCCACGGCTCTGCGACCGAGTGCTGCGCTGCTGTAGTGACCCAGGTCGACCTCGCCAGCCCCAACGCCCAGTCGAGAGCGTGGGTGGGTGCAGGAAAGTGGTGCGGCGCGTCGAGAGGACGAGGCGCAGGGTGAGGGCGGCGAGAGCGGCGCGCCGAGCGCGTAGCGGGTCTAACGAGCTGTAGTGTACAGCGTGCGAGTGCTGGAGGGCCGTCTGGTGCGGCTGAGAGCTGTACGGCGAGAACGCGAGGGAGCAGGTTCGTCGACGAAATCGCCTCGTCGTCTCACGCTCAGCCCGCCACGCTGCGAGCTTGCTGCACTCTGGACCTGCTCGCCGGCAAGCCAGCACGCGTGGTGCCTGCTGGGGCCTGCGCTCGTGCGCAGAGGCGTCGAGGTGCGTCTCATCTCTCCCCTCATCAGTTGGCGAGTCTGGCGCGACAGCGAAGCCTCGCACGGGTACTGACTTGCCTTGCGATGCCTCTGCAGGTCTCTATGACCTGCCAGCTACCGCCACAGCCCTCTTCGACGACACCTCGCGCGTTGCCCGACCGTCGCACCCTCCCCTCCTCCCTCTGCTTCTCGACCGAGCCACCAGGCGCAATCGGGCGCACGCGACGGCCATCCGGCTGGTCAGCGTAGTCGTGGGCCGAGCTAGGCACCTGCTGGCGGCGGGCGGTGGGCTCGGGCGACTCTCAGCTCGCCTGCTCGTGCTCGCGGCCGGCTCGACCCTCCGCCTCGACGCTGTCCGCGCCTTGCTGGCCGCCGAGCTCGCTCGGATGCTCTCTTGCGCTGAGAGTCGAACAGGGCGGGCCGCCTGTCGCGGCCGGCGGGTGGTCCGGTGGGCCGACCTCGCTTCGTCGTTCTCGCCTCGCCTTGCAGCTCCGTCTCCTCTCACTCGCTCTCATTCGCGGTGGGCCCGGACTGCCCAGGCATACTCTGGCACCTGCGCTGCAGCTCGGGGTGCTCGCCAGCTCCGCTCCGGCGCGGTCCGCCCTCGCTCGCCGCGCCGTCGGCGCCAGCTCGAGCCCGGTCGCAGCTCGCGCCAAGGCTCGCAGATCGTCTCGGCTCGCAACGCGAGAGCGAGGACTCGCCGTCAGTTGTAAACCTGGGCCGCTCGCGCCGCACGCTCTCTTTCCTCCCTTCCGCACTCTCGCCCCTCTCCTCGACCCTCGACCCTCGACCCTCTCGCCCACCTCGACCTCGACCATGCTCACCTCGACCCTCCTCGCTCTGGCCGGCGCCGCGCTCGCGATCGCTGCGCCCGACGCCGGTACGTCTCCTCTCTCTCTCTCTTTTCCTCTCGTCGTCGTCGTCGTCGCACAGGAGCACCGTCACTGACTCTCACCTCTCCCTTCCGCCTCCCCTTCCTCTCTCCTCGTCCTCGCACGCGCCCTCGCAGGCTACGGCGGCGGCGGCACGGACGTCGTCAAGGACTCGGACTTCAGGAAGAACGAGAAGGCGCTCAAAGCATCGATGAAGGAGCTTTGCTACCGCAACCTCTACGCCGACGTCGCCAAGCACAAGCAACGCTACAACAAGGAAGTGCTCGTCCAGGATGGTGCGTCCCTCGTCTCTCTCTCTCTCTCGAGGCGCGTCGAGGCGAGCCGAACGAGGACCTGACCTCTTCTCCCTCCCCCACCAGACAAGGGCAAGGACGTGTTCCTGTTCGACGGCATCAAGAAGGACTCGAACGACAAGGAGTACTACTACGAGGAGTTCTGCTACAAGCAGTTCAACCTCAAGCAGCACGACTCGGACGGTGCGCCTACCTCTCTCTCTCGTCCTCGTCCTCGTCGACGATCGTCCCTGACCTTTGCCCTCGCCCGCCCTTGCAGTCAAGAAGCAGAACACGGCCGTCATCGACGGCGGCAAGGGCGGCCACTACAAGCGCGGCTTCAACGACAAGGATGGCCTCTTCTCGCTCGACGACTTTGGCTACGGCTTTGACGGCGGCATCGGCGGTGCGCTCCCTCTCGCTCTCTCATTCGCCGCTCCTCGAACTGACTCGTCTCGCCTCGTCACATAGGCTACGGCGGCTACGGCGGCCGCGACAACTACGGCTCGTTCGGCGGTCGCGGCGGCTTTGGCGGCAAGGGTGCGTCCCAACTCTCTCTCTCTCACACATCCAAGCCCCCGACTGACCTTCGCCCACGTCGCGCGCAGGGTACGACAACGACTACGGCTACGGCAAGGGCGGCTACGGCAAGGGCGGTGCGTCCACGCTCTCCTCCCTCGTCCACTTTGACGCCCGCCCTGACTCGGACCCGCACACTCGCAGGCTACGGCGGTTATGACGACGGCTTCCGCGGCGACGGCTACGGCGGTGGGTACGGCGACGGGTACGGCGGCGGCTTCTACAAGAGGGACGTGCAGGCGTGAGCGGGCTCCTCTCCTCCTCGACCGCCATCGCCCCCTCTCTCGATAGCTCCCTTGCTCTTCATCTCGCACTGTCTTCCTCTCCTCTTGACTGCCTTGCTCGCGCCTCCTCTTTCTCTTTTCTCGCCCAGTCGGTCACTTGGCAACCCTCGCATTCTTCTCGTTCACGCCCGCAGCGAGAGGCGCTCGCGCTCGCTCTACCACGAGAGGAGCAGGAGAGGAGAGTACTCCTGCCGCTTCGACAAAGACCGCGGTCCCCCTCTCTAGCTGCGAGGCGACGTCGGCGTCCGCTCTCGTTGAGGAGAGCGCGCTGGCCCTCGTCGCTCGCCCTCTGCACACGCTGCTGAGCTGGCGCATACCTGTACACTCGCTCATAGCTGCTCTGCGCGCCTGCGTCTAGTCGCCAAGCCCTCCCGTCGCGTCGCCATCGAGCTGTGCGTCCTCATCTCTCTCCTCCCCCGGCACCCTCCCACAGCTCACATCTCCGCTCCTGCAGCCTGCCAGAGGCATCCCCCGCGCTCTCGAAGGGACCTGCACCCGCCTCGACCTGCTCGAGCCTCGCCCTCGCGCCCAGCTTGCCGCCAACTCCTCCTCCCGCTTCGACCCGCCCGACGCGCCATGTATGGCCTCGTCTCGCCGCCTCGCTGCAGCTCGAACGGCCCGAGGGCGGTCAAGCATGTCACGAGCGTGGACGGGCGAGGAGCTGTGCCCACAATGTCTGCCAGTTTCGACCCGCGCACGGTGCCGCGCAGCCTCGCAACCGTCCACCCGGCTGGAGGGCTCGCGCGACCGTCGAGTGGTGCCGCGCGAGGCCGGTGTCCCTCGACAGGGCGCTTCTCGGTCGTCGAGCGAGCCCGGACGACGCTGGCGTCCATGCTCGCCGCCTGCCAGCTGCGCCCTCCCCGGCGCTTCGCCTTTCGAGCGCGTCCGAGCGGTCGTCCTCGCGCAGGCCGCCACGCTGCTGCGCTCCGAGGCCGGTCGCTGGCTCATCTCTCGCTGCATCCAAGCCTCGCTGTGGCCGAGACGAGCCTCGAGGACCAGCCGACGACGCTCGCCTGTCCCTCTTGGCTTCCTTTCCCATCCTCGTCCCTCGTCGACCGTCTCGACCCTCCTCGTCCTTTCGACCTTCTACCTCTCGCACCTCGTCCTCGTCACGACCCTCAAGATGCTCACCAAGACGCTCATCGCCCTCACGATCGCCGGCACGGCGCTCAACGTCGCGGCGCTCCCCTCGGGTGGCGGCAAGGGCGGTGCGTCCCTCTCTCTCTCTCGCTCCTTCTCAGACCTTGTACTGACACTCTCGCCCACCCTCACTCGACGCGCAGGCTACGGTGGCGGCTACGACGACTACGGCCTGGGCGACGGCATCATCTCGGCGTCCGACTACTCGCAGAAGAACGCCGAGGAGTCTCTGAGCTACAGGGAGATCTGCTACCGCAACCTTTACGCCGACGTCGGTGCGTCCATCTTCTCTCTTCACGCGTCAGCGAGGAATGGCCTGACCTCGACGTCGCTCCACCCGCAGAGGCGTTCAAGCTCCGCACCGACAAGGAGGTCGCGATCAAGGACGGTGCGTCCCCCTCTTTCTCAATCTCGTGGAGACGACGACAGCGACTGACACGCCCTCGAGCGCACCGACCCGCAGCCGGCAACGCCGACGTGTTCCTGTTCGCCAACTTCAAGAAGGACTACCAGGACAAGGAGTTCTACTACGAGGAGTTCTGCTACAAGCAGACGCACAAGAAGGAGCACAACTCGAAGGGTGCGTCCCTTCTCTCTCCCTCGCGCGAGACGTCTCTGACCCGGCGCGCGCCCGCAGTGAGCGCCGACTCGGTCCTCGTCGGCCTCAAGGAGAAGCGCGACGGCGGCATCGGCAACGGTGCGCCCACCTCTCGCTCGTTCTCTTTGTCGACACACGCACTGACCTCTTTCGCGCGAGCGTACGCAGGTCTCGGCGGCGGCCTTGGCCTCGGCGGCGGAATCGGCCTCGGCGGCGGCCTCGACGGCATCTCGGGCGGCGGGCTCAACGGTGCGCTCCCCTCTCTCTCTCTCTCTCTGCCTCTTCCCAGGTACGACGCTCGTCACTGACGTCGAGCCACCTCTCGCACGCAGGCATCGGCGGCTTTGACGGCGCGGGCTCGCTCGACTCGGCCAGCTTCCTCGACGGCGGTTTCGGCGACTACGACAACGGGCTCGGCGGCGGCTTCGGCGGCTCCTCGTCGCTCGGCGGCGGCGGCTTCAGCGGCGGCTTCGACGGCGGCATCGGCGGCGGCATTGGTGGCGGCGTCGGCGGCAGCTTCGTCTGAGCCGACCTCAGCCTCTTTCCTCCAGGTGCGTCCCCTCACTTGGTCTCTCGCCCGTCCCGAGTCGCATTTACTGACTCTCTTCCGCCCCACTCGTCTCAAACGCAGGTCGTTCGCGCCCGATCTTTCCCTCTCGACCTCGTCGCCGTCTCCTCTGCCTCGGACCCCCTCTCTCCCCCTTCTTCTTGTGTAGTCATCCCCTCTTTGGTCGCTCGCAATGCATTTCCTCCTCACTCTCTTGCCCCGCACCCCTCGAGCGAGACGAGAGACGAGAAAGCTCGAGAGACAGGGCGACTCGCGAGAGTGCGCTCCTCTCTCCTCCTGCTCGAGAGCCTGCTCGCTCTCGTCGAACAAAGGACGTCGGCCTGATCGCCAGGCTGGAGCACAGGCGGGCGGGACGCGTTCGAGAGAGAAAGAGAGTCACGAGCGTCGACGACCGCGCGCTCGCCGTGCACGGACCTCCCAGCCGTCCTCGTCGCTCCCGCTGCCCTGCCCTCAGGCGCTCGCCCGCTAGATGAAGCTCCCTCTCGAGCTCTGCTGCAGACGAGCCGGCTTCGACGAGAGTGCGCCGGGCGAGAGCGTTCGAGCCCTCCTTCCCCTCGAGCGAGACAAAAGCTATGCGAGCTCAACCTTGCGACTGAACCGCGCCCGCCGAATAGAGACACGTCAAGCGACGAGAGCTATTCGACCGCACGAGGCTCGCAATCGCTCCGCTCGACCCGACTCGCTCCGTTCCCTCACATGCTCCCTCGTCCGCTCGGACCTCGTGTTCCTCTCTCTCTTCCTCGCAGGACGCCCGATTCGACTCGAGCCACAGCTCGGCTCGACCTTTGCGTCCCTCTCGACGTCGAGCTGCCGCGAACGCGAGCCCGGCCGGATGCGAAGGTCGACTCGGCGAGGGAACCGTGCACGCTCAGCTCCTCGCTCGAGCAAACGCTCGCCTCGCTCGACACCGCCCGGCTGCGCTGCAGGTCTCCACCCTCTGGGAAGCGCTGTGCCGGCGAAGAGGTTGTACAGCAGGAGAGAAACCTCGAGCGGGCGCTTCTGGCCGGAACTCGAGATGGTCGAAAGGTTCGCCCTGCGTCTTCGTCCTGCTGTGTGCGCTGGCTCGACTTGACGGCTCTCGCTCTCTCGTAAGGACAGCTCGAATGTCGCAAGGGGCAGGAGGTAGTTGCTCGTCGCGCACGATCCGCTTGCGCGTCGCCATGCAGCCCGAGTGGTCGGCGCCGCTTCTCCCCACGGACCCGACCGTCGCTCTGACATGCTCTCGTAACCTCTCTCCTCTCGTGCCTCACGATCACTTTCGAGAGCGCGCAGGAGTCCAAGTGACCTCTGCGACGCCGAACCTCTCTCCTCGCAAGCCTCGAGAGAGAAAGAGTGCTACAGTGCAAGGCGAGGAAGGATACGGCGACGCGAGGACGACAGGAACGGCGGGCACATAAGGAGGAGGGGGACGACAGAGGGAGAGGGACGGCGCGACCGCGGGCGCACGAGGGCTCAGCCCTGCATCTGGACGTAGGCGCTCGGGAAGATGCCCTTGCGACCGTTCAGCTCGCCCTTCATCCAGTCGTCGCTCACTGCGAGCATTCAGAGAGACAGTAAGTGACGGGCGCAGGTTCGAGGGGAAGGAGAGAGGGGGCAGAGGGACGCACCAATCTCGAGCACCGTGATGCGCTCGCCCTCGGCGAACGACAGGTCCTCGGCCTGCCCGCCCTCGTACGCATACAGCGCGACGGCCGTTCCCAGACCGACAGGGTAGGCCGGCGGTGCGGGCGTCGGTCGAGATGCAGCGGGCGGCGCCGGGGCCTGAGCTGCGGGAGGAGGCGCGGCGCCGCCTGCGCCCTGGAAGAGGCTGGCGAACTGGGGCCGGCTCGAGAAGTACTCGTCGAGGAGGGCGAAGAAGGCCTCCTTCTCGCGCTGGTCCATGCCGGAGAAGACGCCCTTGCCGGCGGGGCCCGAAGCGTTGGCGGGAGCGGCGTACGACGACGAGGCGGCGCTGCCGGCGCGGCCACGGCCGGGCGGCGGGGGCGGTCCGGCGGCGCCAGTTGCCGTGCGGGTCGGAGGAGGAGGGGGAGGTGCCGGGTTCGAGTAGGTGGCGAGGCCGGGCGAGGATGCGCCGCCTGGTGGTGCCGAGGACGAGTCGGTGCGCTTCTGGCTGCCGATTGGGACGCGCGAGTCGAGCTGCTTGAAGCCCTGCTGGATCTGGGCGTGACCTTTGTCGGCAAAGGTCTTGGCTGCGCGCAGGACAGAGCGAGTGGTCAGGCTCGGAGGCGGTGCATGACGAGGCGGGGAGGGGAGGGGGAAGGCGCACCCGACTTGAACGCAGACGAGGCAGAGCTGTGGGCAGGGTTCGAGGTCAGTTACGGTGCTGCTGCGGTGGAGCACAGCAGCTCACAATCCACTCATGGCGCGAGGTCGGGGTGAGGGTCTGAGGAGAGCAAGGAGGGGGAGCTTCATCTCTGTTGGCCTCGTCCCGCTCACCATGTCCGCCATGGCCTCGTTCGTGCGGCCAGTCGTCATCCTGAGGGCAGCAGCTCGCCCTACACGCCCCTCGCTACCCGCCACCGCCTTTGCCCGCCCCCTCTCCTCCTCGACCTCGTCCTCGTCCTCTCGCCCGGCCCCCTCCTCCTCGGCACCCACCTCGTCCGACCCGCACCCGTACCTGTCGCAGCTCGACCGCGCAGGCGCAACCTCGGGCGGCAGTGGGCCCAACTCGGGCCCGTCCCTCGGGCCCTTCCCGCTCCCTCACCTCGAGCGCGAGGCCCGCATCCACCAGTCGGGCCAGCAATGGCGCCAGCTCGGCGCAGGCGCCAAGGCCAAGGTCGCCGCCACCCAGGGCGCGAGCTTTGTCGTCGTCTCGTTCGGCGCCGGCCTCCTCGTCCTCGTCGCCTACGCGTTCGGCAGCGAGCTCTTCTCCGAGGCGAGCCCGACCCGCGTCTTTGAGGACTGCGTCGAGCGCGTCCGAGCAGACCAAGAGGTGCGCCCTGCTCCCCCTCACTCTGCGTCGAGGTCCCGCACTGACCCCCCGTTCGTGCGCCTACAGCTCAGCACCATCCTGCCCCCACCCCTGTCGTTCCACGGCTCGTCGTCGTCGACCCGCATGCGCCGCAACCGCCGCATCTCGTCGTCCCTGTCGGTCGACCCGCGCACGGGCGCCGAGACCCTCTTCGTCCGCTTCTACGTCGAGGGCACCGACCCGCTCGCGGCCGAGGCCCAGGCGGGCGAGACGTGGCTCGACTGGGCCAAGCGCTGGATCGGGCCCGCCGTGTGGGAGGACTCGCACCGGCCGGGAGGGTACGCGCCGCGCCTGTCGAACGGCCTCACCGAGGAGGAGGAGGAGCAGCGTCTCGAGCGCGAGCGCAGGAGGGCCGTCGACGCCGAGAGGAGCAAGAGCTGGACTGGGTGGGCGACGAGCAAGGTCGGCGGCGTCGTCGGGAGCATGTTTGGTGGGCTCGGCGGTTTGAGGAGCGGGCCTGGGGCGGACGGCGACGCGGGCCCGAGCGGGCCGGGCCTGTTCCGCCGGGCGAGGAAGCCTCGGCTCGGCGAGTACACGACGGGCGAGGTCGTCGCCGAGCTGCAGAAGGTGCGCCCTCGTTCTCTTCTCCTTTGTCTGGCGTTCCTGAACGTGGACTGACAGACTCGGTGGGCTCGCAGGATCCGGTGTCGGGCCACTTTGTCTACCAGCAGCTGTTCGTCGCCCTGCCCGGTGCGTCCCGACTCGTCGTGGTCGCCAGCCAGCACGTCGGCGTACGCTCGTGGAACAGAACTCACGCTCCCCTCGCCCACAGACACGCGCACGCCGAACCACTACCGCCACGACATCGACACAGCGACCGTCATCCCGTCGCAGGAGAAGGGGCTCGACCGGTTCCGGTTCTGGCAGCGCACCAAGGTCGTCGCGCAATGAACGTGCTCCTGTGCTCGACTCGTCTTGGGCCCGTCGTCGAGCAGCACGTCGAGAGGCTCGAGAGCTCTTCTGCTGCGGTCGTGCGCTTTGACCTCGTCTCGCTGGCTTTACCTTCTCGCTTCGCAGCCTCTCTGCTCGTACGCATCCGCTCTCGGCGTCTCGCTGCGCTGCTGCAGGTGCGTAGGACTGCAGCCGAGCTCTGGAGCGAGGTCAAGTAGCGAGCCGGCAGCCCTGCAGCGGATCGTCCGGCTCGGCGAGGAAAAGGGCGCAAGTGGCTCTCCTTCCGGGGCGAGCAGGGGAGGGTGTCGCCATCTGAGACGCTCGGCAATCAGTTAAGCTGTCGCGCGGACCGCTAGCGTAGTTGGGCACCGTCTCCACGTTGAAAGCTTGGGTCAAAGCGAGGGGGTCGGCGGACAGGAAGCTCGAGCTGTGGGCTTCTGTCTGCGCTCCAGTGATGCTGAGTCCAGTGACGCTGTGCCCTCAACCCGTGTTGGTGCGGGAGAAGAGCGAGAAACGGTGCGTCCGCTCCCTCCGCGGACAGCTCTCTCGTGGTTGGCGCCCGCGGGCGGTGAGCCTCGCCCCCTGACCACCACCTCTCGCACGGCACGCCCGCCAGACCTTCGACGTTCGTGCCCTGCGCACCTCGCTGCTGCGCCCAAGCCGCCCTCGCCACCGTCGACCAGCAGCTCGCGTCGCCGCCGCCTCGCCGACCCGCCTCCGCCTCGTCGCCCCTCGTCAACCTCCGGCTCTCGCTCTCGCCGCCGACCAAGGCTCGAGCCTGCTCCGCCCAGCTCGAAGAGCTCTCGATGCAGGACTACGACCCGCTGCACCCGGCAGCATACGACCCGTCGTCGCGCACAGCTCGCCCCGCGTCGGCCTCGGTGCACCACCAGCCCCACCACTCGGACGCGCACCTGTCGAGCGTCGCCCCGCGCTCGCCGCTCGTCGGCTATGAGCGCGACTACCGCGCACCAGGAGGCGCGGGCGGTGCGCCGACGTCGCCCGGCCAGGGCGAGGCGTGGTCGAGCGGGGACGCGTGGGGCAGCAGCAGCAGCGGGGGAGCTAGCGGCGCAGGAGGGCCGCAGCGGGCACAGGGGCAGGCGCAGGGCGGCAGCATGGTGCCGAGATACCCTCGCACGGTCGACGGGGCAGGGCAACGCAGGGTGGACGATGGCGCGGCGGGCGGGCCCTCGCAGCAGCAGCAGAGGGAGGGCTTCATCCGGGTTCGCATCCTCGGGCTCGAGCGCAACAAGCGGGACCTCTACGTCAAGTTCAACGTCGAGGTGCGTCCCCTCCTTCTTGCCGTTCTCGACCGCGTCGAGGCAGAGCCCTGACGCCCCGTCTCGCAGACCAACCTGCCCAACTTCCACCACTCGAGCTGTGCGTCCCTTTGTTCCCCAGCGTCATGCACCGGGCATGCGCGCATACTGAACGCCCTCGCCGTCGCGCAGACCGCGCCGTGTCGCGCTCGTACACCGAGTTCACCTCGCTCGTCTCGGCCCTCGCCGTCACCTGCCCCCAGTCGATCGTTCCCGCCCTCCCCATCAACCAGACGTCGGCCGCGAGCGATGACGAGGACGACCGGCTCATCAAGACGGCCTTTCAGCGCTGGGTCGTGCGCCTGACGGGCGACCCGGCCGTCATCCGCGACGACGAGACGAGGAGCTTCGTCGAGAGCGACTTTGGCGTGCGTCCCCTACTGCCCTTCCTCCTCTCGACGTGTCCCGAACCTGACGACATTGCCGACGTGCCCGCAGTACACCCCTCGGGCCCGCAAGAAGTCGTCGGCGCCGTCCATCTTTTCCCGCGCGTCGCGCCTGCCCGGCGAGCTCGACGACCCGCTCACGGCGGCCAAGGTCAGCATGTCGCGCCTCGAGACGACCTTCAACGACGCGAGCAAGGTGCTCGACAAGGTGTCGAAGAAGCGGCGCGAGGCGGCGACGAGCGTGAGCGAGTTGGGCGACCAGCTCGAGACGTTCGCCATGGCCGAGCCGTACGCGCCACTCGCCGGCGGCTTCAAGCGCCTCGCGAGGACGATGAAGGTGGACGCCGACTTGCTCGCTGCCCAGGTGCGTCCCCCTCGACACCTTCCTCGCCCGCAAGCCCCTCGACGAGCCTGACCTTCCTCTGGCGCCCTCCCTGCAGAGCACCAACGAGCAAGTCACGCTCGGCGACGTCTTCTTCTACCAGTCGGCCAACGCCAAGTCGGCAAAGGTGCGCCCGCTCTCCCTTTCTCGCAAGCTCGACATCGAGCGAGCCCTGACTGACTTTCTCCTCCCTCCTCGTCCCCTCGCGCAGGACACGCTCTCGGGCCGAGACGCAGTCGTCGAGGAGCATCGTCGTGCCGTCAAGTCGAGCATCGCCAAGCGGCGCGAGATTGAGAAGCTGCGCAGCTCGTCATCGCTCAAGGCGGACCGGGTCAGCGAGGCGCTCGAGGAGCTTGACGAGGTGCGTCCCCTCGTCCCTCTGCCTCTCTCCGGCGCTCCCGATACTCGGACTGACGTGCCGTGGCATGTTTCGCGCGCAGGCGCAACGTTACGAGGAGACGCTCGGCCGCCGGCTCCAGGGCATCTCGACCAACCTGCAGCCGTCCCTCACCCGGCACTCGCTCGACACGCACAACGACCTCCTCTCGGCCCTCCTCGACCACGCCCGCAACTCGCTCCTGTACGAGAAACAGCGCCTCAAGGAGTACGAGGTCCTGCGCCCGGCCATGCGCTCGATCCGCCGACCCGAGGCGGGCGTCATCTACCACACGACGCCGTCGGGTGCGCCCATGGGCCGGTCGGCAAGCGGCGCGTCGCCCGTCACGAGCGCCGGCGGTGTGCGCGGTCCTCTCGCTGGCCCGCCGGCGTCGCCAACGCCGAGCCGCACGTTCCCGGCGTCGCCGCTCGCCGCGAGCGTGCCCGCACCAGGTTCGCTCGGCGCCGGCGCGCCCGATCCGCTGTCGGGACGAGGGCTGGGCGGGCCCGACATGGGCAGCATGGCGCAGAAGGCGCAGAAGCGGACGGTGCGCAGCATGGCGAGTTCGGTCCAGGTCGAGGGCGACAGGCGGCAGCGGGTCGACGTGCGTCCTCCTCTCTCACTTCTGTCTCCCCTTCCTCGAGCGCTCCCGACCGCATGCTCACGTTTTCCTCTCGCGCTCGCAGGCAAGGATGGCGGCGTCGCTTCTCGCGAACGGGTTCTGAGCGGGCCTCGTCCCCTCTCTCTTCCTCGCACTCTCTCCTCTTGTACAGCATCTTCCTCTGCAACTCTTGCTCTCTTGCACCTCGGGACCCCTCTGTGCGAGCAACGAGAGGAGCTCGAGCGCGTGCGAGAGAGAGCCCGTCCGCCGCTGAGGAGATTTCGAGGGTTCGCCGCCGAGCAGCTGCTGAATCTTGGGAAAGCGGGGCTTCGAGATTCTCGTCGCTCGAAACCGTGACGACGAGCGAGCGATTGAGGCGATTGACGAGCTGCAAGTTGGTCGACGAGCGAGCCCGAGCCGAGGGAGGAGGAGATGACGCCGAGGGGACGCCGCGGCAAACGCGCGGCCGGAGATCGGAGAGCGAAAAGTGGAGGTTCGAGACCCGTCGGCGGCCGACGCGGAGGCGATGAGTTGCTCGCGTAAGGAGGCGAAGCGGTTTTCGCCTTTGCTCAGCGTCGCCCTGCTCACCTCACCGCGTCGTTGGCCCAGCTTGCACCTCGACAGCCACCTCTTCGACTCTCTCCACCCGCTCGTCCACCAAGACCAGCCGCACCGCGCCCGCGAAGCGAGCCATCCGCCGCCGAACCCTCTCGTCGCGCACGCCATCCGCCGCCCTTTGACGCTCGCCTCAGCCGTCGCTCCACACCACCCCCTCTCCTCCCTCCGTCCAACACCCGACACACTCGACCAGCACGCACCATGTCTGCCCCCGTCGCGTCCACCTCGACCGCGATCCCGGCCTTCGACGCATCGACCCTCTCGCAGGTCAACGCCGACCTCGCCGAGGCGACGCCGCAAGAGATCATTGAGTGGGCCGTCGACCACGTCCCGGGCCTGTACCAGACGACGGCGTTTGGCCTGACGGGCCTCGCGGCGACGTCGATGGTGTCGACCCTGAGCAAGCGCCGCAAGCAGCCGCACCTCGTCCCGCTCATCTTCCTCGACACGACGTACCACTTTGCCGAGACGCTCGACCTCGCGCACGCCGTCGAGCGCAAGTACAACGCGCCGCTGCACATCTTTGCGCCGATGGGCGTCTCGAACGCGCGCGAGTTCGAGGCCAAGTACGGCGAGCGCCTGTGGGACGAGGACGAGGACACGTACGACTACCTCGTCAAGGTCGAGCCCGCCCGGCGCGCGTACGAGACGCTCGGCGTCAAGGCCGTCATCACCGGGCGGCGGCGCAGCCAGGGCGCCGACCGCGCCGCGCTGCAACCCGTCGAGGTCGACTCGACCGGGCTCGTCAAGGTCAACCCGCTGTGCCGGTGGGGGTTCCAGGACGTCAAGGACTACATCGACATGGCCGGCGTGCCGTACAACCCGCTCCTCGACCAGGGCTACAAGAGCGTCGGCGACTGGCACTCGACCGTCAAGCCCAAGGACGGCGAGGGCGAGCGCTCGGGCCGGTGGGCGAGCAACAAGACCAAGACCGAGTGCGGCCTGCACAAGGTGCGTCTCTCTCTCTCTTGCTCTCGTGCACGATCGGGGGCGGCGTCACTGACTCGCCGTTGCGCCCTCGCAGGACTACTTCGCCATGAAGCGCGCGTTCGAGAAGAAGCAGCGCGAGGCCGACCGTGCCGCGGCCGACAAGGCGCGTGGCGACGACGAGGTTGGCGAGTCGTCGGTCGACATGTCCAAGGCCGAGGCGCAAGAGGCCAAGGAGGACCTGACGGCGAGCTTCAGCGACCTGCGCCTCGGGGCATGAGCGCGCTCGCGCTCGTTCCTCTCGGCCTCTCTCTCTCTCGCCGGCTCTCTCCTCGCCCTAGATCCCCTTAGAAACCGCCCGTAGAGGGCAGGAGACGGACATTCTGTGCTTCCCCTTCCGCCTTTTAGACCTCCTCGCTCTGTTGCAGTCCCCCTCCCTCGAGTTGTGCCTCTCCCTCTCTCTCCTTTTAGTCTCTCCTGCATCGCCGCCTTATCTGTTGCCTCCTCTCGAGTGCGTCTCCTAGTGAGAGAGCGAGACAGCAAGCAAGAGAGGGGTCGAGCGCGAGGAGGCACTTTCGAGGAGGACAGCTCTCGAGACGAGGGACGAGCGAGATTCGGCGGGCACGACCCAGTCTGCATTGCGCCTCGACCAATCCTCCTCGGCCCCATCGCCCTCGTCCACCTCGTCGACAGCCCGTCATCGAGCGCGCCCGTCATTCCGCCCTCGCCCACCCGTCGAACCCGTCGCGAACTAAGCCTGGCAGGAGAAGCGAGGCGGCATCGCTCAATGATGAGGGAAGGAGGGGGGAACAGAGTGGGGGTTGGAGCACGTCGAGTGGGTCGAGTCGTCGTCGAGAGGGTGAAAGGGAGAGGAGCCGAGGGAGGGGAAAGGGGGGAGGTCGAGGAACAGGGTGCGTCGAGGGAGGTGGGGGCCGCCGATGTTTAGGGGGTTGCGGCACACGATGCGCGACGCTGTTTAGCGCGACGCAAAGTAGTCGAGGAGGACCGAGAGGGCCTCGGACTCCTGGCCGTAGTCCTTGACGACGACGCACGAGCAGCCGACGACCTTGCGGGCGACGCCCTCCTTGTCGAGCTTGCAGAGGCCGGCCCACTCGCCGAGGAGCTTGGGGTCCGAGATCTGTGTGCGCGTGCGAGGGTGAGCTCATGGGAGCGCAGCAGGGGAGGAGAGAGAGGGACGGACCTTGATGAGGTTGATCTTGTGCTCGGCGCAGAGGGCCTCGATGAGCTTGACGTACTCGCCCTCGGTGCACGACTCGTTGAGGACGCAGAGGTGGGCCTGGCGCTTGTCGAGGGCCTTGGCGCACTCGCGGAGGCCGCGGGCGAGGCCGTCGTGGACGAGGGCCTTCTTGAGCACCTCCTGGAGGGCGTCCTCGACCGACATCTTGCCCTTGGGGGCCTCGGTCTCCTGGACCTGGACCTCCTCGACGTCGGCCACAACCTGGGTCTCGCTTCCGTTGTCGCTCATGATCTGCGGGTGCGAGTGGAGGGTGAGCGAAAAGTTGCTGGCGAGATGAGGAGGCGAGGAGGGCGAGGGGAGGGGTGGCGAGTGGACGGGCCGGTGGCTGGGGTAGGGGTGCAGGAGTAGAGAGAGGGGACGCACTGCTTAAGGAAGAGTGACGCTGTCCTAAACGAGTGGAGAGAGAGGAGCGAGTCGGCGTGAGCTGCCCCGGGCGAGCTCGAGGTGGACGCGGCGGACCACCTCGTCTGCTCAGCCGCCAGAGCGTTGCGTGGACCGCTGCACTCGGCCAGGCTACCCCGACTCGCTCCATGGAAGTGGGCCAGGAACTCTCCCACAGTGCGCCCACTCTTCTCCTCCTCCTCCTCGTCTGTCGACCCCCACTCACCGGCTCACACTCCCCGCCCTCCTGCCCACAGTGGACCGCCTCACCCAGACCCAGAACAGTATCGACGGCGTGCGGCCCCCCCTCTCCCTCGCCCCCCCTCTCTCCCTCTCGCACACCAACCTGACTCCCCCTCCCCACCTCGCTCGCTCGCAGCTCGTCCGCATCATGTACTCTTCCCTCAGCTACCTCTCGCGCAAGGCCAACTTCCGCCAGATCAACCCAAACTTCCCCGTCACCCAGTCCATCCCGGGCGCAGACCCCGACGACGTCTTCCAGGGTCCGTCCTCCCTCCCCCGCTCTTCCCTTTCGCCGCGCTCTCTCACACAGCCCACTCACTGACTCGCCCGCACCCACCGCAGCCAACCGCAAAGAGCTCGTGTCCGACTTTCTGCGCAAGGCCAAGCAGCTCGAGTTCCTCATCGACGCCCTCCCCTCGTCGGCTCCCGCACCGACCGCCGCCGCCGAGGGCACCCGGGACGACGACGACGACTTTCGCCAGCTCGAGGACGAGATGCAGCAGGTCAACAAGGAGTACCTCGAGGCGCTCGGCCAAGCTGGTGCGTCGAGGCCGTCCTCTTGTCCCTCGAGCCATCCGCGACGAGAACGCTCGCCCGCACGAGCTCTACGGGATGAAGATGTTGTGCCACGACTGACACACTCTCGTCCTTGTGCAGAGTCTCTCCACGCTCAGCTGCAGACGAGCCTGCACGGCGTCCTCGAGTCGCGCAGCTCGGCGCCCTCGACCGCCGCACCAACCGCCGCAGCTTCGCCCGCACCACCTCGTCCAGCAGCCTGACGCCGGCCGTCACCCTGCGCACTTTCCTGCGCCTCTGCTCTCGTCGACGGGCGCGTTGCAGCCCCGTCGCTCGGCGTGCGGCGTCGTAGCGAGCCGTCTCGATACCTTCTCACGTGATACCCTCTCGTTGCGTCGTTCCCCTCCCTCTGCACCTGCATCTTCTGTCTCCCGTTCTCGCCCTTGCAGCGTCTCGAGAGTGTCGCAGGGGGGGGGGCACAGAGAGAGAAGAGCGAGTCGGGCCCGTGCGACGAGAGCAAGCTGAAGCGCGGTGCGCGGGACGCGGCCCAGTCGCCGGTTCGAAGTGGCTCGGACGGAGCTTTGTCGACGAGAGGCTTGTGAGAGCTGGAGAGGTAAGGCGGGAGATAAGGGCGGGAATTGACCGCTGTGTGCTCGTCCGCCCGGCAGCGGCAGCGGCGAGTGGGGACCACGCGCTCCGGGCGAACCGACGCCTCGCTCAGCTCCTCCTCCCACAACGCGCGCCGCCAGATGAAGCTCCCTAGGGCCATGCCGCACCCAGACGCCCTCGCGCCCGCGCCCTTATACCCGCCAGGCGACGGCCTCCCGCTCCACCGCGGCCCCCCACTCGCGCCAGCATCTCGCTCGACCGGCGACGACTCGGTCGCACACTCACTCGCCGACGACAGGGTCGACATGAGCCTGCTCTTGAGGAAGATTGGCCTCGCAGGAGCGAGCAACATGGTCCGTCCCTTGTCTCCCTCCCCCTCGCACCTCGTCGCGCGAGATCTCCCCGGCTCGCCCTCCGACCCGCGGGCGTGCTCTTGCGTCTCAAGCGCATGCTCACAGTCCTCGTCAACAGACCGGCGCCATGGTGACCAATCCGGCCGACCTGTGCGTGTTCCCCTCTCTCCCTCCTCTCTCGCGCCCACGGCCCCTTCCGGCCGACTCGCACGGACGAGTCGCCCTCGTTCCTCCTTCCTCCCTTTCCGCACCTTCGCCGCTACCACGCACCGACTCGGACAAAAGCTGACCGGCGCCGGCGCCCGCAGGATCAAGGTCCGCCAGCAACTCGAGCGCCGCCTGCCCAACGCCGACCCGACCTCGTCTCGCCCGCGCACGACCAACGCGTGGCGCACTTTGACGCACATGGTTCGCGCCGAGGGCATTGGGTCGATCTACAAGGGTTTGAGCGGGAGCTTGTTGCGCGAGCTCAGCTATTCGTGCGTCGCCGCTTTCCCCTTTCCCTCGAGCTTCCTTCTGCATCTCTCGCACGGACTGACCTCGCGCCCGACACGCGCAGCGGGATCCGCATGGGAGGGTACGACCTCGTCAAGAGCACGCTCGTCAAGTTTGCGCCGGGCGCCGACCCCAACGGGTTCGGGACCAAGCTCCTTGGAGGAATGGGCAGCGGGTGCGTCCCTCTTCTCTCGCGCTCTGTCTCTCTCTCCTCGAGAGCTCCCTCCTGACCTGCCCTACCGCGCGCAGCATGGTCGGTGCCGCCGTCGCAAATCCAGCAGACCTCGTCCGTCCCTCTCTGTCCTCGCGCTCGAACCCCTTCCTCGTCGGGCCCCTTCCCTGACCTCGCTCGCGCCCGCAGCTCAAGGTCCGCCTCCAGTCGCCCGCCGCCAAGGGCACTCTGCGAGATCACGCGTCGCAGATCTACCGCCACGAGGGCATCAAGGGCTTCTACCGCGCGCTCGTCCCGACCACGATCCGCGCCGGCATCCTCACGGCGGCGCAGCTCGGCACGTACGACCACTTCAAGCACCTGTGCGTCCCATCCCCTTTCCCTCGTTCTGGGAGCAGTGCCACTGACCCTCGTGTCGAGGCGCGCCAGGCTCAAGCGCGACTTTCCGCAGCACTTCCACGAGGGGATCCGGACGCACCTCGTCGCGAGCGGCATCGCGGGTTTCTGCTGCTCGGCGGCGAGCAACCCGATCGACGTCATCAAGGTGCGCATCATGAGCGACAGGACGGGCCAGTACAGGGGCAGCCTCCACTGCGCGGCGCTGCTGCTCAAGAACGAAGGTGCGCCCCGGCCTCTCTCTTTGTGTCCTTCTTCGACGTCGCGCCCCGACTGACTCGACGAGCATTCTCTCCCTGCAGGCCCGTTGGCGTTCTACAAAGGGTTCAGCATGTGCTTCTGGCGCCTGTGGCCCCACTCGCTCGTGTCGCTCGTCGTCTTTGAGCAGCTGCGCAAGGCGGTCGGCATGACGGCCATCTAGACGTCTCTTCCTCGTCCGCTCTTTCTCTCTCTCTCGTTCTCTTGTCTCTCTTGTGTGTAGACCCGCATTGTGCCGCCGAGAGCGTGTTGTCATCGAGCTTGTACAGACGGCGACGAAATCTCGCGAGTGAGAGAGAGGCCAAAAAGGGGGCAGGCTACGACAGAGAGAGCGCCGCGAGGCTGTCCTCGACGGCGACAGGAGCACGACGAGGCTCGGAGGACGAGGACGAGGAAGAGGACGACGAGGAGGGCATGGACGCGGCGACGGCTTTGGCGAGGCGCCACCGCTCGGCGACGAGCTTGAGGACCTCGCTCTGCGGCACGCCCGGGTGGTCGGCGCGCACCCTCGGCGACTCGGTCTGCGCACACGGGCCAGAGAGAGTCAGTCGACTTGCGCTCGGGCGCGTCCTCGCTCGTCGTCCTCGGGAAGAGAGAGAGAGAGAGACGCACCTGCATGAACTCCTGCCACTTGCTCTTCTTCCTCGGCGTCTCGACCGCTGCACCGTCTTTGCCCTCGCCCGACCCTGCGGCCGACGAGGTCGATGTCGCCTTCACGTTGCCGTCCTTGTCGAGCGCGACGAGCCTCGAGCCGCACGGGCAGCCGTGCGTCGCCGGGTTGATGCTGTTCGAGTGGCGGCCAAAGCTGCGCACGGTCGACGAACGGTGTCAGTACGAGGAACGGAGAGGAACAAGGAGGGAGAGACGGCGGCGAGAGACGCACATCTTGCCGCAGACGGCCGACGAGCACTGCCACCTGAAGCGGTACTTGATCTCGTACGAGTGCGTCGTCGTCACCTCGATGTCGGGGCGTACGACCATGACGCGGTTGGCCCTGTGCGCGCCAGATACAACGACACGTGAGTATCGGTCGAAAGAAGGGCTCGCTCGATCACGAGAGAAGGAGAACTCGAGGCGACGCACCAGAGCTTGAACGCGGCGCCGTGCGGCGGCTTCATCTCGCCGCTGAGGGCCCACGCGGCGAGGTGGCACAGCTCGTGCGCGAGCGTGTGCTTGAGCTTGTCGGCCGTGTCGGTGACGTGCGTCGACAGCTCGACGAGCGCGTGGTGCGTCTGCTGGCGGATCGGCGGCGAGCCGGCCGTCGGGCTCGGGACCGTCGTGCGGATGCTGCGAGAGGTCGATCGGGAGAGCGGGAGGGAAGCTCGTCAGGCCGGGTAGGGTGCGAGGCGGGCGGGGAGGAAGAGAGAGAGAGAAGGGACGCACCTCTTCCAACTCGCCCGTCCAGCCGTGTTCCTCAACCGCTTGTTCCACACGACCTCGATCCCGTCCGGCAGGCCCTCGCCACCGCTCTCGCTCGTGCGCCGCTGGCCGGTCCACGTACAGCGGAAGACGGACCGGTCGAGCTCGCGAATGAGGGCGATCGGGAGGGCCGAGCGCTGCGCGGCGGTGAGCGTCGCGCTCGAGGAGGAGGAGGAGGAGGGTGCGGCGTCGGGACGAGGTCGGGGGGTGGGCTTGGGAGGTGCGGGTAGACGAGGGGCGCGAGCGGGCGTGCGCTGCATCGAGGTAGGCGGGTCGAGGCGGGTCTTGAATACCGGCGGCGGCAGCTGCGGCGGGACAGAGTCAGGATTCGGGTACGTGGAACGTCCAGGACAGAGAAAGAGGGACGCACGTCCTCGTCACTGCTGCTGGCTGTCGGGTCGACCTCGGTCCTCAAGCTCGAGCGACCTTGGCCGACCTTCTTCTCGTCCTCGCCGCCGCCCGTCTTGCTCGGCGTCGCCATGTCGCCCCTTGAGCTCGACGGCATGGGCGAGAACGCGGTCGTGCGCGACGTCGCCACCTTGACGGGCCGCTTCTTGGGCGTCGGGTCGCTGCGCAGGTCGAGGAGTCAGTCTCGTACTCGGGGCGAGAAAGAGAAATGAGGACGACGCACTAGACGAGTACGCCGTCAAACTCTTGCACGTCCTCGGGCAGGCGCCGAGCGGCGACCTCGTCGTCCTCGTCGTCCGTGCACATCGCGACGATCTCCTCCGACTCCTGCTCCTCCCATGACGAGGTCCGCCCGGTCGTCCTCGCGCCAGGTCGAGGCGCCTCGGCCGGCGCACGCGACGGCGAAGGAAGGTATTCGTCGCCGCTCGAAGACGAGGAAGACGATGCGACCGAGATGGTGATGCGTCGGCGGGCACGCGGCGTCTTGGTCGTCTTTGGCGCTGCGGCAGGACGTGAGGCCGGCGGGCTGGAACGGGGGGCGGGCGGACGGGCGGTCGGCTCGGTCGACGTCGACGGTCGAGTGCTGCTTGAGAGGCTGAGGACAAGGAAGCGAGCGTCAATTCCGGGGAACGCGAGAACGAGGAAGGGAGGAAAGGGAGGACGCACCTCAGGCCAAGGTCGCGCATCTGCACCGCCAGGTCGCCCTCGTCCTCGCTCGAGTCGCTGAGCCCGTAGATGGCGCTCGACGTCCTGCGGCCCTTCTGCGGCCGCCGTCCCGACTTGACCGCCCGTGCCGGTCCCGCCGTGTTGACGGCCGCCGAGCGCTCGACCTCCGAGTCCGAGATGAGGTCGGGCGAGACGTCGCGCGCACGTTGCCGCGGTGCCGACAGGTCGAGCGCGATCGGCGGCGACGACGTGCTCGGCAAGGTGGACGACGCGTCGGCGGGCGCTGGAGGAGCGCGAGGCGGCGAAGGTGGGAAGAGCTCGTCGGCGAGTCGGCGGTGGCGCTCACGCTCTGCGAGGACCTCGTCGTCGAGCTCGGCGGGTGCCGCACGGCTCGCGAGGGCGGGAGAGCTGGCCGGGGGCATGTTCGAGGACGAGGCGAGGAGGGTCGAGGGAGGGCGAGGAACGGCCGAGGCGAGGGTGGGGGTGCGCGCGCCGGCCGGCCGGTCTGCGGCAGACATCGACTTGAGGCGCGGACTGGACCGCGGGGCGGGAGCGTCGCCAGGCGGACGAGGACGCGTAGGCGAGGAGGAGGCGGTCGAGGCGCGTGCCGGCGCAGGCTTGAAGAGCGAGGACGGAGGCGGGAGGTCCTCGTCGCTCGAGTCGTAGGTCGGCGCTGGCATCCTGGCCAGCTGCGAGGGCGAGGTGGAGAGCGAGAGAGGTTGACCGACGACTCGCAGGTGGGCCGCACGTGCGCCGAATTCCTCACCCTCACACGGTCCCTCGCACTGCAAGTAGGCTGGCTGAATCTAGAGCAACGCTATTACCTTGTAGACCTGCCAGCTCACGGACCGTCCAGGAGAGGCGACGAGCCGTGGTCGCTTTTGCCGCGTCGGAACGAGCCGCGGCTCCGACCTTTGCTCGTCTCTCTCTCGCCGCACACGCTCCATGGCTAGCTCGACACGGCCACAGCTCGACGAGGACGACCTCCTCGACCGCTCACCGGCCCTCGCCCGCCTGCGCCGCAAGCGCCTCGCCCCCTCGCGCTGGCGCGACCTTGTCAAGGCCGCCGCCGGCCCTCGCCCGCCCAAGGAGCCAGAGCCGTGGGAGTGCTGCGGCAGCAGCTGCAAGCCCTGCGTTCTCGAGCTGTACCGTGTCCGTCCCCCCTTCCCCTCGTCTCTCCCGCCGTCCGCCCGCGCCGAACTAACCTCCTCTCGTTGGTTCCGGGCCATGCAGGAGGAGCGCAAGGTGTGGGACGACGTCCATCCCGACGGCGTCAGCGACGACGAGGACGACGCATTCGCCGAGCCGGGCGACAAGGACGTGCCGGCCCAGGGTCCGGCGCCTTACGACAACGACCAGGTCGAGGGCAGCGTCAAGCCTGCGCCCGCGACGACGGCGCCTCAGCCCAAGGCCGACTCGCCCGCCATCGAGATCGAGCTCGAGGCGATGGCGCTCGTCGACGCGGTCGCCGTCAAGCAGCAGTCGCCACGCCTCGTCGAGGCGGCCGGATGAACGAGATTAAGCCCGTGCGTCGCCTTCTTTCCCTCACCTCTCTCGACGCACCTTCTTCCGCACCCGAGACCTCCCTGACAGTCACCACGTCTCGCAGATGAACAACATGACGACCGCGCGACAGCAAGCTGCGCCCTCGCTCCGCCTCGCCCGTCGAGCGCAGAGCCCGCTCGAGCCTGTTCGCCCGGCCACATGAGGCCGGTCCTGCCCGGCCGAGGGAGACGATGTCGCCCTACCAAAGACCTCTCTCGGCATCGACCGCTCGTCGACGAGCGCGACGTCAGCGCCGGGAGACGAGCAGCGAGTCGCCCGTCGAGCGGAGCTACTCGACCCGCCCACGGCGGCGACGGCAGCGAGGGCCCAGCTTCTGGCGACGCCTGCCTACTTCGAGCCTCCGGCGTGTCTGTCTGTCTGTATCGACGTTCTGCAACGACGACCTGAGCGTGTCATCGTCGCTGTTCTCGAGAGAAATCCTCTTTCGGCTCCTCGCGTCGCCCGTCCCGCGTTCATTCTCCTTGCGGGTTGGCTGTCGCTGTCCTCTGGGAGAGACCGTAGACAAGCCCTCTCAAGCGAAGCAGATCCAGCCATCGTTGTAGGGAAGCCGGCGCGAGTGCGAGCCGGCGCCCTTCGGCTGCACCCTCCCTCGCCCGCTCTCTCCCGCTCGTCTCGCCGCGGCTGCACCGCTGCGCGCCTCGGGCGCGCATTCTCGTCTCTACTCGCCAGCCGAGGCGGCGGGCGAGCGCACGTGCGGGCCCCGGCGGTGCGATTCTCGACGGTGCTTGCTCCCGCAGCTCCTCTTTCGAGCTTCTCTCTCCCTGCTCGGCACGCGGGCTTCGCTGCTCTTGCTGTGGAGCGCGCCGAACGGGAGCGGCGCGGTCGGCGGAGCCACGCTTTCGGCCCGCTCGGTCTCGCCGGGTGCGGAGGCGGAGGCGCCGAAGCGGGGAGGACGAGCACTCGGTGCAGATGCCCGACGAGTGCCATCGGGAGCGAGCTTGCTTCTCCCTCTTCCTCGTCTACCTCGCTAGGCTTGCACCCGTGCTCTTCACCCTCGCGAGCAGCCGCACCTCGACGACCTCGCGCGCTCGAGCCTCTCCCGCCTGCCTCTCCCTCTCGCCGCTCTCCTCCTCGACCACCTCCCACGATGAGCGACTCGCCCGTCTGTACCGACCCGACATGCCAATACGGATACCGCCCTTCTATTTCGCTCGTGCGTGCCGTCTTTCTGGGCCTCAGGACGAGCCAGGAAGAGCTGACCTCGAGTTCCCGAGCAGGGAGTCGTCTTCCTCGTCCTGTTCGCCCTCACGGGCCTCGCGCACCTCGGGCAGGTCCTCTACGCGAGGAGGTACTGGTGGATGATGTTCATGGTTGTCGGCTGTCTGCGTGCGTCGTCGCCGCTCGAGCTCGAGAAGGAGGACCGCACTGACCTCTCTTCCTTCGCGACGCAGTCGAGATTCTCGGTTGGGCGGCACGGCTGTGGGCGCACTGGGAGCCTTTGTCCTTCGACGCCTACGTGATGCAGTGCGTCCCCTTTCCCTCGTCGACTCGCGCGCGACGGGGGACGAACGCGCCCTTGTCGCGCTCGAACCTTGTCCCGCTCTTCGAGACCTCGCTAACCCAACCCAAAAACCCCTCCTCCCGGCACGCAGGATCTGCTGCCTCATCATCGGACCGACCTTCTTCTCGGCGGCGCTGTACTGGGCCGGCGGCATCATCCTCGAGCACGTCGCGCGCGACAAGAGCTGGCTCTCGGGCAAGTGGTTCAAGACGGCGTTCCTCACGGCCGACGTCGTCAGCCTCGTCGTGCAGGCTGTCGGAGGCGGCATGGCGGGCTCGGCCGTCGGGACCAACAACGAGCAGCAGTCGGAGAACGGCAGCAAGTGCGTCCTCCTTGTCCTCGAACCTCTTTGAAGAGCTTGTACTGACGACTCTTGCTCGCCCGCAGCATCATGCTCGCCGGTATCGTCATTCAGCTCGGTTCGTCTTCCCTTGTCTCTCTGTGCCCTGGCAGCGAGAACGACGTCGCTGTCGGCGAGACGATGCCGCTCTCGTCGGGCCACTTTGGCGCACTCGACATGTCCTGACTCTCTTTCTTTCTCCCTCTCACAGCCGTCATGGTCTTCTACGTCGTGTACATGGCCGTCTGGTATTGCCGGGCGCGTTCGGCCGTCACGCAGCAGGGCACTCGCCTCCAGCTCATGCTCCTCGCCATGTTCGCCGCCTCGGTCGCCATCATCGTTCGAGGCGTGAGTCTCCCGTATTCACTCTCTCCTTCTCGAGCATGGCCTCGTGACTGGGCAGCATGGGCGATAGACCCAGAAGCCTGTGAGCGACCGTTCCTGACCTTCTCTCCCCCCTCTCTCTCGTTGTCTCTCGCAGTGCTACCGCACGCCCGAGCTCGAGGAAGGCTTCAGCGGCTGGATCGCGCAGCAGCAGATCTGGCAGCTCTTTGACGCGATTCCTATCGTGTTCGCCAGCGTCGTGCTCAAGTGCGTTCCCTCGCCCATTCGTCTCTTCCTCGTTCGCGCTCGAGCCTCGTCCTGACCTTTTGCGCCCTCTCGATCAGCGTCATCCACCCGCACTGGTTCCTTGTCTTCGCCAACGACAGTCGCTATGCGTCGAGCCGCAACAGCGATGCGACGATGGTTCCGATGACGGGCCTGAGCGGCGACAAGTTCGCGAGCGAGCGCACCTCGGTCTGAGTCGTCGCGCACCCCTTTCTCTCCTGCATAGACGCTCTCGCCCTCTCGCTGTGCCCAATGTACCACTATCGAACCGCAACGAGCGACGAGCGAGAGAGGCGGACCCGAGAGCGACTTTCGCAGACTCTTCTCGTCGCGAGCTTTCCTCTCACACGAGCAGAGGGTCGACGACAGGCTGACTGATATCAAGACTGAAGAGAGAGCTACACAGAACGAGGCACTACGAGTTCGAGGGTCTTTGTACGAGAGAAGGAGGGAGGGAGGAGGAAGCGTTCACCTCGCGACGCCGAGGTTGGTGTTCTGCATGCCCTGCTCGAGGCCGGCCATCTGCGGCGACGACGCCTGCTGCTGCTGGTGGAGGCCGTGGTGGTGGCCGCCAGTCGTCGTCGCGAGGTTGCCGCCTGGCACGGTCTGGCCGAGCGACGACGTGCGGGCGTGGCGCCCAACCGAGCTCGACAGGCTGCTCTGCCTCGCGTGCGCGCCCGAGATGCCGGCGCCCGGCTGCTGCTGCTGCTGGAGCGGCGAGTGCTGCTGCTGCTGGAGGCCGTGACGCTGGACCGGGTGCGTCGCCGACGAGGTAAAGACGGGCTCGCGGTTGACGTACTCGACCTCGTACGCCGTGCTCTCGCCGCCGATCTCGGGGCGCGAGTCCGGCACGAGCTTGTGGCCCTCGCGAGCCTGCGGCGGGCCCATGAGCGACACGCCGCCGGGGACGACCTTGGCGCCGGGCGGGTGCGAGACGGACCCGAACGCGCCGTGCTGGACCGACGGCGACGCGACGTTGTGCTGCTGCGCGTGGCCGTGCGCCGCGGCCGGGCCGCCGCTCGAGTTGAGCATCGAGGCCGGCGAGAAGTTCGAGTTGAGGCGGTAGCTGGCGAGAGGGAGAGGAAGAAGGTCAGGACGGGTCCGAGCGCGACGCCGGCGAGGGAAAAGAGAGGGACGCACAACTCGTGCAGGTCACGCTGCCACACGGGCATGACGATCGTGTGGTACTGCGACAGGAGGAAGGCGAGTCAGGCGGCGGCTCGAGGACGATCTGGAAGAGAGAGAGGACGAGGGACGCACGTGGTGAACGACGTTCTCGGTGACCTGCGTCTCGCCCTTGTCGACCTTGACACGCTGGTGCGGCACGACCGTGTAGGTGCTCATGCTCTGGGCGTTGAGCCGAGCGAGAAGCGCGCGGTCGTCGGGCGTGTTGGCGTGCACCTCCTCGACGTGCGTGACGGGGACCTCGCGGTACGAGTGCACCGTCTCGAGGTGGCGCTCGTCGACGAGCGGCTGAACGTGGTGCTGGACGTGGTGGACTGTCGGGGGAAAATCGAGGTCAGGCCATGCGCGCTTGAGAGGGAAGGGAGGAAGGGACGAGGAAGAGGACGCACCGTGACGGTCGACGACGCGGTGACGCTCGAGCTCCTCGACCTCGTGGATGTGACGACGCTCGTGGACGACCGGCTGGAGGTACTTGTGGTCGTGCTCGGCGAGCTTGGCCTGCTCCTCGCTCAGAACGGCGTCCGAGCCGGGCTGGGCGTGGTGGCTGTGGGGCGTGGCCGAGCGCTCCTTGAGGGTCGCGCCGCGGGTGAGGCCGGCCGACTGGTCCTGGATCGAGGGTAGGCCGGTCGAAGCGGCGGCGGTGGAGGAGGACGAGGGGTTGTTGATCTCGCGAGCCGAAGTGGGGGCGACGGTCGGGGACGAGGACGAGGACGGGTGGTGGTGGGCCGCGGTGGTGGCGGCGGCGGCGGCGGCGGCGGCCGGGGCGGCGCCAGCAGGGAGGCCCGACGAGCTCGAGGGGCTCGAGTGGACCTCGTTGGTGAGCGGGCCGGACGAGCGCGCCTGGTCGACCTTGGGCGAGGCCGAAGCAGCTGCACCGCCGTCATGCGAAGTGCGCGCCCGACTCGCTCCAGCTGCGCCCGCCGCCGCCGCCGCTGCTGCGCCTGCGGCAGCTCCAGTCGACGACGACGAGTGGCGAGCCGCGTCCTGCGACGTCCTGCCGCCCGACGAGGTCGAGGTGCGCGGGCGGTTGTTGATGGCGTCAGACTCGCTGCGCTCGTCGGTGGGCGTCTGGTCGACGGGGAAGAAGCCCGACGGCGATGTCTTGTCCTTGTGCGAGAACAGGCCCATGGTGCAGTGGCGAGGTAGAGGAGGTGGAGGGGAGAGAGAAGTGGTGGGGAGCGAGAGAAGGGCAGTGATTCGAGGAGGAACCGACGGCGGCCGAGGGCGATCCGGCGCTCTGTCCTCGCGTGCGTCGTCGCTGTGCCTCCAGCTTGAGCGCTCCAGGCCCGTGCGCGCAGCACAGCCACCAAGCTCGCAACGACGTACGTAACCAGCCTCGCTCGGCGCCGAATCAAGCCAATCTCGACGACGTAACGTAACAGCTCCGAGACCGATCTGCGCCACACTTCTCCGGCTCGTTAACCAGCTCGTTCGCCCCCGCGGCCGGCCGCCCCGCTTTGGTAACGGCCATTTGAGAAGGTCACTGCTCGCGGCTGGCGCAGGCTCGTGCGCTGCGAGGGCAAGCCGCTTTGCGCTCTCCTCGCTTTCCAGCTTGCGACAGAGAGTACTGCGCCGCGTCGACCTTCTCTCCTGACGCGCAAGCTGCGGGAGGAGGCCCTCTGCCTCCGGCTGCGGTTTGCTCTTTCGTCGGCTCGAAGCCTCTCGACTTGGCTCTCCTGCGGCGAGCCACACGGTCAAGCTCGTCTGTTGCACCGAGAGGATCTACCGCAAGAAAACGCGACCGGGCCGAGAGGAGGGCGCCGCGGCGGCTCAGGTGGCCACGCAGTCTGCGCGCGAGAAGGCGAGTCAGTCGGGCTCTGGGCAGTGCAGGACGAGCCGCACGCACAGTCGGGTTGCTTGTCGGCAGGATTGAGGGTCCACGAGCTGTAGAGGGAGGAGAGAGAGAGAGGGAAGTGTCAAGGGCGAGGCGAGAGGAAAGAGAGGAAGAGGCTCGAGAGAGGAGCGGACGCACGGCATGATCACGGTCCGCCCTGCACCGCCCTGAATCGCAAACGTCTGCGTCGTGCTCGAGGTCAGTGACAGGCTCTGCTGCGGAGAGAGGCCCACACAGACGTTCGAGAAGCCGTCGAGCGGGTCGCGCGCACGGCCCTCTCGACGGCGCGACGGCGACAAGGACGAGGGGAGGAACGAGGGACGCACCGCGACAAAGACAAAGACCTGCGTGCCGCCGTCGAGCGCTGCCGAGAGCAAAAAGTTGTACTTGCGGAACCACGTCGAGCGGTACTTGCGCAAGTACCACTGGGACCAGAAGGCGAGGCAGACGCAGAAGAAGTTTTGCGAGTTGATGCCGGCGTTGAGGTACCCGACGGCGTAGACGAGGAGCGGGACCACGACCTTGTCGGCGCCGAGACGAGGGAAGAAGCGGTGCAGGGCGTAGAAGGGGAGCGGGCACGCGAGGCCGATGATGATCGCCATCGGGATGATGAAGTACGTGCTGCGCGACATGCTCGTGATCAGTGGGCCGTCGGCGACGAGGGCGAGAGGAAGAGGACGCACCCCGACGGCCCATACATGTGCTGCGAGGCGGCGCATCTCGGTCAGTCCTCGTCGTCGGTCGGGAGCTCGAGAGAGAGGGAGAAACACGCCGGGCGCACCTTTGCGAGCGCTCCCCACGTCACCGCCTCGGTGTTGAACGACTGGACGTTCTGGCCCGACCAGAAGTTCGAGCCTTGAACGTCGGTAAGGAGCTCCCGGTGCGACGAGATGATCTGCTTCATGATGACGAGCTGGAGGATGGCGCCGACGACGGTGCCGAGCGTCTGCATCGAGAGCGTCGTGCGAGGCGGAATCTTGGTGTACCTGTAGGACGAGAAGAGAGGTCAGGGCGAGGAAGAAGAACAGGCGCTCGAGGCTAGAGGGACGGAGCGAGACTCACTGCGCGAGCTTGAGGTCGACCGCCATGTTGATGCCCTGCGTGACCGATGACGACGAGTAGAGCGCAAAGTACTGCAGGGGCTCGAGGAGTGAGAGCTGTTCCTGCTCGGCGCGACGAGAGGGGAAGGGGAGCGTGCGCACCATGTTGGCCTGCGAGTTGCCCGGCACGATGGCGGCGCCCAACATCTGGGCGAGCGTCGTCAAGCCGACCTGCCAGCCCGTGATGGCGTAGAATACCGACAGCATCGGCAGGAAGGCCGCCGCGATGAGGATGGCGACGATCAGGGCCCACCAGGGCAGGTGCGAGTGACCGGTGTCTGTGCGGCGAGGGGCAGTATCGCGTCAGGTCAACCCTCGCGAGAGGCTGAGGACGTCGTCGAGAGGGAGAGAGGGACGCACAGCACGTAGCCATGGCCATGGCGAAGGACGAGAGGACGATGCCGGCGTAGACCCACCTGCGCGCACGACGAACAGCTCGGTGAGCGCCTCTCGCTCGTCTCCTGTCCCGCGCACGAGCACTCGACGACAAAGGTGACGACGCACATAGGGACCTCCTTGTAGACGCGCATCTTGGCGTAGTGCGCGTCGTCGACGGCGCCTCTGCGAAACTCGCGCGCGGCCTTGACGATCGGCTCGCGGTACCACAGGGCGACGTACGTGATGGTGGCGCCGATCGCGAGGTTGCAGCCGATGTAGTACATGGCGTACGACGGGCAGAGCCAGGGCAGGCCTTGCTCGGCGAGCGCGTCCGGGTTCAAGGTGTAGTCGCTGTTGAGGATCAGGGTCTGGTCGTACTGGGTGCCTGTGCGCGCTCGACTCGACCGAAGTCAGGTCTTCTCACTCGAGGAAGGGAGAAGACCAAGGGAAAGGCAGGGCGCACCGTTCTCGTAGAAGAGGTCCTGGCTCATGAAGGGAAAGTTGTGCGCCTGCCACGCGTTGGCGGCGTACATGGCGCATGCGATGACGGCGCAGATGGCGCACCCGGCGTAGATCGACAGCTGCGTCGCGAGCGGCGTGTAGAGCGGGCCGGCGCCGCTGATGTACGACCAGTCGAAGCTGCGGCGGGGCGAAAGAGGGTCAGGTCGAGGGCCGGGCGGTGCGAGAGGGAGCTCGACGGGACGCACCAGAACTGGAAGAGACCCATGCCCTCGTTCGGGTACGAGCCTGCGCGAGAGAGAGCGAGAGTCAGTGCTCGAGGCTCGTCGAAGGAGGAGGAGGACGAAGGGCACGGACCGCCAAAGATGCGCGTCACCCAAGGCGAGTTTTGCCGGGCGAGGCAGAAGATCGAGATGCCCGTGAGGCTCGGCGCGATGAACTGTGGGTGCCGCAGCATCAGGTCGACGTCGCTCGTCGCACGAGAACGGGGAGAGAGGAATCCGGCCGACGCACCTCGGGCACCCACTCCCAGACAAAGATGGCGACAAAGATGACGAGGAAGAACTTGAGCCTCTTGCGCTGCGCCGAGTAGTCCTTGTCGCGGTGCACGAGGTCGAACAGCTGCACGACCGGGATGAGGCTCGGGTAGACGCAGTAGGTCGGGAAGACGACGACGGCGCGGCACAGGCCGGCGAGGCCATAGCCTGCGGAATGAAGAGTCAGCTCGCGACGTTAAGAGAGAGGCGGAGGAGATAGGGCCGACGGACCCAGGAGCTGAGAGCCGACGAGGGTGAAGATGGCGACGGCGTAGTTGGCGTTCAAGTCGTAGTAGAGCTCGTCGGCGGCAAACACGTTGATGGCCTGCGCCGACGACGTGGCCGTGCTGCACATGATGTTGATCGCGACGTGCCTGCGCAGAGTACGGGAGAGGAGAGATCGTCAGTGACGGACCTCGAGGGAGAACGAGCTGGTGGACGCACTCCTTGATGTTGAACGAGCACGGGTTGAGGAACGCCCAGAAGCGTCCCTTGTCGGCCTTGGGCAGGACAGCGCTCCACACGCGCCCGAGGATGAACGACACGACGACGAGGAACAGCTGCGAGACGGTGAGGCTCGTCGGGCGAAAGTAGAAGATCTGACCAAGGACGGCCGAGAAGCACGTGAGGCCGAGTCCTGTACGTGAGGAAAGGAGAGGAGGAGGAGGGAGAAGAGGCCGTGTCAGTGAATGCGACTGAGGGAGGGAGAAAGGAGGAGGAGAGCCGAAACCAACTCACCGAGGACGTACATCCGCAGCGTGTGAATCGGCATGCTCGGGTCGTCGTCGAGCGACAGGCACCGTGTCCCGATGTCGCTCGCCGTCTGCAGGCGGAAGCTCGTCAGGAGCTCGCTCGGCAAGGGGAGGGCAGGAGGGGGAGAACGAGACGCACCTCGATCGGGCGCTCCTTGCCGTTCGAGAGCAGGTCGACGGCGTCGAGCTCGTCGGTCTCGCGAGCCGCAGGGTCTGTCGCGCGGTGCTGCTGCCGGTGCAGCTCGTGCGCCGACGTGAGGGCCGTCGCGTGCTCGTCGAGCGCGTCCTTGTCCTTGACCTCGTCCTCGTCCTCGTCGATGCCGAAACTGGTGGGCGCAGTCGACTTGTCGGCCGCAGCTGACGAGGCGAGGGTCGGAACCGAGTCGGGACCGGCAGGGGAGGGCGAGGGCGGGTGGTGGAGCGTGTCGAGCGGGACCGAGAACGAGTCCTGGCGCTTGAACGGGTTGCGGACGCGGACCATGGCGGGCGAGGGCTGTGGGCCGGGCAGGCGTCGACTCGGGACCAAGGAGGAGGTCGAGAGAAAAGCCGGCGGGCCCGACGAGGCGAGAGCGGGCGAGCGGCCGCGTCGAATCTGCGTGTTTCAGACCCCGACCGACCGAGGCTGATCAGATTGTCGGCACCACAGCGAGTCGCGCCGCTCCTCGCCCTGTTTTGGCGCGACGGTGCGGAGCAGCTGCGAGGGGCGGTACCGGGGGGTCCGGGAGCGGGCGGCCGAGGAGCGCGAGGCGCGGGGTGGAGCAGCGAGGACGAGCAGCGAGGACGATCGAGACGCCGCCGGCCGAGGGGGTGCGGCGAAGCTGGACGCTCTCGAGGAGCAACGAACACGACGAAAGAGAAAACTGCGACGACGAGAGAGTCAGCTTTGACGAGGGGAGAGGGAGAGAAGGCGAAAGGAGGCGACGCACCTCGAATGAGTTGCAGCTCGAGCGACGTCCTCCCTGCTCGTCGCCGCATCTGTGTACCCTCCCTCGCCGCCTCCAGGCGTCGTACGCCGTGTCCTCGCGCCCCTCGCTCAGTACCACCCGCCGCCGCCGCCGCCGCCGCCTGCGCGCGTGTACGGGTTCCTCGACCCCCATCTCGCGCCCTCTCCCTCGCGCCGACCGTGCCCCGCCGCCCCTCCCGCGCTCCTGCCGCCATCGACGTACCCGTCCAACCCTCCGTCCACCTCGCGCGAGTCGCGAGTGCGCCCGCCGGCCCTGTGCCGCCCGTCGCGCGCCGGCTCACCGTGAGAGCCGTCGCCGCCGCCGCCGCTCGAGCGAGGTGCCCAGCGCGGCTCGGCGTCGCGGCGAGTTGGCGAGGAGGCGTAGGAGGAAGGCAGGCGGGCGCCGGGCGCGGCGCGGTAGTGCTGCGGGTCGGGGTGCTGGCGGGTGTGAGAGGACCAGGAGGGAAAGGCGGGCGAGGGGGGAGCGGGGTAGAACTGCCCGGGGAGCTCGCGCCGAGAGGACGAGGACGTGTCTGTGCGAGAGGGAGAACGAGCAAAGGGAGGAGAAGAGAGGGAGGTAAAGGCAAAGTCAGTGCGAGAGTCCGCGTGCGGCGGCGGCGTCGAGAAGGAGAAGGTGGAGCGCACCTGGGTGGCCCTGCACCGGCGGTGGACCTCCTGCCCACGCACTCCCCGATCGCTCCTTGTCGCCCTCACGCTGCCCGTCTCGCGCCCTCGACCGCTCGGCCCTCTGCGCGTCGCTCGCGGGCTCGAGCGCCTGGTCGTCGCCCTCGCGACCCTGCTTGACCCAGTGCGGGCCCTCGTCGCCGCGCTGCCTCGCGTCGAAGCACTCTCTGCGCCACCGCTCGACGCGCTGGGCCTCGCCCTCGACGGCCGTGACGAGGTTCTTGCGCTGAGCGCGCACGGCGAGGTCGCCGGCGCTGTCGACGGCGTCGAGCTCGGTGAGGAGGCGGGTGAGGGCCTCCTCGTAGCCGTGAACGGGGGCGTTGACGGGGTTGAAGGCGAGCTTGGGGGAAGAGGACGAGGCCTTTGGGGTGAAGACGAGGGCCGAGGGAGGGGGGAGGGCGAGGTCGCGCTGGAGGTGGTGGAAGCGGGCGGCGAGTTGGGCGAGGGCGGTGAGGGAGCGAGTGCGGTCGTCGACTGGCTCGGGCTCTGGCGCTGGTGGGGAGCGAGGGCGCGAGGTGGGAGTGCTCGAGGATGAGGGAGGCGGTGCTGATGGAGCGGGGCGAGTGTGCCTCGGGGCTGGAGGCTGCGAGCGCGAGCGCCATGGGTTGCTCGTGTTAAAGGTGGGCATGGCTCTGTGCCGTGCTGCTCGTCGTGCGAGCTGGTGGGGGAGGAGAGACCACCGTCATCAGCTGAGGCTTCCGGTCGACACGACCCTCGCTCTCGTCCCAGCCGAGAGCCTGCGCAGCTGCTGGGCAGCCATGAGCACCGTCATGCCCACTCCAAACGGCACCGACCTGCACGCCTTGCTCGGCCTGTCGCCCTCGTCGCCTCGTCTGGCCGCCTTCCTCTCGCGCGTCGAGCCCGACGACAACAGCTGTCCACCGCCAGAGGTCAAGGCCTACGCCGACATTGTCTACCTCAACTACCGCCACATCGGCCTCTCGCTCTCGTTCGAGCCCTTGCCCCCCTTGCGCCCCTCGTCCTCGTCCACCCTCGACGACCTGCGCCGCGAGGGCGACAACGGCCGCCTCAAGTGCACCGGCCTCGACCTGTACAACCACGACGACGCTGCACGTGCACGCCCACCCGACGACAAGAAAAAGGCCCCGCGACAGCGTCCAGACGACCGCTGGGAGCCCTTTCCGGCGTACCCGGTCCTCCTCCCCGCCTCGTCCTCGCCGTCCTCCTCCGCCGCTCCTCCCTCAACTGCCTCATCCCCACCCAGCACCGACGACACCGCATCTCCCGCCGCCACCGCGCCCACCTCGCACCTCCCCTTCCCGCTCCAGCCCTCGACGACCGGCGCCGCCCTCCTCACCCACTTCGGCGAGCCCACCCGCAAAGGCGGCGGGTCGTCGTCGACGCCGGGCGTCGGCATCTGGACAGAGTGGACGCCCGAGGGCGTCATGGTCGAGTGGGCCAGCAGCGGCCTCGGCGCGTGGGACAAGGGCGGCGAAAGCACGTGGAGGTGCTTGAGCGTCTTTGAGCCGGGCAAGCCGTCGGGAGGGGCCTGACGCAGGAGCTGCGCCGCATACCGACCTCAATTCTCGGCGTGCACGACGAGCTGGGCGTCGGGTCGGCCGGGACCGTCTCCTGCTCCTCGCGAGGTGCGTCGCGCTCGTTTCTCGCAACTTAGGCCACTGCCCTCTGCCCTCGGCAGCCTCACTGACCTCGTCTCTCTCCCTCCCTCACAGGCCGAATCGAGGGACTGCACGTACTGGGAGAGCCGTGAGCGGCGGCCTCTCGGCGATGACGGTGCGTCGCCTCGTCCTCCCAGATCCTCGACTCGCGCACTGACCCTCTCTTGCCGATGCCTTGCGATGCAGCCGCGCCCGACTCGCTCAGCAAGACGACAGACACTCGTTCCCCATCGATGGCGTCGTGCGGCCCATGTAGCAGCTGCAGCAACTCGTTTCTGACCTTCTCATCTTGAGAGCGAGCGAGCAGAAAGAGATTGCGACAGCGAGAGCAGCCTCTCCTCGGTCGCTGCCCTGGGACAGCAAAGCTTGATTTCTGGACACATCGGCAAAGCCTGCACCTCGAAACGCGCCTCGAGCGTCGGCCCGACGCCGCGCCTTCTCCCCTCCTCCTCGTCCGGCCCACACCCTCCCTCGCCACGCCCATCCCCTCGCGCCCCGACCCTCTAATCGCTCTCCTCGTCCTCCGTGTCGACCTCCTCCTTGCTCAGGCCCCTGCCCGACCCCCTCACGCCCGCCTTGTCCGCCGTCGGCGCACGGGCCGCCGCCCTCGGCTTCTTGTCCTTGACGTCGTCGTCGTCGGACGAGGCGGCGAGCGTCGACGAGGGCGCAGCGGGCTCCTCGTCGTCCGAGGGCGGCGGGACGAGGTGCGCGTGCTGCTCGGGGTCGAAGGGGAACAGGTGCGGGCTGCGAGAGGGAGGCGAGGAGGGGCCAAGAGGGGCGGGCGAGTGGGTCGAGGGGAACATGCGTGGCGGTGAGCAAGGGACTCTCGATCCTTCGCCGCCCTCTCCTGCTCCGAGAGAGCGAGAGCGGCGCGACAAAGACGAGGACCAAAGCCTGCTCACCTGATGTGCTTGGCCATCGTGAACGAGCTGCGGGAGGAGAGCATGTGAGCGACGACGCTCGGGCGGCAGAGCCTGATCAAGACAGAGGACGAACTTGATGCGCGCAAAGGGGAGGACGCGCTGCGGGGAGGAACGAGGGCGGAAGGGTCAGGTTTGGCTCGGCCAACGGGGCGACGAGGAGGAGAGAGGAGGGCGCGCATGCAGCGTCTCGTCGGGCAGGATGTCGGTGCGCTTGTTGGCGTCCTGGAGGTCGTGCGCCTTGATGTAGCGCCACATGAGCTGCGTGAGGAGCGAGGTGAGTATTCGCTTCTGTGGCGCGGCCTGAGGACGCGAAGCCACGTGTCCGCGACCCGAGAGGTCGAGACGGGGGCTTCGAGGAACGATGAGAGAGATGCGAAGCGCACCTTGGTCACCCTCGGCCGGCTCGCCACCTCCTCGCCGCAGATGGCCGCCAACTCGGGCGAGAGCAGGTGGAACTTGTTGAACCCGGAATTGGGGTTCGCCTTGCGCTTCTTCTTCTTGGGCGCCGCTCCTCCTCCGCCCTCGCTATCGTCGTCGCTCACGCGCGCCTTGCTCTTCTTCTTGCCGCCCGCCGTCCGCTTCTTGGACGCCGACGAGGTCGTGCCGTTGCGCGTCGTGCGGCCGGCGCTCTGCGACGCGAACTCGGCCTGGAGCCGGCGCGCCATGGCCGCGTCGTCCTCCTCGGCCTTGCTCTTGCTCTTCGAGGTGGTGGCGAGGGCGAAAGCGGGCGACGAGGTCGGCTCGGGCGCGAACCCGTTGGCGGACGGCGAGCGCGAGCGCTTGAGCTTCTGGAACGAAGGCAGCTTGGGCTTGACGTCGGCGTCCTGCGGTACAGTGGACGGGTGAGTCTCGGCGAGGGCTAGAGTAAGAGGACGGCGAGAGGAGACGCACCTCGTGCCCGTGACCGCCGTCGCCGTTCCCGCCCGACGTGAAGAGCTCAGTCGTCACCGAGTCGATCGCCTGCTTGTGCGCCTTGATGTCGAGGTTCGGGTACTTGGCCTGCGTCGAGCGAGTGTCAGCTCTTGCTCTGTGCAGTGTGCGAGGTTGAGGAGGACGGCGGGGAACAGGGACGAGATGAGACACGACCGGCGCACCTGCAGAGCCTTGCGGACGGCCTTTGCGGACACGCTCGAGCGATCTGCTTGGTCGAGGATGCTCGCCTGCGCGGGTCAAGGCACAGGGAGGTGCACAGGGCGAGGGAGGCGGCGTCGGAGATGACGAGGTGGGAGAGCGGGGGAGAGGACGAGGCGAGGTCAGTACGGCGCTTGGGCACAGGCGCGAGCAGGTAGGACGCACAATGTCGGGGCGCAGGCTCTGTGCGTCGAAGCTGGCCATGCTCGCGGTGGTCGAGGCGAGAGTTGAGAACGAGCCAAGGTCGCCCGCTGGCGCTCACCGACCCAAGTCGCGCGTGAGCCTCGGTGGCTCGCTCTTGGCTCTCGTGGATAGCGGGAGACGACGACGATGAGATATGTACTCGAGATTAGTCGACCTTGCGCCGACGCACGCCGTAAGAAAGGCTACATCCTCGCCCGGTCCTCGTCCGCCTCAGTAAGTCACGATCCGCAACTCGCCCTCGTCCTTGTCCTGCTCGACACCGAGTCCAACAGGTTCGCCGTCGCGGTGCACGACGACGAGCTCGAACCGGCCGACGACCTGCTCGGTCACGTCGGCGTCGTCGTCGACCCTCGCTCCTCCTCCTCCTCCTCGCGTCGGCGACCCGGGCGTGCGCTGCGCCTTGCGCTCGATGACGACGAGCGGCCACGTGCCGGCGTCGATGCGGCGCGCGAGCCCAAAGACCTCGATCGCCGCGCCGTCAAAGTGCACCCACTCGGGCAACGGCGCGACGCCGTCGTCGAGCTCGTCGGCCGAGTACCGCCGCGCGAGCGCCTCGTCGAGGAGCGCCGTCTCGATCCACGCGTGGTACGTCGCGCGCGGTGGCCCGTTGCGGCCCGGCGAAGACGAGATCGAGGCGAAAGGCGCCGGCTCGAGCCGAGGCACGAACCGGAACGGCTCGCCGACGTGGAGCGAGACCCGCAGCGGCTCGAGGTACGACGACGAGCGCTTGTGCCGCGAGTCGGCGCTCGTCGCTGCCGTCGGCTGAGACGAGGCGGCCGAGAACGCGACCGATCGCGGCGTCGCCGGCACGTCCGACTGCGAGTATCGGCTCGCCGAGTCGTGCGTGAAGTGCGACGCCATGGCCGGCGACACGTTGGTCGACGCGACCGACCCGACGTACCGCACGCCGCCGCCTGTCGCGCTCAGACGCTGCTCGTCGAGGACCTCGTCGTCGAAGCTCGTCCGGCTCAGGACCGAGTCGCCGTACGCCGAGCGCGACTGCCACGTCTCGCGCTGCGCGCTCGACGACCCTGCTGCCGCCGACGGGTAGAAGACGGCCGAGGTGGTCGGCGAGCCCTGCCCGTCGGCGGGGACGTAGACGGCGCTCCTGGGTCGCGGTCGGTCGTCGCCCTCGTCGTCCTCCCACGCGTCCTCGACCGCCTCGTCGCCGTCCTCGCGCTGCTCGGTGTCGGTCGGTTCGGACGGTCGGCGTGCGGCGAGCGAGGTTTGCGAGGTGAAGGTGCGGCTGAACGGTGGCGGGCGGCGCTCCTGGGTGAACGAGATGAGGCGAGGCGGTGCGACGAGCGAGTCTTGCGACGGCGAGTCGGACGGGTAGCTGCCCGATCGGGACGGCGACGAGTACTGCTGGAAGTGCCGCGCCTCGCTCACGGCGGCGCTCGTGTCGAGATGGCGCGCCTGCGTCGAGCTCGACGAACCCGAGTGCGAGCCGACCATGCGGATCCCGCCGACCTCGTCCTCGTCGACGCCGTCGCTCATGGTGCCGTCGCTCACGTCCCGAGTGAGGCTGAGCGGCTGCGTGACGTCGTAGGTGTCGCGGTTCGGGCTGGGCGTGGGCGAGTCGACGTCGAGGGCGGTCGGGCTCTTGATCGGGAGGGGGAGGAAGTCGCGCCTGCGCTGCGGGATGCTCGGCGGCCCGCGCCTCGTCCCACCGACCGAGACGTTGCTCGACCCGCTGCTCGCCGACGGGACCGGCGAGGCGTACCCGGCGCTGCTCAACCCGCTCCCGCTCGCGCTGCCCGTCCGACTCGCCGTGCGCCGGTGCGGCATCGACCGCGGCGAGCCCGACGCCGCCGACCGGTCCGAGTAGAACAGGCTCGAGCTCGCGCCGCTCTCCCAGCTCGAGACGCGCCCGCTCGGCCCTGCCGCCGGCCCCGCCTTGGGCGAGGCGTACGTGCCCGAGTCGATGCCGCGCCCGCCGTCCGACACGACGACGATGCGCCGCGTCTCGTTCGACGCAGCGTCGTCGATGCCGAGGCCGAAGAGCGACGCCTCGTGGCGGACCGCGCCGCCGCCGCCACCGACCGCTCCTGCTCCCGCTCCCTCGCCGCTGACCGACGCGAGCGAGCGCTGGCTGCGCTCGCGCCCCTTGCCCTTGCCGCGCACCGCGTCGAGGAAGCTCTGGCCCGACTCGCTGCGGAAGAGGCGGCCCATGACGTCGAACCGCTTGGGCCCCTTGGGCTCAGTCGGCGTCGGCGGCGGCTCGTCCGCCTCGTGCAGCGTGTCGAGCTTGTGCGACGCGTGCGGGTACTGCGACGTGACGGCGACGGGGAGCGCCATGTGCTCGGCGCCTCCGACAGGCGGCACGTAGCCCTTCTCGGCGCTGCCCCACTGAGCGCTCGAGGCGACGGGCGGCGACGCCTTCTCGCCCTTGGCGCCGCCGCCCACGCCGTGCCCTGCCGAGCCGACGATCGTGACGGCGCTGGCCGAGAAGGCGCCGTTCGGGGCCGGCGACGTGCTCATCGGGCGCGGGTGCGAGATGAGGAGGCCGCCGGGACGACGACCGCCCTTGCCGCTCGACCCGGCGGTGCCGGCGCTACGGCGGCGCTTGCGGATGCAGCACGCGACGAGGACGAGGGCGAGGATGAGGAGGGGCAGGCCGAGGCCGAGCCCAAGCCCGAGCCCGAGTTTGGCGGACGTCGACAGGCCCTTGTCGGCAGAGGGGGACGAGGTCGGGAACGTCGAGTTGCCGCCGCCCTCGATGACCGACAGGACGAACGACGCTCGCGAGACGGCCGACGTCGACGGGTCGAGGGCGTCGAGCGTGACCGACACGTTCTCGTAGTCGGGCACGGACGAGGGCGCGGTGCCGGACAGGGTGAAGGCGGACGGGTCGAACGAGAGCCAGGACGAGGCTGCGGCCGGCGCGATCGACGAGTTGATCGTGACGTCCTTGAGCGACGACGGGAGCGACCGTTTGCTCGACGAGGACGGCGCGAGGTACGCCGACAGGTCCTGCTCGAACTTCTTGCCGACCTGGACGTCGATCATGGCCGGAAACGACGCCGTGTCGAACAGGGAAGGGTACACGACGAGCGACAGGTTGGCCTGGAGCGTGTCGTTGTTGCGGTCGACGAGGACGAGCGGGATGGGCACGCCCGAGGCGCTCGTGGGCGAGTAATTGGCCGGGACGGCGCCCGTCACGCTCAGTGCGGCGCTGTCGAACGAGAGGAACGTCACGCCCGCCTGCGCAAAGTCGGCCGTGGCGCTGCTGATGTCGCTCGCGTTGACGGTCGAGTTGTCGAGGCGAAGCTGGCCGAGCGGAACGGTGTAGTTGACGGGCCCGCCGACGGTCGCATTAACGGTCGGGAACACGCCATCACCCGTGCCGTTGGTGCCGACGAGCTCGAACGCGTGCTTGGTGACGAGGATCGTGAAGCTCTGCCGCGCGTCGCCGTACCCGAACCGCTCGCTCGCGACGACGTCGATCTCGTACTCGCCCGGGGTATACGGCGCGAGCCCGTTGAACGTGACCGTCTCGTTGTCGAACGTGATCCACGACGGGAGCGACGTCGTGCCATGGACGAACGCCGTGTAGTACATGCGCAGCTGCAGCGCGTTCTCGATCGTGTACTGCTCGAAGCCGAACGAGAAGCTCCACTGCGGCGGCACCTTGAGCGCGCCGCCGGGCGTGAGCGTCCCGCCGCCCGAGATGGCGGCCGCCGAGGCGAGCTGCGACTCGAGCGGGAGGCGGACGTACGGCGCCGGGTCCGACGCCGGGTCGACGACGAGGAGCGTGAACCGCCCAGACGCCGTCGCGCCGTCGCTCGAGTCGGTCGCCCGAACGGTGACGGCGGTCGAGCCGAGGTCGGACGAGGACGGTGTGCCCGAGAAGGACCCGCTCGAGGCGTCGAACGTGGCCCAGGCCGGGAGGGTGGATGTCGCGGCGAGGGTGATGGTGCCGCCGCTCGACGAGGAGAAGGTGCCGGACAAGAGGGTGAAGGTCCAGCTCTCGCTCGAGCGCGCAACAGGCGGGCGCTGGGCCTGGAGAGGGTAGACGAGATTGGGCGTGGCGAGGGCCAGCGGCGTGAGGGCGGCGATGAGGGTCGCGCGGGCGAGAGCGAGGAGGCGCATGGCGGTCGGTGTACTCGGGAGAGCTGGAGCTCGGTCACGGGTGCGCGCGAGGACAGGTGCGAGGTCGAGAGGTCGGGTCGAGGGAGGCACGGCGGAGCCGGCGGTACAGGTGAAAGGAGCGACGATGAGCGGTTGGCTCAGGTGGTTGTGTCGGGTACTGCGAGGGGATGCATCGGGTTAGCTCGGTTACACGGATGGGGCTGACAGCGCGGGCTGACGGGCGCACCTAGTCGTCGACTCGCGGTGGGTTGTGCTCGTCCGGGCGAGCTGGTCCTGCGTGTGCGGTGTCGTGCGCGAGCTTGGTGGGCTTGTAGACGGGACTGGAAAGGTTATATAAGTCCCCTGTGCGCACAGGAGAAGGGAGAGAAGCCGGGGACGCACTGGGTGATGAGGCGGCGAGCTTGCTCCGGGAGGCACTGCCTGGCGGAGGATGGACGGCCGTGCGCGCTAGACCAGCAAGGCGCAGAGAGAGTACAGGCGGACAGGCAGGTGCCTGGTGCGCGTCTGGGAGCAGCGAGGGCGAGAGGGAACACGGCGAGCAGCGGGCGACGACAACGGCTCGACGCGTCTCGGACGCGACGGCACCTCGTCTCGCTTCTGCGCGAGAGACTGGTCGCCCGAGGTGGACCAAGGGTATAGCAGGCCAGCCTGACGCGTCATGCACGCCCGACCCGCTGAGCTGGCGAGCCACGAACGGCGACGAAGCAACTTGAGAAGGTCGCGCGTCGTCCTCCTTCGCAGCCCTCGTCCTCGCTCGTGTGGGCAGCTTTGAGCTTTTTGAGCCGCCGGACGTCGGCAGAAACAGCCACAGGGTCCGTCGAGCCGTGCGCCTTGTCAGAAGAGGAGACGAGACAAGCCGCAGCGCTTCCTGCGCACAGGAACTCTCAGGTCGGCGCTCACTGCAACGACGACGACGGGACGCGCTCTCCTCTCGTGCTGCCACGTCGAACGAAGCCCTCGGTCGGGAGAAATGACTGCGTGTTGGCGTCGAGCCTACAGAGGTGAGGGCAAAGAGCGAAGAGGAGAGAGAGAGAACAAGAGGCTATTAAAACACGCTGCACAGCTGCGACACCGAGGGGATCTATAGAAGGACGAGACGAGACGGCACAAGAGGCATCGGCGCAGGTAGCGCGGGCCGTTTTTCCATCAGAAGTGGGGCGCGTTGAGGATGATGCCCATGAGGCAGCCCGCAAGCGTACCGGCGATGGGGACGGTGAGGACCTGTGGCAGGACGCACACTCGTCAGTAAACGAGGTACATCCTGGGCGACGGGCAAGGGAGAAGAGACAGGAGAGAGAGGGAGGGAAGGGAAGGAGTAGGGAAGGAGAGGGAGAGTCGACGTACCCATCCGAGGACGATCCAGCCAATCGCGCGCCAGTTGATCGAGCGCAGGTCGCCGTTGCACAGGGCGACGCCGATGGTCGAGCCGGTGATGCACATGGTGGTCGAGACGGGGAGACCGTACTGCGACGCGAGGATGACCGTGATCGAGGCGCCGAGCTCCATCGAGAAGCCTCGCGACGGCGAGTGGAGCGTGATCTTGTTGCCGAGGACCTTCATGCTGCGAGGCGGAAGAGAGAGAGCGGTCAGGGCGCCGGTCGAGAGACAAGGGGGGGGGTGGGAGAGGTGGGCGCACATGTTGTAGCCGTACGTCGCGAGACCGATGACGAGCATGGTGGCCCCGAACACGAGGATCCAGATGGGGACGGCGGCCTTCTTGCCGGCGATCTCCATCGACGACCAGACCTGGTAGATGGCGGCGTACGGGCTGATTGGCGAGAAGAAGGCGGTGGCCGAGGTGGAGCGAGGGCAGTCCGACGAGGCCAGAGACGGACACGAGGGCGTCGAGGTAGCGAGGAGAAGGGAAGAGGGAAGAGGAAGAGAGTCAGCGAGTGCGCGAGGGAAGGAGGGTGGGAGGAAGGAGAGGGACGCACCCGATAGCGTTCGAGACGTCGTTGGCGCCGTGCGCAAAGCTGTTGGCGCACGCCGTGAGGACCTGGACAAACGAGAAGCACGCCTCGGTCTCGTTCGGGTACTGCTTGGCGCGGGCGTAGATGTCCTGCATGCGGCGGGCCTCGGGCGAACCGGCCTCGCCGTTCTGCGCGCCGTGGATGTCGTAGTTGAGGCCGTGCGTCGCGCTCTTGACGATCCACGGGATGGCCTTGTAGCGCGCGATGATCCACAGGTTCTTGGGCGTCGCCCACGGGCCCTCGATCGGGTGCGGGTCGGCCTTCTCGACCTCGCTGTTGAGCGCCGACGGGTGGACCGGCGTCGACGACGGCTCCTCCATGATCTTCTCCTCGCCCGACGCACCCGACGACTCGAGGTCCGGGTTGGCGGCGAGCTGCGGCTTGACGTTGCCGTGCGTCTCGCCCTCCTTGTCGGCGCGAACGCGGTAGTCGACGACGTTGACGGCGAGGTCGGCGGCATCGGCAGGGGGCTGGCGGAACCAGAGGGCCGGGCCGAAGAAGAAGTGGTACCAGCGGAGGGCTGCGTGACGAGGAGGAGCGAGTGAGTGACACGCTCAGGGGGTTCGACCGCCGCCCGAGCCGACTTGAGAAGGTCACTCGAGGCGGGAGAGGGAAGCGAGGACGCACTGTAGTCCTTGCGCGCGACCTTGCAGTAGACGTAGGGAACCCAGAAGAGGACGGCGAGCGCCATGACGACCGCGGCAGTGCCGACGATGGCGGCGGCGAGCTCGTTCTGGGGCAGCTCGTCGAGGCCGAGCGAGGGCGAGCCCTTGAAGACGATGGCCATCGTCATGACGGCCGACGTAAGGAAGAAGACGAGCGGGCCGCAGGCGAGAGCGTAGGGGAAGGGGTTCTTGCGCGCCTGTGGGTCGAACGAGGGAAAGTCAGTTCGACGAGTCCGAGGGCGCGAGGACGAGGGAAGGAGGGGACGCACGAGAACGCCGAACTTGACCATGAGGTAGAGGACGGCGCCGAAGCCGGCCGAGATGCCCGGGGCGATGAGGAAGCCGGCGAAGATGGTCGCGAGGCCCTTGCCGCCGTTCCAGCCCCAGTTGACGGCGTCCTTGCCGCCGACGGCGACACCGACGCCGGCAACCGCCGAGACGATCGAGTAGGTCGTCGAGACGGGCCACGAGTAGCGCGTGCAGACCATGAGCCACGAGGCCGAGACGACGAGGGCGCAGGTGAAGGCGAGCATCTGGACGCCGGCGTTGCCCTGGAAGATGGACGGGTTGATGATGCCGTTCTTGATCGTGTCTGTGTGGGTGACACGGTCAGGGCTGCGCTCGTCGCGACGAGGCTCGGGCGAGGAGGAGGGAGAGGTGGCTCACCAGCCGTTCGTGCTCCGACTGCGACCGCTCCCGCAAACTCCATGACGGCAGCGGCGAGGGTCGCCTGCCTCATGGTGAGCGACTTGGAGGCGACCGACGTCGCGAACGAGTTGGCGACATCGTTGGCGCCAATGTTGAACGCGTCGAGCGCGGCAAAGATGGTCTGCGAGGCGCGAGAATGCGAGGGTCAGTGCCGCTTCGCCGGGTTGCTCACATCGCTCAATCGCTCGAGCGCGACGCTCAGCGAAGTAGGGACGCACGCCGATGGCAAAGATGTAGTCTGTGGCGAGTTGGTGCGAGACGAGGTCGGACGAGGGGAGGGGTGCGGCAAGGTCAGTTCTCGCGCGTGGTGGGACGAGATGGAGAACGAGACGACGCACCCCACTGGTGGAAAGGCATTTTTCTGAGGTCGCCTTCAAGGGGGGTTGGCGGAGGAGGAGGAGGAGGAGCGTGCGCTCGAAAGGAGGTGGTCGGCGGTGAAGAGTCGGCGGGAGGAGAGAGACAGCTGCGAGCGCCAAAAGAGCATGCTCAGTACGAGGAGCGAGCGTGCACGTTCGACGTCCAAGAGGTGTGCCAAGAAACTGACGGCCCCGCACTTGCCTGTCGCCGGTTCGCCGGGGAGCCTCGATCGCACCGCCGCGGCGCTCGTGGGCGATCCGCCTGCCCTCGTTCGTGAAAGCGAGCACCTCTCCCTCGACCTGCAGCCGTACCTGACCCTCGCACACCGCACGGGGCGCACGCGCAGGAGAGGTCCGCGCGGCGCGCCCCTTGAGCCGAGCCCAGTCCAAAGCTGAATGTCGCGGGACCGCCGGCGACACAACGTGCGGCCTTTGGCTCACGTGAAAGCTGCCACTCGAGCGAGCGAGGACAGAGGGTGCACTCGGCAAGGTAGACGCCGGTGCACCGACTGTGGAGCGTAAGCTGCTGGAGGTCGAGAGCTCAAGGGCGAGTCTGACTGGACGGTGCGGCCGCCGCGACGACGAGGCAACGTGGCGGGACGCGTCGACGCTCGAAGATGTCACTCGAGATCGTGGTATGTCGAGTCGAGTCGCTCGGGCGTGCAGGACGGCGAGGCGAGGCGGACGAGGGCGGCAAGTCGAGGAGGGGGAGGAGGGGGAGGGGAGGCTCGCAAGTGCGTTGACCGGTGCGGGTGTGGTGCGAGTGCGTCGAGAGAGTGTAGCAGTACACTGTACGGCTGCTGGAGCAGGTCCAGGGGCGAGTGGGCGAGGTGGAGGAGAGCACGCAGATGAACTCCCTCGTCTCCTCGCCGTCTCGCTCGACTGCTGCTCTCCCCGAGGCCAGGCCAGGCTAGCCAGCACGGCCAGCGAGCTCAAACAGCTATGACGGCTCTCGCCAAGCTCCTCCCGCTGCTCGCGCCGGACGACGACCTCTCGCTCGCCCTCGACCACCTCGAACGCGAGCACCGCATCGTCACCGGCACGTCCCTGTCCGTGCCCTCGCTCCGCCCGTCGCAGCCCGAAGCTCACCCTGCCCCCGACGCGCGACCCTCCAGACGTCGACCTCGCGTTCGCGCCACCGCTTCCACCACACCCTCTCCTCCCGCCGACCCTCTTCGACCGCCTCCAATCCCTCGTCACGACCAACCTCGCCGCACCCGCCCTAAGCGGCACCTACCTCCTTCAGCAGAGCCGTGACCGCAAGGGCAAGCAGCGCGAGCGGTACTCGACCTCGCTCGACGACCTCGACGTCCTTCTCGACGGCGGATTCTGCGCCGGTGAGCTCATCGACGTGTGCGGGCCGCGCCGCAGCGGTCGCACCGTCTTTGCGCTCTACGTCGTCCTCCTGCACCTCTTGCTCCACGCCGACAGGCGAGCCGCCTGGCTCGACCCGGGCGGCTCGTTCGACGCGTACCGCTGCCTCGCCATCCTGCGCGACGTCCTCGTCCCGCGCCTGTATGCCCTCGGCGGCTCGTTCGCCGGCGACGACGGCAAGGAGCCGGCGCCCCAAGATCTCGCCATCGCGACGCTCGACCGGCTCGCCGTGTCGAGCCCGAGAAAGTCGGGCGACGCGCTCGACGTCCTCGCGGCCGAAACCGAGGCGACGGGCAAGACCGAGACGCTCAGCATGGTCGTGATTGACTCGCTCGATACCCTCGTCGGTGGCGAGGCGCTCTCGAGCGGGTCCGCGCAAGGTGCGTCCCCTTCTCCCCCTCCCTGTCTCCCTCTTGCCCGACCTTCTCGACCTGACCTTCCTCGTTCCCGCAGGACAAGCCAAGCTGATCGCCTTCATGCGTCGAATGGGCACGCTCGCACGATCAACTACTGCCCCGCTCGCTGTCCTCGTGAGTCCTTTCCTCGCCTTCTCCCCTCTCCAGAGCCGCACTTGCTCGAGAACGCGAGCGCTGACCCCGCCTCGCGCAGGTCGTCACCACCGCCATCCCCCTCGCCTCCTCTTCCACACCACGAGGTCCTCCACCCGCCGCCGGCGGCCAACCTCCCCCGCTCTCGTCCCTCCCCCTCCCCGAGCCGCTCAGACCCTCTCTCGGCCCGACATTCGCCTACCTCGTCGACCTCTCGGTGCTACTTACGCCCGCCGAGCCGCTCTTTGGGCCCGTCGACGGCAAGGGGAGGACGGTGCTCGAGGTGACGAGGAACTCGAGGGGCGACAAGGGCGGGACGGTCGTGTTCAAGCTGGTGCGTCGCCCTCTCTCTCTCTCTGTCTCTGTTTCTCGCTCCCCAAGTCTTCGACGACGATCGTGACTGACTCGATTCTGTCGCGGCGCAGGAAGGAGGTGTAGATCTCGAGCAGCTGGTGTAGCTCGACGGAGGAGCAAGGTGCAATCGACGACGACGAGCTTTCGCCCATTCTCAAGCTGCAACTTTCTCTCGAGGCGAGCGAACGAGCGAGAAGGAAGCGAAAGAACTGCTGCTTCTATTGCCCGACAGAGAGAGAGAGAAAGAGAGAACCCAAGAGCCCGCTCGCTCCGTCACTCGCCGCCCTCGGGCGTCTCGACCTCTCGCCAGAGCCTGCCCGCCGCCCACTGCATCGCGGCGCGCCCGCCCGTCGCGTTCTCCTCGAACCGGCCCTTGCTGTACTCCTCGACCCTGCGGCCGGCCGCTCGCTGCGGGAACGTGCTCGCGGCCGGGTTGGCGAGCGGCGGGACGGGGCTGTCGGGCGAGACGCCGTGCGGCGGGTAGCGCTCGCACGCGAGGACGCCCGTCGAGAAGATGAGGGCCGACTGGGAGAAGAGGGTCGTCGGCGGCATGGCCGGGTGCGACAACGGGTGGTCCGTCTCGGCTGGGGGAGGGTAGGGAGGAACGCCGGCATCGTCCGAGTCGTCGGCGCTCTCGCCCGGGATCGTGCCGCAGTCGTCGGCGCTGTCCTCGTCGCGGACGGAGAGTGCCGGGGCGAACTGCTGTCGGGTCGGCGGCGGGAGGTGCGGCCACGGGTGCGGGAGGTACGAAATGGACTCGCGGCACTGGAGGAGCGACGACAGGGTGAGGTTGGTCGACGCCATGAGGAGCTTTGGCGGCTCGAGGAGAGCTCGTGCGGGCGAGTGGTCGGGGTCGGAGCTGCTCGGGATGCAGGAGGGGACGACAAACGACACCTCGCGCGCGTACGTGACGTCGGGCGTGCCGAGCATCTGCAGGACAGGTGCGACGGTCAGGTGCGGCTACTCTCTGGAGAGGAAGAGTCGAGACAAGGGAAAGCAGGACGAACCCTCCTGACCCATCGCGGGCTGTCCTGCTGGATGCCGAGGATGCGCTCGCTGCGGATGGTGCCGTCCTCGAGTATCTGGCGGTCGACGACGTCCATCGAGACGACGTGTGCCGCGAGCGGGTTCGGGTACTTGTTCAGGACGGCGTAGACCTGGGCCGGCCAGGGCCAGCCAAAGTGAAAGGCGGTCGTGAAGAGGGCGACCATGGCGAGCCAGTGCGAGGCGGGAGGGAGGTAGTGCTGAGGCTGGGTGAACGAGTAGAGGTGGGCGTGCAGTCGTGGGCGGATCGGTCGGCGAGGCCGGGCGGGCGAGGGATCATCGGGAAGAAGAGGGGGAGGTGATGAGAGTAGGAGGGGAAACCGGCACGAGTCAGCTCCGCGCTTGTGCCAGAGGAAGTACAGTCAAGAGAAAGTGCAGGTGCGCACCTTTCGAGCTGCCCTCGACGGTTGGCGAGTTGTGTAGAGCTTGCTGAAGGCGAGGCGAGGTGGGGAGGTGCGGTCGCCGCCTCTTCTGCGAGCGCGCGAGCGGGTGGTTGGGTATGGGCGAGGCTGCTGCTGGTGCTGCTCTGCTCTGTCGAGGTGCTTGAGCACAGGGCGGGCCGTGGTCGAGAGCAGACGAGGGCGAGCCTCGCCCCGCACGTTGTTCAGCTCCGCCCTCGCGCCTCTCAGCTGGCGACCGAGCGGTGGCTCTGCCGGTGTGCTGCACTTGCTCGCTATGCATCGCTGTGCGCAGCGCTGCGCCCGACGCGAGGTTAGGTCCTCTCCCTCCTCCTCCCCTCCTCCTTCTCTCGACGATTGGATCCAGACGCCCAGCAGCGCTCCTAGCTCGGGCGGGTGCAACATTGCGATCGTGACTTGAGAAAGAGAGAGGGATAAAGAGTCGCATTGACCAGCAGAGGCGAGGGAGGAACGCTAAACGAGGTGGAACTGAGAGGCGAGAGGCCCGGGGGCGCGAGACAAGGAGGGGCACGGACTGGAAGGAAGGGGACGATGAGGGATCGAGGGAATGACGCGAGAGAGGCGCTCAGAGAGCGAGCACGACGAGCGCGCCGCCGAGAACGCCGCCAACGAACGCGGCTCCGCCAGCGCGCACGGTTCCTGCCGCGCTGTTGCCGCCCTGCTGCGGCGCGCCCGAGTTGGTCGCGCTCTGGACGGGCGCACGGCTCGTCGCCGAGTTGATGTCGCTCAGGATCCCGCCGCCAATCGAGCTGTCGTCGTCGTCCTCGCTGGACCCGGTCGACGTTGCCGAGGCGAAAGCGGACGTGGCTGAGGCAAACGCCGACGTGCGAGACGCCGAACCGGTGCCCGAGGTCGACGAACCAATGCGCGACGAGGCCGACGAGAGGGTGTCGAGGGCGTCGGCGCAGTAGTCGCTAAAGTCTGCGGGCGCAGGGCAAGGACGGCGCGAGGGTCAGTCAAAGTCGCTCATCGTCAAGGCCGCCGTCGTCTGGGGCTCTGAAATACTCACCGTTCGCGCCTTGCTCGTCGGACCCGCCGTAGCCTGTAGTGAGTCGTGCGCAGAGTGAGCGAGGAGGACCGAAGGAGAGAGAGAGAAAGAGAGAGTGCGACGCACAGGTGCCGCACGTGCGCATCTTGCGGTCTGGTCGCTGCCGCAAGCGCAGATCCCGACCTGCGTGTACGTCGCAGCGTCCGAGCAGTCCTGCGGGGTCGGTACCCGGCGATGACGGAGGAACACGTCAGTTTCGTTCGACTGGGGCACGAGGGAGGAGGATAGAGCGCACATAGATCTCTTCCACCCAGGCCGAGCACTCGCTCGCACACTGCCCACCGTTCATGTTGCTCGCCGCCTTTTCGAGGAGCCCCTCGAGGCCATTGAGCGCGTCGGACGTGCTCTGACGACGGGCGAGGGACACGTCGACGGCGGGAGCGAGGGCGTTGAGCGCGCGAACGACAGGGCGAAAGTCGCGGACGGCGACGGGCGCAGGGAATGCGAGGACTGGGAGAACGAGGAAGATCGTCAGAAGTCGCCCCTGGCCGGCAGGGAACGAAGGAAAAGGGCGGCGGACCTGTCGAGAAGGAGAGGGCGGCGAGGACGAGCTTGAGCATGTCGGCGAGGTTGGGTGGGTTGGGTGCAGCAGAAGTGTGCGAGGCCAAGCAGAGAGAGCGCACAGGCAGCGACGTGGATGGAGACCCACAAGAATGGGACGAGCCGGTCGGACGAGTGGCCGCCGCCGAGCGGACCCGCTCAGCTCCCCTGCGGACACGAGGCGGACGAGCTTCTTTAGGGGCTAGCGTAGCGAGACACATGATCAAGCTTGGCCCACGTGCGCACCGGCAGCGGATGAGCGCGGCGAAAGCGGGAGAAGCACGTAGAAGCGAGAGGGTTAAAGCGCGCACAAAAAGCGGGCTCGACAGCTGCTTGCTCAGCGTGGCAGAGGTTGCACACAAAGCTGTGCAGCGATGCACGAGCAGGCGAGCAGCCGGAACAAAGTTCGGCGGCGAGAAGATGGAGCCCGCGCGCTTCGGCCGAGTGCGAGGTTGAGAGCTGAGATGGTCGTTGCGCAGCGAGAAAGGGGGGTGCAGAGAGCTACAACAAGGACACGGTGACGCCGCCGACGCGACAGGAACCCGTCAGTCGTCCCACCCGCGCCGACCACCGCCTGAGCGAGAAGACCCGTCCCTCGCCGGCCGACCCGACCGCTCCTCGCGCCCTTCGAAGCGCCTCGGCCGGTCCTCCCTGCGCTCAAAGCCGCGGCCCGACCCACGCTCGCCGCGATCCGGCCGCTCGGACCGCTCGAAGCGAGGGCGGGCCGACGCAGAGTCGCCGCCGTCGTCTCGACGCCGCGGCGGGAAGCGCGCGCGGTCGTCGCCCTGCTCAGGGCGAGGGCGGTCGTCGCGGCGCCGAGGAGCATCGTCCCTGCGCTCGAAAGGCCGACTCGGGCGGTCCTCGCGCCGCCCCGAGCCGTACGTCGACCTGCCCGGGCGCTCCTCCCTCGCGGCGCCCTTGTCGCCGTCGAACCTCGCTCGCCGCTCCTCCCTGCGTCCACCCTCCCATCGCGGTGCCCGCTCCTCTCGCCCAGCTCCATGACGAGGGAGGTCTCGCGGCGTGCGCCGCCCGTCGCCCGTCTTTTCCCGCTCGGCCCGCACCTGCGCCCACTCCTCCTGCCGGTCGCTCCACCACTTCTTCCTGCGCTCCGTGTGCTGCGGCTGCCCGTCGGCTCGAGGGGTCCTCGCCGACGGGGCGAACGAGGCGCCCTTGCGGGCCGTCGCGCCCGCACGTGCGCGCTTGAGCGCGACCATCCTCCTGCGCCACTCCATCTCGCCCTCGCCCTCCCTCCTCTCCTCGCCGCCGACCGTCTCGGCGTCGCGCAGCGCCGCCTCGCTGGCCCACGCCGCGACGCGCTCGCTCCACTGCTCGAGCTCGGCCCGCCGAGAGGGCGGGACCGACCCGGGCGCGAGCGAGTCCTGGGCGCCGTGCGGCGCGGCGACGACGCGGCTCAGGGCGAGCGCGAGCGAGTTGGCGAGGGCGACGGTGCCGGCTTTGGAGGCGCGAGGCTCGGACGCGGCGGGCGGGAAGGCGCTCGGGCCGAACGGCGAGGGCGAGTGCGGGGCCGACTCGGGGTCGAGGAGCGCGACGGCCTTGATGGCGCGCCAGACCTGGCCGCGGTCGCGAGTCGAGAGGGCGCACCGCACGAGGCAGTCGGCGGCAGGGGCGTAGAACGGCTTGATGGCCGGCGAGGGGGACGGGTCGAGGGTGCTGAGGAGGAGGGTCCAGGTGCGGAGCGAGGCGTCGACGGCGGCTGGGGTGCCGATGCGGGCGAGGGCCGTCATGGCGAGGGTAAAGGTCGACAGGTCGGGACGATGAAGGGGGGAGAGGCGTAGGGACGGCGAGAGGAGGTAGCCGAGAACGTCTGCAAAGGCGCAAGGTGGTCAGGGTTGGCGACGAGAGAGAGAGAAGAGGGAGGTAAGCGACGCACCCTCGATGCCCTCGACGTCGCCAGATGCTCCGCAAGCTCGGAGAACGATCTCGCTCTCCTCCCTCGCCCTGACCTCCTCGGTCGCACCATCGCCCTCGAGCCCGAACCGCGCCGGGTAGTCCCTGACCTGCTCCCACCAGCCCTTGACCCAGTCCTTCCTCCCACTCGCCGCAGCGACCCTGAGCGCGACGCCGAGGCCCGGCGCATCGAGCGGCGTGCACAGCGGGGCGGCGAGCTCGGCGCTCGGACCCGCGCGAGCGCTCTCGCCCTCGCCGTGGGCCGACTCGAGCAACGCGAGCTCGGCGGGCGGCACAAAGCCGAACGCGCGTCGTGCGACGTCGAGCGCACGCGTGAAGAGCGCCGCGGGAAGGACGGCCGAGCTCGGGATGAGGAAGAGGGCGAGGAGCGAGGTCGGCACGACGGGGCTGAGGGGGGCAGCGCTCGAGGCGAGGGGCGCTTCTGGCGCGGGAGGATGCTCGAGGAGGTGTTCCCACGAGGCGAGGGCCGTCTCGAGAAGCTCGGTCGGGGTGGGCCAGCCTGCCTCGGCGGCGGCGGCGGCGTCGGCGGTGGTGGTGGACGAGGGAGGGGAGGATGGGGCGGTGGAGGCTGCGCACGAAGCCTGCAGGCCCGTGCGCAGTGCCGAGAGCATGACCGAGTACGACACGCCCGTCTTGGCGAGGCGAGAGAGGGTGCCCTGCGACGGGTCGTCGGCGTCGGGGAGCGAGTGGAAGGTCTGGAGGAGGTGCTTGAGGATGGCCGGGCCGGCGGCGGGTGCGGATGCGGCGACGGGTGCGGCCTTGTCGAGAGAGGGGAGGGTCGAGAGCGAGAGGGACGAGGCGAGGAACGACAGGTACTGGTTGGTCGGGACCGCCGACAGGTCGACGGGCGTGTCGGCGCGGCCGTCGTCGGCGTCGCGCTCGGCCGGCTCGACCTCGGCGCCGTCGAGACCGACGATCCCGGTCACGTCGCCGGCGCCGTCGTCGCCCTTGGCGAGGACGCGCTCGCAGTGAACGAGCCACTGCTTGTGGATGATGTCGACCTTGGCCCGCAACTCGGCGTTCCACCCCTCGGCCTTTTTCCTGCCGCGGCTCGCGTCGTCGAGGGCGAGCTTGGCGCGCTTGGCGACGCCCGTCAGGACGGTACCGTAGCCCCTCGCCGACGGCGTGATCCCCCTGCGCTTCATCTCCATCCAGACGTCGTACGCCTTGCGGACCGCCTGGGCATGGGTCGGGCCGGGCGCCGCGGTGGACGTGGTGGACGTGACGAGGATCGAGTTGAGGAGGACGTTCCACACGACGACGGTGGCGGCGTCGGCGGGTGCCGCGCGGACGAGGTTGAGGGCGGCCGAGACGTCGCCCTTGCCCTGGACGGTGAGGCGGCGCACCTCGGCCGCGAGGTGGTACGAGTCGCGGGAGAGGGACGAGTCGTCGTGGTGCGCGTCGGTGCGCCTGGCGGACCTCGGACGGTTTGCGGCGAGAGGCGGTGCGGGTGGTCGAGGCGGGAGGTTGAGGTGGAGCGAGGTCGACAGCTGGCGGTGCAGCGCTAGCGGACGAGCATGGCAGCGGTGTGTGCGCAGAGCTGCGCGCGACCAGGCGAGCATTCGACGCGGTGGGCGGGGGAGAGGGCAGCGAGCTGATGAGGAGGACGAGCTCTGTCAAACCCGCTGGGAGGCGGTGAAGCGAGAGTCGTGGACCAGATCGATCGAGCCCTGGCACAGTAGTACGAGTTGTCGAGCTGAGCAACGCCCTCCTCAGGCGAGTGCAAGTGAGTGAGTGTCTCTCTGTTTCGAGAGCGGTCCGGCTCGGCGACGGGCAACCCGCGGACGAGGAGGGGCGGGGAAAGGGGGCCGATATCTCCTCGCTCTCGTCCTCCACCACCACTCGAGCCTCCCTCGCTCTCGCACAGCACACTCACCGACCCGACCCACCCCTCGCCCACCCGTCCAGCGACCTGCCTATCGCCCGCCATGGTCCGCCCTCCTCCCGTCGTCTCGCGCGCCTCGACCGTCCGCAACCTCATGCAGCGCCTGCACAAGACCCACTGCGGCTGCCCCATGTGCTCGACCGGCGCACAGGCCGCCGCCAACTCGCCCCTCGACATCCTCAACGCCGGCAACGCCATCCGCTCTGGCGGCCGCTCAAAGGTCCTCACCCGCGCTCCTCTCGCTCGCGGTTACGCCACCCCGGTCGATGCGCCTCAGGGCGACTATGCGTTCGAGGTCGCAGCGAGCAACCTGCGCTTTGGCGAGGGCGTTACTCGCGTCCGTCCCCCCTCTCCTTCCCCTTCTCCTCCCCGAATTGCCGTCGGCCCCGCCCACGCCGGCCCCCCACAACTCGCCCGACCATCGCCCGCCCTCTCCTCCCCGTGCGCTGCGCACAGGACCATGCCCTGACACTCGCACCCCGAACACGCAGGAGATCGGCATGGACTTTGCCAACATGAAGGCGCGCAAGGTCGGCGTCTTTACCGACTCGACCCTCGCCAAGCTCCTCCCCATGCAGATGGCCCTCGAGTCGCTCGACGCCAACAACGTCAGCTACGAGGTGTTTGACCGCACGCGCGTCGAGCCCAACCAGGAGTCGTGAGTCCCTCTCCTCCCTCTCAGGTCCCCCTCACTTGGGCGAGCGGACCTTGTCGTTGCTCGCCCAGGTCCCTCGAGCGCACCCAGACGCACAAACACCTGACTCTCACTTTCACTCGCAGCTGGGAGGAGGCCATCACGTTCGCCAAGAAGCACGACTTCTCGCACTTCCTGGCCGTCGGCGGCGGCTCTGTCATCGGTGCGTCCTTGCGTCGTCTCTCCTCGCCCGCAGCAGATCGACTGACTCGCATTGTGCCTCGCAGACACCGCTGTGCGTCTCGCCCTGCCCTTCAAATGTCACAGGGACGACGACTGACCCTTTCCCGCCTTGACCTCCTCCTCCTCTCGCAAACCCTCTCCTCCCTCCCTCGCGACCCTTCTCCTTTTCTCCTCTATCTCGCAACCTCGTCACGCCCTTTTGCGAGGCCCACAGAAAGTCGCCAACCTCTTCACGGTCTACCCGGACGCCGACCTGTACGACTTTATCAACGCGCCCATCGGCAAGGGCAAGCCGATCGAGAAGACGCTCCGCCCCCTCATCGCTGTGCCCACCACGGCAGGAACCGGCAGTGAGGTGCGTCTTGCCCCTCCCGAACTCTCGTGGCGGGCTCTCCTCGTCGTTGAGGAGGCCCGGCCCTATGACCGAGGACCTGCGCCTGACCAAGCACTTCCCTCCCACAGACGACTGGTACCGCCATTGCCGACCTTCCTCACCTGTCCGCCAAGACCGGCATCGCCTCTCGCGCTATGCGCCCGCTCCTCGGCATCGTCGACCCGCTCAACACCGACTCGTGCCCGCGCGAGGTCCACATCTCGTCCGGCCTCGACGTCCTCTTCCACGCGCTCGAGAGCTGGACCGCCATCCCGTACACGGAGCGCGTCCCGAGGCCGTCGAACCCGATCCTGCGCCCGGCGTACCAGGGTGCGTCCCCTCGCTCGGACCCTCTCGAGCCTCTCTCTTTCGCGCACCCTCACTAACTCTGTCGACACTCAGGCCGCAACCCCGTCGCCGACATCTTCTCCGAGTGGGCCCTGCGTCAGACGATCATCAACCTCCCGAGGGTCGCTCGCGACGGCAACGACCGCGAGGCCAAGGCGAGCATGCTGTGCGTCCCTCGCGCCCTCTCTCCTGGTCTTCCAGTCTCTTCTCCCCTCTCGAGCACAATCGGCGACCGTCATTGATCCATTACTCCCGTCGTCTACAGCCTCGCGTCGACCTTTGCCGGCATTGGCTTCGTGAGTCTCGCTCGTTCGAGCCCTTACGAGCTCCCCTCGACCTACGGACTGGGTCGAGGTTGCTCTTCGGAAGGATGATGTCGAGTTCTGACTCTCCCACCTCACCCCTACAGGGCAACGCCGGCGTCCACCTCGCGCACGGCATCTCGTACCGTGCGTCTCTGCTTCTCCTTCTCGCTCTCGGCGTGGTCACCTCGACGGCTATCAGCCCCTCTCGTGCACTATACTGACACTGTCGCTCGTGCAGCCGTCTCGGGCCTGAACAAGAAGAAGGGCAAGTGGCAGCACCCGGGCTACGAGGTCAACCACCCGATCGTCCCTGTGCGTCCTCCTCACCGCCGCCTCTCCTCTTCTCCCGTTCTCGGCGTGACACTGACCTTCTGCTTCCCTCCCACCCTCCCGCAGCACGGTATCTCGGTCGCGCTCGCGGGCCCGTCCATCTTCCGCTTCACGGCGCCGACCGACCCGGCCCGCCACCGTCAGGTTGCCAACATCTTTGAGGAGCTCGCCGAGCCGCACGCCAAGGACCACATCGACACGTCGCGCGTGTCGGACGCCGACCTCGGCCAGCTCCTGTTTGACCGCATCGCGCGCTTCCTCGTCAACCTCGACGTGCCGCGCGGCCTCAAGGCGATCGGGTACGGCACGGGCGACGTCAGCGACCTCGTCGAGGGGACGCTGCCGCAGAGGCGTGTGCTCGACCTTGCCCGTGAGTCGGCCATCCTCCTTGCTCTCTCGGCGTCGTCGAGCCTGGCGCAAGAGGAGCGACTGACCTTTCGCGCGACGTCCGCAGCTGGCTTCAAGGGCAGCGACGGCCGCGAGGAGCTGGCGCACATCATCGAGGGTGCCAGTGCGTCCCCTCTCACCTGCCTCGAGCCATCGTCGAGGCGCTCTCGGTACTCTCGACGTCCGACTGACCTTTCCTCCCTTCTCTTCGTCGCCTGCAGTGGAGTTCTGAGCTCGTCTCGTCTCGCCTCGTCACGTACCATAGCCGTCTTGTACTGCAAAGAAGTATCTCACCGAGCGTGGTCGTCGTTGGCGAGAGCGCTCGAGAGAGCGGTCAAGCCTTCGCGAGTTGCTCCCCCTCCTCGCTCTCGAGCCGTCGCCGGCTTACCGCAGCGCGCCCAAGGTCCGAGGATGCGCAAGAAGCTCAGTCCGGTCGCCGTTAGCACGCCCGTCCGCGCTCCTGAACCTCGGTGCGTCCGCCCCGCTCTCCCTCGCTGCGGACGACGCAGCTCTCCCTTCTCACCTCACCTCGAATCTCGCGCCACCTCGCAGGAGCCGCTCCCGACAGCGCGAGTGCGCCACACGCGCTTCATACGCCATGCAGCCGCCCTCGCACAGCACCTCGGCGCCGACTCGTGGCGGCAGGTCGCAGAAGGTGGCGCGGGGCGATGAGGAGGAGGAGAGGGTCAGGAGGGCCGAGGGGCAGGAGCCGGAGGGGCTCAGGGTCGACAAGGAGGTCGTCTCAGGTGCGTCCTCGCTCTCTCGAGGCTGTCGACGAGGTGCCGGCCCGACTCGAGCGGCCTGACGAGCCGAGGCGGAACTTGGGTCTTCGCCACGAGCTCGTCTATGCCGTTTCTGAAGAGGTACCGCACGCTTACACCAGTTCGCACCTACACAGACCTGGTGGCGCATCTCCTGTCGCCATCGTCGCCCCCGTCTCGCCGCAAGATCCTCTCCTCGACCCGCCGCCTCGTCTCGCCCAACCTCGTCGTCTCGTTCCCCTTCCTGCCCGTCCCCGAGCCCGGTCAGCCACTCTCGACGGCGTCACCCGTTCACGAGCTCGTCACCGCATCGCAACAAGCCCTCGCCGTCTTCCGCCTGCCGACCCTCGCCGTCTCGCTCCTCCCCTTTGCCTCGTGGGACCTGAGCGCGCTCGGCATCGAGGAGACGTCGCTCGCCCTCACCGTCCCCGAGCATGTCGAGGCGTCGAGCGAGGGCAAGGGCAAGGGCAAGGAGCGCGAGGTAGAGCACATCGAGCACGCCGACCGCGTCCAGGTCGTCGAGCGCTGGTCGGCAAACGTCGAGTGGACCCTGCGCATCGACTCGCCGCCCGTGTCTCGCGTGCAGCAGAGTGCCGGGAGGACGAAGCGCCCGGCGTGGCTCGAGTCGACGACCGCGCCGCGCAAGGTCGAGCTCGTCTTTGCCTCGCGCCCGCACGTCGAGTCGACGAGGCGCGGCCGGCAGCAGCGCGGTGTCGCCTCGGTCGCAGGACGGCGGCACTACGTCTTGAGCTCGTCGGGCGACGACGGCGTCGAGCGCGAGATCGGCGCGACGAGCTCGGCGAGCCTCGTCGAGAAGGCCGCCGAGGAGGAGCACTCGCTCGAGCTCGTCTACTTGCGGTACACCATCCCGACCTTTGCGCTCCCCTTCCTCGCCTCCCACCCTCTCTTCGACCTCGTCCGCCTCCTCGTCGCCGTCCTCCTCCCCGTCACCGCGTACCTCCTCGCGCTCGTCGGCCTCGACCAGCAGCTCCAGGTCGACAAGCCGCGGCAGCTCGTCGCGCCACGCCTCACGCACCACACCAAGCGCAAGCTCGAGACGACGACCTCGGCGCTGCGTGTCGGCACGCCGGCGCGCAAGCGCCGCAAGTACCGCGACTCGGCGCCTCCCGCCGCGTCGACGAGCGCCGGTCGCGAGCCCGAGCCCGTCGTCGAGACGGCGCACGCCGGCGAGGCGAGCGAGCTGCACGTCGGCCACCACTCGCACCTGTCGAGGCACCGTCGCTGGTCCGTCTCGACGCCGTTTTCGCTCCCGGCGTCGAGATCGGCTTCGGGCTCGTCGGCGACGCTCCAGCCCTCGCCCGAGCGGATCCCGGGGCCGTCGCCCTGGGCACCTCGTCCTCCTGTCGCGCTCTTCGCAGTCGTCGAGCTCGTCGGCGCGGCGTGCGCAGGCGTCGTCGCGGCGTGGCGCGAGCTGGCGATCCTCCTGTGGATCGTCCGCCAGGCGATCCTGTTCGCGACCGAGCTCGTCGAGGAGGGGTGGGTCGTCGCCAAGGAGGTCCTGCGGCAGCCGCCGCCGGATGCCAGGCGCAGGAGGAGCCAGGGAGGGAGCGAGCAAGGGGGCAGCGAGGGCAGCGGCGCGGGAGGAGCGGCGAGGAGGAGGAGCGCGATGAGCGGCGGGCACCGGTGCGTCCCAAATCTTTGCACCCGTCTGTCCCGGCTCGAATGATGTCGAACGAGCGAACTGACCTGCGCGCGAGACCTGCAGGCACCAGCGCGAGTCGATCCAGCACCGCCACGTGACCTTTTCCGCCTCGTCTCCCCCACCTCCTCTTGTTTCCCCCGCCTCAGCTGCACCGCCCTCGCGCACTCCCTCCTCGTCCACCCTCAGCGGCGACTCGCCCTCGACGCACAGCCTCACACCGTCACCGCCCAACGACGATCGCGAGCCCGCCGTCCTCGACCTCGCCGTCGATGCGCCGGCCGAGCACGACCGCCCCGACGCCGCGGCCGCCTACGCCCTGTCGCAGCTGCATGCACTCGTCTCGCGTCAAGCGGCTAGCGAGGGGCGCAGCCTCGCGCCTACTCTCGCCGCCGAGGACTCGTCGCTGAGCGGCGAGCAGGAGAGCGAGGGCGCCGAAACGCGTGCGGGGCGCGAGGACACGGCGGGCGAGCACCAGCATCTCGGCGCCGAGGAGCAGAGCGGGCAGACCTGCACGGCGCAGGCGTCGTCGGGCTACGAGTTCCCGCCGCGCTCGGCGGGCCCGCGCACCCGCTCGAGCGCAGACGACGACGACGACGCCGAGCACTCGGCCTCGACGAGCGGTCCTGGGCCCGGCGGCCGCCTCTCGCCGTTCTCGGCGCTCTCGCAGGGCGATGTGGCGTCGACCGCCGCCGCGTCGCAGCCGTCGTCGCGCCGTGGCTCGCTCGTGCCCTTCCAGCCCTCGCCGCGCAGGTCGCGCTTCGAGCGCGCGGATCCGCCCTTCGCTGCGCCTGCCAGGCGTGGCTCCCTCGGCGTCGCAGGCCGGTCGTCGCAGGCGCAGCAGGCGGCGGGGAGCTTGAGCAGGGCGCAGGTCGGCAGCGGGACGGAGCAGGAGGAGGAGTCGTGCGGGCAGGGTGAGCAGCACTGCGCCTGGCGCGGCGACACGTCCTCGAGCACCGGTGCGTCTCTCTCTCTCTCTCTCTCTCTCCCTCTCTGTACGTCCGAGCCGAGACCACCGCTCTGACACCCACTCTCGCCCCGTCGGCCACAGCTTCGTCCGCCGCGTACTACACGCCGCAGAGCCACGCCTCGCCCATCTCGCCCATCACGCCCGTGCGCCCTCGCAGCGCCGGCTCGTCGCCGCACTCGAGCCCCGAGGACCCGATCCCGAGCGAGTACCGCCTCCCGACCTCTACCTCGGCTCGCCCGGTGGCGGCGCGCTCGTCGTCCGACTCGGTGGTTGAGCTGAGCGCGCTCGGCCCGCAGAGCGTGTTCGCGCCCGCGTTCCACCCGGCCGTCATGGGCGTCGGCGCCGGCCGAGGGGTCCAGCCTCGTCCTCGCACCAGCCAGCCGCCGCAGCCCGTCCCGCAGCAGCTCCCTCAGCCCGCACCTGCACCCGACCCGCACCCTCAGCCGCGGCCGCGGCCTCCACTTCCGCCGCAGCGGCAGCTGTACGTGCCGCCGCAGGCGGCGGGCATGACGATCACGCTGAGCAGCGACGAGGACGACGACGACGACGAGGCGGGGGGCGAGACGACGACGACGACGTCCGGGTCGCCGTCGGGGGGCAGGAAGAAGAAGAAGCAGCGCGGCAAGAAGAAGAATAAGGGGAGGAGGGGCGCAGGGGGCGGCAGCGGCGGTGCGAGCGGTGCGCCGCAGGAGGAGGACCCGCTCAAGGCGGCGGGAGGGTCGCCGAGCCGGCCGCTTTTCGCTTAAGGGTGGACGGGGAGGGAGCCTGTGTAGCTTGCGCTTGCAAAGGAGCAGTACCACGGTCGCACGAGGACTTGGCGGTGCAGATCCGACGAGGAGGAGGAGCGACGTCACCGGTCCCTCTCTCGCCCTCACCACGACCGTGCGCGCCCTTGAGAGGACAAGGAGCCAGCAGCAGCATCGCGACACGGCCCAGCAGCAGCAGAAGGACAGCTCGAGCGGTCGTCGCCGTTCCCCACCGCCTCCACCTCGTTGGCACCTCGACCGACCCGGCCTCTGCTCCTCCCCGACTCGCAGCCTCGCCCACGCCCAGCCTGCACGAGCTCGCACCAGCAGTCGACCACTCACATCACCGCCACCGAGCCGCGCCGTCCCCCTCAGCGCCAGATCTCGAGGTGAGCCCTCGGTTTCCCTTGGCCCCGCGTCAGCACTGATGAGCTCCCTGTGCGCCGCCGTCCCCTCGCGGGTCGTGCGAGCCCAGAGCATAGCGCATTTGCGACCACTGCGGTACCCTCGAGCCAGGCAACCCGATCCCTGGAGCCGTACTGACCTTTGTCCATCTGCCCGCAGCGCCCCTCCTCGTCCCTCCCGCTCCCTTTCCCCTCTTCACCCCTCGCCCGCTCGCCCGCCATTACGCTCCAGACCCGCCGTTCGTTCAGCTCGCTGTCGTCCGAGTCCAAGGGCGCGCCGGCGTCCTCCTCGGCCGCACAGCAGCAGCAGCCACAGCAACAACCCGCGCTCCACATCGACGTCGACGCCGTCAACACGTCGACCTCGCCCGCCTCGTCATCGGCATCGTCTACGACCGCACCTTCGCTCGCGTCGGCCCAGTCGCGTCCCGGCCGCGGCCGCACCATGAGCGACCCCAACGCCAAGGTCGTCGAGGTGACCCAGGCCGAGGGCTCCGACACGTACGGCTCGGTCAACCAGCACCCCAAGGTCGAGAGCCCGCAGACGGCCTTCAAGGTCGGCGTCAGCGTCGACCGCAACAAGAAGTGCAGGCGCACGATGGAAGAGTGCGTCCCTTTCGTTCCCCTCGCGCTCGACCTCGTCCACCGTCGCTCACCTCGTGCTCCCTCCCCTGCAGCGCGCACTCGTTCATCTACGACTTTGGCGGCATCCGTGCGTACCCTCTTTCCCTTCTATCCTCCCCTCTCTGGCGCGCAGCTGACCTTGCTCGTTCCGCTCGCAGGCGGCCAGGGCTACTTTGCCGTGTTCGACGGTCACGCGGGCAAGCACGCCGCCGAGTGGTGCGGCCACCACTTCCACGAGCATCTGCTCGACAACCTCCGCAAGGCGCCCGTCACGCCCATCCCCGACCTCCTCAACGCGACCTTCCACACGGTCGACACCAAGCTCTCCGAGCTCGCCGCGAGCGGCAACACGCACTCGGGCTGCACGGCCGTCACGTGCTTCCTCCGCCTCGAGGACGACCAGGGCCGGCCGGCCGGCGACGCGAGCGGCGTCTGCAGCGACGTCGTCGCCGTCAAGGAGGGCCAGCAGGTCGTCGCCGACGAGGGTTCGGCGCTCCGGGCCGCGCAGGCGGGAGGGTCGGCCCCGGGCGGCAGCGGCAACGATGCGGCGGTGCAGGGCTTGCCGGAGCTCGCGCGCGACGGCGAGGGCGCGGCAGAAGGCGGCGAGGCGGCGGACAAGGCGGCCGGGCACAGCCGGCGCAGGAGCGCGCACGAGGTCAAGAGCCGCATCAAGAACCTCCTCACCGGCCGCTCGGACGAGTTTACCGCGTCGTCAACCTCGTCGTCGACGTCGTCGCTCGCGTCGGGCTCGTCTGCCGCCGCTCGAGGCAACACGGTCGCGACGCCGACGGTCGAGATTGCCGGCCCGGCCGTCACCAAGTCGGCGGCCAAGCGCACGCTGTACACGGCCAACGTCGGCGACGCGAGGGCGGTCCTGTCGCGCGGCGGGAGGGCCGTCCGCCTCACGTACGACCACAAGGGCAGCGACGCCAAGGAGGCCAAGCGCATCTCGGACGCCGGCGGGTTCGTCCTCAACAACCGGGTCAACGGTCCGTCCTCGCTCTCTCTGTCTTTGTGCGGCTCGTCAACGATGTCCTGACCCGAATCGTGCCCCGCTCGCAGGCGTCCTCGCCGTCACGCGCTCGCTCGGCGACTCGTCGATGAAGGAGTTTGTCGTCGGCTCGCCGTTCACGACCGAGACGACCCTCGGCCCGCAGGACGAGTGGCTCATCGTCGCGTGCGACGGGGTGCGTCCCACTCTCTCCTCTCTCGGCCTGAGAAGGCGACTCGTCGCTACGACGGGTCGCTCTCGTCAACAGACTCGAGCCGGTCTGACATTCTCTCGTCCTCGTGTACGCGCAGCTGTGGGACGTGTGCAGCGACCAGGAGGCGGTCGACCTCATCAAGGACGTCGAGTGCCCGCAAGAGGCGTCGCAGAAGCTGCTCGATCACGCGCTCGTGCGTCTCCCTCCCTCCTCCTCTCTCCTCCTCCCGGTCTTTGCGGCAGTGACTGATCTTCTTGAGACGGTCGACGCAGTCGTCGTTCAGCACCGACAACCTGTCGATCCTCTGCGTGCGCCTCAACAACGGCGCCAATCCTTGAGGCGTCCTCGCCTTCCCTCATCTTCTCCTCCTCTAGCGTCTCGTCCCTTCCTCTCGCCCTCGTCTCTCCATCCGCCGGACCCCCTCGTCTCCCCTTTGTCCCACCCTTCGCTGTCATTTTTACATACCCTCCTTTGACGCTCGGACCCTCCTTTCTCCTCTCCCGTATCTACTCTCTGTTCTCGTCTCTCCCAGTCGTTCCGGCTCGCCGTTGCACATGCATGCCTGGCGAACTGTGCCTCTTCTGCGACGGTTTCGAGAGAGAGAGCGGCTCGGGACCGCCGACTGGAGCAAGAGCGGTTCGAGCGAGAGCGGCTCGAGCTGTCGAGCGCTCAGTCTCGGTCAAGCTTCCGACGAGTCTCTCTCGTAGCACTGTCGGGCAAAGGCGCGGACAAAGAGACTATGCACAAGAACTGCTACGGCTTCGGCGGGAGATAGAAAGAGAGAGAGTGCGAGGAAGAAATAAGTCTACGGGAAGAGCTTGACGCCCGAGCCGCTCGAGACGGCGACGACGCGTGCGCCAAACTCGAAGGGGTCGCGCTGCAGGCACAGAAGGTTCGTCAAGACACGTCGACAGTCGAGAGAAGAGGGAGAGGAAAAAGGGAGAGAGAGAGAGAGAGAAAGGCGAGCGCACCTCGAACGCGACAAAGTCGACCTGGCGTCCTCGTCGTCGACGCTCTCGTCCTCGAGCCCGAACAGCTCGTCAAAGTTGGTCGACACCCATGCGATGGCCTCCTTGCGGCTCACCTGGCCCCTCGAGAGCTTCTGCGCCCAACCCGCCTCCTGCACGACGCTGCGCGGCATCCACTCCTCGTCGGTCCCGATCGCCAGCATGACGCCGGCGCGGTGGAGCACCGTCTGCGGCGTGTCGAGCGTGAGGGGCGGGCCAGGAAGCGCACGACGCTCGTCCCACGTCTCGGGCAGGGAGCGGCCGCGAGAGAGGATGACGCCGATGTGGGCGGCGGCGAGCTCGGCAGCGAGGAGGTGCGCCTCGGCGCCGCCGTGACTGCGAGAGGACGAGACAGGTCAGTATCTCGCTCGAGAGGTCGAGTGAGAGAGGCAGAGGACGCACATGATCCAGCGCTGCGACGCGTCGCCGGCAAGCTCGACCTCGTTCTTGAGCCGGATGAGGGACGCGATCACGTCGGCCTTGTTGGCCTTGACGACGAGCGGGATCTTGCCCTTGGCGACCTCGCCAAAGTAGTCGACGGGCGTCCACTTGTCGTCGAAAGTTGAGTTGTCGAGGCCGCCGAGGAGGAGCGAGCGCAACTCGGCGATCTCGAGGGCAACGGGAGCGGGGCCGCCGAAGTGACCTGCACAGGCTCGAGAGGGTCAGGTCGGACGCAGAAGGGGACCATGCTGGAGGGACGCACCGATAGCGACATGGAGCGCGGCCGCCTCATTGAGAATGGCGCCGTCCTCGAGAACTGCGGGCGTAGGCCGGGGTCAGGTCAGGCTGGATCGTCTCGCTGCCAGGAGAGCCGCTCTGGGCGCACCATGAGCTGCACCGGTGCGGAAGGCGACGCTCAGGCCTCGGCTGCATGTCGGAAGGAAAAGTCAGTGGCCGCTCGTCGAGCCGCAAATGAGAGGAACGAGGGCGTACAAGAAGCCCTTGCCCAACGGCGCCGTGATCGCCTTGCCGACGCCGTTCTCCTCGGCCGTCACGAGCTGCTTGCCGCCGAACGAGAGCCCGTCGAGCGCCCGCACCGAGACCTTGGGGCCGTACTGCTGCTGGACGAAGGAGAGCTTGCTGTTGAGGAGCGGGTCGAACGAGGGCGAGTCGGTCGTCGTCTTTTCCTGCGAGGAGGCTCGTGGTTCAGGACGAGGGCACGGTGGATGACGAGAAGGGGAGGAGATGACGAGAAGGGGAGGAGACGACGCACCGCGATGATGTCGGTGAGGCCGAGGGCCGAGCCGAACGTGACGAGCGTCGGAAGGAGGCTGCCGTTCTTCAGGTCGACCGTCTTGACCTCGTCGGCCGTGACGCACTTGTCGCCCGTGCACACGATCTTGCCGTCCTCAACGACGACCTCGAAAGGCGCAGCGCCGCCGTCCTGCTGCTCGACGAGGCCAGGCTGCTGCGCGTCCTTGAGGAGGACCTCGCCGACGTTGACGAACTTGACGTGCTCGACGACCTCGGGCTTCTTGCGCCGCACCGTCTCGCCCGGGTTGATCCAGTCGAAGCCGTCGTCCTCTTGCTCGCGGGTCGGGTCGTAGTCCTCGCGCAGGCTCGCCTGCGGCGGACCGTTCTTGCGCGCGAGCTCGTCGTCGCCGGGCGGTGCGGGCGGGAACGACTCGACGAGTTGGGCGACGCCGTCGATCCAGACCTGCTGAGGCGTCGCGCCGAGCGAGAGCGGGTGCGCGCTCCACAGGACGGCGTCGGCGTCGTAGTTGGGCTTGAGGAACCCGATGCGGTGCGACAGGCCGGCCGTGATGGCGGGCACCGTCGTGATCGAGGCGAGCGCCTTGTGCGCCGGCAGGCCGAAGTGGTGGCCCTGCTGCGCCTGGTACAGGAGGAACCGCGAGTCGGTGACGGGGTGGTCGCTCTTGAAGATGACCGAGATGTTGTGCTCGTTCAGGACCCTGGCGGCGTACTCGCTCCCTCGCCACGCCTCGCGCTTGTACCGGCCGTTCGTCGCAAACAGGGCGACGGCGGGCGTCGAGGTGCCGTTGCCGGGCCATGCCGACTTGAGCAGGTCGGGGACGAGGTACGTCTCGTGGGCGTGGTGGAACTGCAGGAGGGCGATCGTCAGTACTCGCGCAGAAAGAGAGGAACTCGAGAGAAGGGAGGAAAGGGACGGACCGCGGCGACAGGGAACTCGAACTCGTGCGTGAGGCGCACGTACTGGTCGAGGTCGGTCGTCTCGTAGCAGTGCGTGTTGACCTTGACCTTGCCGCGCAGGACGTCGACGAGCGCCTCGAGCTGTAGGTCGTCGGGGAAGCTCTCGATGTCGCCCTTGTCGTCGACGAGCGCACGACCCAATTGCGTGGCGGCGAGGGCGCGGCGGCAGAACTTGTCCTGCTGCCGCTTGAGCGTGCGCGCCTTGTCGAGGTTGGAGCGCCAGTTCCAGGCGAGGTCGAGGCGGGTCTGGCCGTACACGCGCCGGATGTTCTCGCCGCAGGCGTCTGTCGGGAAATGCATGTCAGGCCCCTGCCCGGGGAGGACGAGGATCGCGAGAAAGGGAAAGCGAGGACGCACTCTTCATGTGGCGCCACCGAGGCGGGTCGCCACGCTTTTTGCGCTCGCCCGACGGGAGCTTGACGTTCCACGGCATCTCGAGCACGAGCGAGTCGATCGTGCGCTCGGCGGTCGGGCGCAGCTTGATGACGAACGCTTGGCCGCCGACGTTGTTGGCACTGCCAGGGAGGACGAGCGACGACGTGACGCCGCCCGACACGATACGGCGGAACGCGAGGTCGTGGCCGTTGATGCCGTCGAGCGAGCGCAGGTGCGGGAGGACGGCGCCCTGGACCGAGTTGGTGTCGTCTGCGCCCGAAAGGCCCGGCAACGAGTCGACGCCGACGTGCGAGTGCATGTCGAAGATGCCCGGCGTGAGCCAGGCGCCGTGAGCGTCGACGACCTGGGTGCGCGTGTTGGCCGACTCGAGGTAGGCGCCGTGAGCGTCGACGACCTGGGTGCGCGTGTTGGTCGACTCGAGGCGGATGTCCTCGCCGATCTCGACGACCAAGCCGCGGTCGAGGAGCACATCGGTGTTGTACAGGATCTGCTTGCCGTCGTCTTGACCGGTCCAGATGGTCGCATTGCGGATCAAGGTTGGCGAGGTTCCCTGGAGGAGGTGGTGGGGAAGGTCAGCGACGCGACGACGCAGAGAGAGGCTCGCGAGAGAGAGAAAGGGTGGGCGCACGGGTGCATAGCGGTCGCTGAGGTTCCTGCTCGAGAACGAGTCGGGCACACCGGGCAGCGCGTGCAGCTCCTCGCACCGGTCGACGACCTCGCGGGTCCACGAGGTGCGCTCGTCTGGACCCAGCTCGCTCAGGGGGCGGACAGCGGCGGCATCTCCGTGCTGAGGACTGCTGAGATGCCGAGTCGAGAGCCACAAGGCGGCTATGGCGATGAGGGCGAGCGAGACGCTCGTCGAGGTGGGGAGATGAGGCGGTCGAGGCCGGGCCGAAGGACGCGAGCGGCTGACGGTGGAGCGCTTGACCTTCTCCTCGTCGTCAGAGGAGCTGGCGAGGCCCTTCATGGTGCTGAGCAGAGCGCTGGTCGAGGAGCGAGGAGGACGACTTGGTCGACGTCGCACACGCAGGGGAGCGTCGCTCGCCATCTTGGACCGCTCTCGGGTGCTTCCTCGCGCAAGCGGGCTGGATCGAAGCGAACTGGAATGCACGCTCGCCGGCGAGTCGCTGCTACAAAGGACGGCCGACGTCGGGCTCAGGCCTCGTCGCGAGGCTTCGTCTCGCTCTGCGCCGCCTCCTTCTCGTCGCGGGCGGGCAGCGACTGCTCGACGCCGAGGACAGGATCCTTGAGGACGAGGCCGCAGCCGACGAGGAGGACGGCGAGGCAAATGCCCGTGATGCAGAGCAACTTTTGGACGTGGCGGTACGCCTCGACGACGCCCATGCGGATCGGCTCGCCCCACTGCCCGTCGGGCTCGGTGATGGCGACAAAAGGCGAGCCGTACCACAGCGCGACGGCCGTAGCGTTGCTCGTCACCTTCTCGAGCTCGCCGGGCAGGACCTGGGTCCAGATCGCGCCCGAGATGCTGTTGCCGAACGCCGACCCGACGCTGTAGATGGCTGCGAGCGACGAACACAGAAAGGTCAGGGACCTCGATTCGCACGCATCGTAGAGCGCGAGAGAGAGAAAGAGAGAAAGGCGGTCGAGGACGCACCGAGATAGCTCGCGAGGAGGATGGCCGTGTGCTGGTGCCCGCCCTCGGTCTGAATGAGCGCCTGCGCCGAGTACGGGAACAGGCCACCAGCAATGCCGAGCAGGATCTGGCCGCCGAGGATGCCGCTGTGCGCGTTCGAGCCGCCGCGGAACCGGATGAGGATGCCGAACGCGACGAGGAACAGGGCAATGCCGGTGAGGATGACGGGCTTGAGGCGGCGCAGGTAGAACCGGACGAACAGTCCGGCGATGATGCCCGTGATGACCGACGCGAACGAGTACACTGCGGCGAGACGAGGTGTCAGCGGCCGAGAGGGAGGGAGGGCGAGGATAAAAGGGACGAGCAGGACGCACTCGACGTGATACGCGTCGCCGAGAGCACGCTCTCGTTGGCGGCGACGACGAGGACCGTGTACAGGTAGTCGCCCTGGAGGTACCATGTCGCGTTGAGGAGGAAGGCGATGCCGAGGCACCCGAGGACCGTGCGCGAGCGCATGAGGGCGAACGGGAACAGCGGCGCCCGTGCGTACTTGGTCTCCCACACGATGAAGAGCGGGATGCACACGACGACGCCGACGACGAGCATGGCGATGTTGTGCGCCGCCTTCCACGATCGAGACACGCCGCCGGCGAGGGTGAAGGGAAGGAGGATGAGGGACAGGACGGCGATTGTCTGCGCACGGCAGAGTGAGTCAGCCTGCGCTCGCGACGAACATAGAAGGCGTTCTGGGTCGAGGTGGACAAGCGGAAACGAGAATGGTGACGAGAAAGAGGCAGAGTTGGCGAAATGACGAGGGAGGGGAAGGTGCTCGGGGAGGGAGGGAGGGGTCGCGAACAAGGCAAGGAATGAGAGGGACGCACAAGAATCACTCCGACGAGGTCGACCTCCCAGAACAGGTGCCGACTCAGGCCTTTGAAGCCGAGCTTCTTGTACGGGCTCGAGTAGTTGTCGAGGAGGCCGGCCCGCTTGGCCTTCCTGCTCGCGACGACGAACGGGATGATGACGAGAAGGGCGCAGAACGGGTAGACAGCGGCCCACACGCCGATACCGACCTGCCACGTCGTGTTGGCCGTGATCGCGTCGACGACGTTTGCCGAGAGCTGCGAGGGGACGGCGTCGGTGAGCTCGTGTCGGGGCGGGACGGCTTCTGTGCGAGGCGTGACTCACGAAGCAGTTCAACAAGAATGGCGCCGCGGGTATGTAGGAGAAGAGAAGGCGGCTCTGGAGCGAGGTGAGGTCCGAGATGATAATCTCGAGGACCAGGATGGCGGCCGAGTACCCGAACTGGAACAGGACGGCGCCGCCGCAGAAGCTTTCCATGTTGGTGGCGCATGCCTCGACGATCGTGCCGATGACGTACTGTCAAAGGAGGGGTCAGCGAGGTGAGAAAGGGAAAGAAAGAGGAAGAGGGCTCGAGCGCACCATGACGACGCTGAAGAGGATCATCTCGACGCGGCCGAACGTGTCGGCGAGCTTGGCGTATGGTGGGTAACATGCTGCGGCGATGATGCTGCCCAAGAGACGTCAGTCGAGAGTCTGGGAAAGCGCCAGAGACGGCGAAAGAGGCGACGCACCTCTTGAGGACGTTGACGGTCGAGAGGAGCGAGTGATGCGAGAACGACGACGTCGCGTACGACTGAAGCGTCCCACGCACGGTCGCGTCGAGCGAATAGCAGTAGGCGGTGAGGAAGACGGCTGCGGCAAATCGAGGTCGTGAGCTTCGTCGGCTTGGAGGGGAGGAAAGAGGAGGACGCACCGACCCAGAGCCAGGCCCGCCAGAAGGGCGTGAGCTGCGAGTTGATGATCTCGATGCGCTTGACGCCCAGCGAATGCTTGACCTCGACGACCTCGGGTGCCGCGTCGCTGAGAGAGCGCTTGTCGTCCGGCGTCGACGACTCGCCGAACGCGTTGGCGCTGAGCTGCGCCGTCACTGGCCCAGCAAAGGGGACGGACATGTTTGGTGCTCGAGAAGAGGCTGAGAGTGTGCGGGACGGAAGGAAGAAGGGGAAGCCGAGCGAACCCGGCGAAAAAAGCGTGCTTCCGATCCCTCGCGAGGCGGACGAGGCGGCTCCATCTGATACACCGACGCCGAGGCCGTCGTCGCGACGGCCGAGAGAGCCAGGCGATCGAGTCGCGAGTACCGCAGGGTCTGGGGAAGCGCTCCTCCCTGCGAGGGCAAGGGCCGAGGGGCGCCCGAGCCCGGCGAGCTCGCGCGGTCGCAGCGCGGCAGTAAGTTACCACCGCGTGGTCGCCTCCTCGACATCGCTGCGCGCTCGCCCAGGTCCAGCAGCATCCTGGCGGAGCCGGCCACGCTCGCGCTGTGAGCCCGCCTGGCACGAGGCGAGTTGCGAGCCGCGCTCGCGACAGGCAGCGCAGCAAGCGAACACGCGATGGGGAAGTACGGGGCCGGACCGTGGGAGCGCCGGTGCGCAGCAGACCATGCGAGATCGCGAGCGAGAGGTTGTGCCGAGAAGAAGGAGCGAGGGTCGGCCGGTCCCTCGGAGAACGAAGAGGCTGCCGCGGGCGAGTGGGACAGCTGGCGAGATGGCGTGCAGTCGGCTGGAAGCTGTCTGAGCCGGCGGAAAGCTCGCTCAGGCGGTGTGAGCAGTCGGGAGCAGAGCAAGCGGCACCACCAGAGTCCGGAGAGGTCCACCAGCCGCTGTCGCTCTCACATCGCTCGGCCGCCCCAGCTGCGGTGCAGACAGCTTGTGAGCACCCTTCAAAACGAGCCAGCGACGCGTCGTGAGCCGTGCGGCCATCGTCGACAAGCCGGCCCGGCCGTCCTCCCCCCTCCTCCGCCCTCACCTCGACTCGCCGCTCGACACGACGGCGCGAGGTCCGCCTCAACTAGCAGCGTGCCAGTACTGCGGCAGATCCACAACCTCGTGTGCGTCCCGCTTCCTCTCAGTCTGGATGGACCGACCGGAGCCGGCGAGTGGAATGCCCTCGGCTACTGATGAGGACTTTGTGCAGGCTGTCAGCCGCACGAGGCTTGTCTGTCGCCCCCACACGGCTCAAAACACTGTACTGACCACCCTGGTGCCCTCGCAGAACCAGCATGAGCCTGTTCGGGTACGGCAGCCTCATCTTCAAGGGCCCGCCTTTCAACCTCGAGAGCAAGCCCGGCTACATCAAGGGCTTCGTTCGACGGTTCGCCCAAAAGTCGCACGACCATCGAGGCACGCCCGACAACCCTGGCCGAGGTGCGCCCACTCGTTCCCCTCCATCCTCCCCCTCCTCGCCGCCCGAACGCTGAACTGGACCCTCTCACGCAGTCGTGACGCTCGTGAGCGAGGACGACTGGGCCAGGCACCGCAAGGACGACCCGCTCGGCTCGCACCACGTCTGGGGCCGCGTCTACCACATCCCGCCAGAGCCGGCGCAGCGCAGCGACGAGATCTGGGCCTACCTCGACCACCGAGAAAAGGACGGCTACACGCTCCGCCTCGTCGACGTCTATGGCATCGACGAGCGAGGAGACGAGGTCGTCATCGCGTCGGGCGTGCGTCCCTCTTTCTCTCTTCCTCGTCTGCGTGTGCCCGCCCGGTCTGACAGAAACCTCGCTCTGCAGGTCAAGGTCTATGTCGGCGAGACCGACAACCCGTCGTTCGGAGGAGGCGAGCCCATGGATCAGCTCGCGTCGCACATCGCTCGCACGGCCGGTCCGTCGGGCCCGAACAAGGTGCGCCCCTCTCCTCCTCTTTCCCTGTTGCCCCCTCGCCCCGACCTCTTGGCCCGCCTCGGTTGACTGACGACGATCTCGGTCTGCAGGAATACGTCTACAACCTCGCCGCCGCCGTGCGCGAGCTCGACCCGCACTCGGAGGACCAGTACCTGAAGCAGCTCGAGCGTCTTGTCCGACAGCACGATCCCGACGCTACGAGCACCGTCTCTTCCAGCATATAGATCTAGACGACAGCAGCACCTGCATCGCGCCGCATCACGCCCAGCAGAGCTACCACCTTCGCCGGCGAGAGGCGCTCGTCTTCCTCTCGCGCTCCACCGCCACGTGTCGCGCGCACGGTCCTGCGCCGGCCCGTCCCCGGTCGTCGGCATGTCGGCGAGCAGCCGATCTGGGGCCCCTGTCGCACGCACCTCTCGCCGCACGTTCCGCCACGCAGACGGTCCGCGGACTGTCCGAGCCCGAGCCCGGCCGCTCCTGTCGCCTCCTGCGCCCTTGTCCTCCTCTCGAGGGCTCTCTTTATCAACGATCGGCATCGTGCAGTACGTCCCACCTCTCTCTTCTTCCTCACGCCGGACGCACTGACGGCTCGGCACCCGCAGTGTCGGCGCGCGTCCGCTCCTCCTCGAAGAAGCGCCTCTCCTCGCTCTTTGCTCGATCCGCCACGCCTTCCGGTGACGCCCCGTCCCGCATGACCAGCTTCCTTCACCTCAAGTTTGCGAGCGGTCGCCCGCCGCCAGTCGCCGCCAACGTCCCGTGGGCTCACGACATCGACCCGGCTCGCGACCCGCTCCACGACACCCTGCGCACGGACGTTCAGCGCGAGGGCGTCGTGCGGTACCTCGTCCAGAACTTCCCGATGGGCAGCTACGTGCACGACGTCGTCAACGAGCGAGAGGGCGACGCGGGCATGTACATCCTCTGCACCAGGAACTGGTCGCGCTCGGTCGGCGACGCAGTGCGTCCCTCTCTCCCTCTCTCTCTCTCACAAGTCTCGCACCCTGACCGGCCTCTCTTACGCGCGCAGAAGCTCCACCTGTCGCTCTACGTCTACCAGGACGACTCGCACTGCGCCACCTGGGTGAGTCCGCCTCTTTGGCCGTGCGCCCTCAAGTGAACCCTCACTGACTCTCGTCGCTCCGCAGCACGCCTACACCGACCGCAGCATTTCGTACTCGCGCGAGGGCGACGAGGCCGACCCGCCACCCGACGGCGCCGACCCGTACAGCACGCCCGACGCGCTCGCCGCCGCCGCATCTCGAGTCTCGTCGCCAATGCCGCCGCCCAAGGACGACGACCGCCCTCGCTTCGACCGTCCGGCAGCCGCGCCTGACTCGGACGAGGAGGGCGTCGAGGAGCCGTTCCAGCCCGCCGAGCTCCTGAGCCCTCGTCCTGCACCCGCCGCATCGGCCCGGTCGAGACGGTCCAAGAAGCCCGAGCCCGTCGAGCCTGGCACCGAGACGGACGACGAGCCGGTCGAGCCGTCGCCTCCTGCTCAGCAGCGCAGCTCGCGCTCGTCCCGCCGCCGTCAGCCGTCGCTCGACGACGCCCATGAGCCGGCCGAGCCCGAGGTCGACCTGTCCAAGCCCGCCTACCCGATCGTCAAGTCGAAGCCGCTCGGTCGGCCGTCGACGCGGGCTCGTCAGCCCTCGCCTTCCCGCTCGCCGTCACCGCCACCGCCGACCAGATCGTCTCGCTCGGCCCGTCGAGCGCGCACGCCGTCGCCCGAGCCGCCGAAGCGGGACCGGGAGCGCCCTGTCTCGTCGCCGTCGCGCTCGCCGTCGCCGCCGCCGAGCAAGCCGCCCGTGTCCCGCTCGAGCCACAAGTCGCGTGCGGCTTCGCCCGAGCCTGCTTCGGCCAGGCGCAGCCGCAGTACCTCGGCGTCTCCGCCGCCTCGCAGCCGTCGTGCGGCCGCAGCCGTGCCCGGATCGAGCGACGCCGAGGAGGTCGAGGACGTCGCCGGCAGCGGCAGGCGTCGAGGGCGCTCCCCGACCCGGTCGCCCTCGCCGGTTCCGCAACCATCCTCGCGTACGGCTCGCTCAGAGCGCCGAGAGCGCTCTCGGGTCGACGTGAGCGCCGTCGAGGCGGCGCCTCGTCGCAGTCGGTCGGCGTCGCGGTCGCCCTCTCCGCCCTCGCGCACCTCTCGCCGCTCCCGATCGTCGCCGCCGCGCAGCGACGACCGTCGTGACCAAGGCGGCGTGCGCGACGAGCGCATCGAGTCGTTCGCCGATCATGAGCGCTCGAGCCGCTCTTCGACCCGTCCCCTTCCTGCGCCAACGCCGTCCACCCCTCCTCTCGACCGCACGCCATCATGGCGCTCCGTCTCTCGCAACCGCCACCGCCGTGACGACTCGGACGACGACACGCTCGTGCGCGGCAACGTGGACGACCCCGAGCTCGACGTGCCTGCCGGCGGCGAGGTCTCGCTCCTCGAGGCCAAGCGGCGCTCGGCGTCCAAGGACCGGTCCACCCGCCGGCCACGAGCGCGCGACCAAGGCTTCGACCCTTCCGTCGTCGCTCAGCCGCCGCCCGCGCCGGCGAAGCAAACGGCGGGCGCGCTGCTCGGCGGCTGGGTCAAGAGCGTCGTCGCGCTCGTCAAGACCGAGGGCGAGCTCGTCGCGGGCGAGGTCAAGGAGAAGGTGCACGAGGTCGAGGAGGAGACGGAGGAGGCGCGTCTCAGGCGCAAGGAGGAGCGCATGCGGCGGCGCGCGGCGCGCGCTGCGAGACGGGCCGCTCGGGCCGGCGCCGAGGCACAGCTCGACGCCGTCGAGGCGAGTCGGGCGCGCACGCAGCGCAAGGCGCTCGAGCAAGCCGAGGAGAAGCGCAAGGCGGCGGAGCGCGAGGGCGAGGCGAGGGGGGCGGCCGAGGCCCGACTCAAGAAGGTCGCCGACCGCGAGCAGCGCTCGAGCGCCATGCGTTCTCGTACCTCGTCCCGTCGGCGCTCCCCTCCTCGCTCCGCTTCCGACAGCGACGCTCCTCCCCCTGCTCGTCCTCGGCGCGTCGAGCCTGTCGAGCCCGACCGCGCCCAGGTCCGCTCGTCTCGCCATCGCCATCACGGCTCGTCCAACGTCGAGTCGCCCTCAGACCTCGACAACGAGCTCGACCCGCCTCGACCGACGCCTCGTCAACGGGCCATGTCGGTCTCGGCAACCGTCGAGTCGGGCCTGCGCGGCCTGCGCGACTCGGTTACCAAGATGGTCTCGGGCGCCCACGACGCCGAGCACGCCGTCGACGACACGTCGCACCACCGCGCAACCACGGCGTCGAGGGCCAAGGACGAGGCGAGGCGCCGTCGCGTCGAGCAGGACAGCGACGTCGAGCGCGATCAGCCCGAGCGCTCGAGCCTCTCTCGTCGTCCCACCATCGCCGTCGAGACGAGCGGCGACGGCGTCCGAGCCGCCAGGCGGCACAAGCCGGCCGCTTCACCCGTCGCGTCGCCCGTCGTGCAGCACCGGGCCGAGCGTCAACGTCCTTCGCGCCAGCTCGACTCGGACTCGAGCGAGGGTGCGCCTCGCCGTCTCGTTCGCGAGACCCCCCAAGCGCCTCGCTCGCCGCACGTCGACAGCGAGTCGGCCGAGTCCGACTTGCCGTCGAGGCCGTCGTCTCGCCTCACGGTGCGCAGCGAGTCGGAAGGCGACGGGCCGCGCCATCGCCTGGCCAAGCTTAATGCCGCTCGTGCGTCCTCTTTCTCTTTCTCTCTCTGTGGCTCGATCTCGATCAGGACACTCACAAATCGACTTGCAGTCAACGCCGTTCCGCTCAAGCCGGTCCACCCGCCTCGCTCGGCTCGCCTCAGCCCAACCTCTGACGGCCCGACTGCGGCGCGCGATCGTCGTCCGGTTTCCCCGACTCGCCCTCGCGACCCACCAACTCGTCACGGCGAGCGTCAGCCCGCCCTTGAGCGACACGCTCCGGTCAAGAGCCGCCACCTCCTCGACGAGCTCCAGGACGACGGCGAGCGGTTCGAGCACAAGGTCGCCGCCGAGCTTCCTCTGCACAAGCTCTCGCACGGCGCCCATCATCGGCAAGGAGCAGGCGACCCACGCGGCCACCGGCACGACAACTCGCTCGACTCGCTCGAGGACCGCGATCGCGCCGCACAGCGACCTTCTTCATCACGTCGCCCGGCCGTGCACATTCCTCTCGACCCGCCTTACCCGTCCGTCCCGCCCATCCCTTCGCCGCTCTCGCCCAACGCGTACAGCAACCCGTACGCCTACGACCGCTCGTCAATGCCCATCCGGCCCGAGCCGGTCAAGCCGGCGTCGTACGTCTCGGCGGCGCAGCTCCAGAAGCGCGTCCCGCCGCCGTCGAGCGTCGGCAGCTCGGACGAGGGCGACTTGTCGCGCCCCTTGAGCGGGATCGGGCGCACGAGGAGCGGGTACTTGACGGCGTCCGGGTCCGAGGTCGACCAGGGTCGCTCGGGCGCGTTCGAGCCCGAGTCTGGGCCCGACGCGTCCGACTCGGGGCGCGACTCGTCTGCGCCAAGGGCATACGACCAGGCGCACCGAGGGTACGACCGCTCGCCGTCGCCTTCCCTGTCGCGCTCGCCGTCGCCGCCACCGCTCAAGCCGTCGACGGTCAACAAGCGCCACTCGTTCTCGCGCACGGGCGGCTCGTACCCGTTCTCGGGCGACGAGTCGTCCGACGACATGTCGGCGTCGTCAGACGAGGACGACGACCGCGACGGTGGCTCGTCGTCGAGGTACGGGCCGCCGTCGACAGGCGGGCACAGCTCTCGCACGCGCGTCTCGTCGGCTGCGCCGCCTCGTGCGGCCGACACGCAGCCGTACCGCGCCCCTACTGCCGCTGGCGGCAGCAGCAGGACGATGGTGTCGTCGCCGTCGACTGGATCGGCGCCGTCTCGGTCGGCCGGCAGGACGACCGTCTCGTCTGCGGCCGGCTCGTCGCCCACCTCGGGCCCTTTCCGCCCTCAGCAGCCGCACTACTCGCCGCGCGACGACCGCCGGTCACCCTACGGCGACTACGACCATCGCGACGGTGCCTTGCCCCCCTCGGCGCCGTTCCGCCCTCAGCTCTCGCCCGCGTCGCCGCCAGAGCTTAGTACGTTAGCCATGAGGGTTTAGTTCGTTAAACATGAGAGCTTAGTACGTTAAACATGAGAGCTTAGACGCTCGTGGGCACCGGCGCGAGGTCGACGACGCCGAGTTTGAGCGCGACGAGCGCGTGCGCGAGCGGGAGAGAAGGAGGTTGAGGCAGCAGGGCATGGCGAGCGGGAGCGCGAAGCGGTACGGCGAGCACGGTGCGCCGGTCGGGAGAAGGATGGCGAGCCGGCTCGGGCTGTAGCGGGGCGCACTTGAGGAGGAGCAGGCAGATGCAGAATGGACTATCGGTTTTCGGTTCTCGATTCTCTCGCTCGCCGTTCTCGTCTATGAGAGCGAAAGAGATAGTGCACTGCATAGTAGAGATAAAGCTGAGAGCTGCCCTCGCTCCATCGCGAGCCTCTCGACGACCGCTCACTGCGCACGAGCCCCTGCCATCCCCTCGAGGCGCAGTCCGCCCGTCTCGCCCGTCGGCGCCCTCGCCTCGCGCCACTCGTCCTCCTCGTCGCTCAAACGGGACCAGCCGTCGTCGTCGACGTCCGTGTCTGCCGCAGCGTCGCCGCTCACGCTCGCCGGGGCAGACGGCGCCGGGCTCGGGAGGACCCACTCGTCGGCGCTCGCGGGCGAGGCGGACTTGGACGTCGCGGCGACAGGCGCCAGGGCGACAGGAGAGGTCGGGATGGGCGAGATGGGGCGGAAGGAAGAGCAGGAGAGGGCGGGAGAGGCGGTGTCGAGCGGGGAAGAGGTCAAGGGAAGAGGGGCGGTCGAGCTCGCGAGGTCGGCGAAAGGGTTCTCCTCGACAGGCGGCGGCGTGATCGCGGGCGGCGCCGAGCTCGTGACGTTCCTGACGTCGGTGTCGAGGCGAGACGAGGTCGACAGCGTCGGCGAGACGAGCGGGGCCGTGCCCGGCTCGGACGACGAACTGGACGATGCGCGAGACGGCGCCTTGCGGTCCGACTCGACGGGCGCCTCGTCGTCGGTGTCGTCATGTGTGCCGAGCGCAAAGTCGGACTCTGCAGCGGTGGTCGAATCGCCGAGAACATGCTGTGGCTCGTGGTAGAGCGGCTCGAGGCGGTACCGGCCCTGCAGGAGCGGCGAGCGGTGAGTTCAAGATGCGGCTAGAGTGACAAGAACTCGACGAGAGACGCACCTGCTCTGCAGCGTCGCTGTGGCCCGCTGCCCTCGTCGTCGCCGTGCCCTTCCTCCTGCGCACCTCGTACTTCCACCCGCCATCTTCCACCTCGACGCCGCTCGTCCTCGCGCTGTCCTCGCCCGCAACGTCGCGGTACGCCGGCGGCGGCGTCTCGACACGGTGCCGGACCGGCCTCGCGAGGCGCCTCCTCCTGTGGCGCTCGCGGGCGCGTTCCTCGAGGACGGCCGGGACGACCTCGATCAGGATGACGGCGACGGCTGCGACGGCGACGAGTCCGAGTCCGAGGGGCACGGCGTAGGCCCAGGGCATGCTGGCGAGGGGGCTGGGTGGCGAGAGAGGTCGGGACGAACGAGCGAGGACGGGGGTGGCGGTGCGCGGGGGGACGGTGCGGACGAGGTTGCAGGCGCGGTAGCCGAGCTGGCTGGGGTGGGTGGGCTGGTAGCAGCTGTGGCGGATACAGCGAGTCGCAGTCGAGCGCGGTGAGGAGCGAACGAGAGCGACGACGCGTCCCCGACTCGCACTTCTCCCCACTCGGCCGCTGAGCGGGAAATCGCAAGACACCCTCCTCGCTCTCTCTGCGCCCCGGCAGCATCGCGTGCACGTTCCATTGCAGTCACAAAACGAGCGGCGAGAGCGGTGCTGCTCTCAACAGCTCAGCTCGCCTGCTCTCAACGCTCTCGACGCTCGCTCCCTCTCCGACAGAACCGGCCAAGCTGGGCAGTACGAGCGCGTTGCACGACGTCGTCCGCTACGCGACACTCTCGAGGTACCTCGCGAGCTGGTCGAGGATGGCCCTGCGCTCCTCGCCCTCGCTCGGCGGCGCGTCCTCGGGCAGGTCGTCGTCGATGCCGATGTTGTCGCGGTACTCGTCGAGCACGGTGACGACGTCGCGTAGAGACTTGTCGCGGCGAGAGAGGAGCATCTTGAGGTGGTCTCGGGCCTGCAGGGCGGATCTGGTCTGTAAGGATTCTGCGACGACGAGCAAGGGAGAGGAGAGAAAAGAGAGCGAGGGACGCACGCCGTCGTCCTCCATGCAGACCCACGCCGCAACATAGTCGGCCAGCTGCAGCGCAAACAGGCCGTTGTCGAGCTTCTCGAGGTACAGCTCGTCGTCGCCCATCTCGGCCGCCAACGCCGGGTCGACGCCCTTTTCGATCCTGCGCTCGAGCTCCTCGCGCACCTCGCACAGGCGGTCGACCTTCTCGTAGTCCGACTCGACAAACTTGGCGAGCAGGCGCGTGCGCAGGGGCGTGTCGGACGGGAGCGACGTGAAGAGGGACGACAGGAGCGACAGGAGGTGCTCGGTGTCCTCGTGCGTCGGGGCGAGCTGGGCGTTCTTCTTCTTCTTGCCGCCGTCACTCTGCGGGCACGAGGACGTGTCAGACCGGCTCGACTGGAAAGACGCAGGTTGGGCGAGGAGGGCGGGAGGGACGAGGAGTGGGGACGCACCCGGCCCATGAATGCCGAGAACAGCGTCTTCAACCCGAGCGCCTCGACAAACCGCTCGCACAGCGGCGCGCCCTCGCGACCCTGGAGCGCATGGTCGAGCGCCTTGATGGCCCTCGTGCGCGACAGGTTCTTGGCCTTGAGCATCAGGACGAGGAGCTCGACGCCCTCGCCGTCGAGGAAGGCCGACTTGACGGGGTGGACGGCGGGCGCGTCGGGCGAGGCGGGTGGCGGGGTCGGCGACGACAGGGCCGAGCACAGCGCGTCGAAGCAGTTCTCCATAAACTCGACCTCGTCGCTCGAAGCGGGTTCCCGCTTGCGGTACACCTGCAGCCCGGGACGAAGAAAGAGCAGTCAGTCTCTCGCACCTCGCACGACGACAGACAGGGGAAGCAGGACGCACCGAGAGCGCCTTCAGGAGCGAGTCGACCCACCCCTCGGTCCCGACACGCTGCCTCGCCTCGTTCTCGCCATCGACGACCTCGGCCGGCAGACTCAGGACGAGCGCGAGCATCTCGGCGGCGTAGTACCGGTTCTGGTCGTACTCGACGGGCTTCTTGTCCTGCCCGAGGCGCTGGACGAGGAACGACAGGAACGACGACTTGGGCGACAGGAACGGGGATGCGAGTTGCGGCGTGAGGGTGATGAGGTTCTCGATGAGGCCTGCAGGGTGAGAGGGTCAGTCTCGGCGGCGAGGACAGCGAGGGAAGGGAGAGATGTGCGCACTGAGAGTGTGGAAGACGCCATTGCGCTCGCCCTCGTCCTCCTCGTTGAGCCGCTGCAGCTGCGCGACGACGAGGTCGACGACGCCCGCCTCGACCAGCCCGTCGAGGAGCGCCTTCATCGCCGCCCGCTTGGCCTCGGACGCCGCCTCGTCCTCCTCCTCGTCGCCGTCGTCCTCGAGGTCCTCCGGGTCGAGCAGCTCCTCGAGCACCTCGACGACGGCGACGGGCACGTCGAGGTTCTCGTGCGACAGGAGGTCGGCGAGCGTGTTGGGCGTCGCGTTGTCGAGCAGGATCGGGTACGTCATGGCCGGGTTGGTCGACAGGAGGAAGAGGGAGCGCAGCGCCTCGAGGAGGTTGAACTCGGAGTCGACGAACCTGCGCAAGGACGATGAGGGTCAGGGATGGGTCCGTCGCAAACGAGGGAGAGCTGCAGACGCACTTTTCCGGGTCGGTCGGGTACTTGGTGCGCAGGTCGCGGTTCTTGTTGACGGCCTTTTCGAGCGACAGGAGCGACTTGCGCACGCTCTGCGGCGTGAGGTCCTCGCCCGGGAGCTGCTCGTCGTTGTCCGAGCCCTCCATGATGTTCAGGACCTGCTTCTGGACGTTACTCAGTCCTCCTCCGCTGCATGGATGCACCGCAGGTCAGCTTTCTGGCCGAGAGGGGGAGAGGGGAGGAGGGCGAGAGGACGCACAAGAAGCGGCCGTCCTCGTCCTCCTCGGCAAAGTAGTCGGCATCTTGACCCGGCGCGAACTCTGCTCGCGAGTCGTCGGCGTCGTCGTCGTCGTCGTCCGAGCCGTCCTGGATGGTGACGGCGCGGCCCTTGCCCTTGGTGTCGGCACCGGCAGACGGGGTCGCGCCGTTGCCCGAGTCGATGCGAGCCGACTTGTACGACTCTGGATCGAGGGTGGGAGCTTCGAGCTTGCGCTTGGTGCCTGCGTTGCCGGACTTGGGCAGAGGCGGACGCTGTTGCGGGGTCGGGCGGAGGGAGGTGAGTGTGGCTCGCGGGAAGGTGAGGACAGCTCGAGCGTACCTTGAAGATGTCGTCGATGTCCATGGTGGCTCGAACGAGCTGGCTAGCGGTGCGGCACGAGGAGCGTTGGTGGTTTGAAAGGCGATGAGGAGATGAAGGGCTCGCCCTCCTCTCCCTCTCCACCCGCACCCGCTGTTGCTCGACACTCTCGTCGAGCAGTGCCGTATGGCGCTTAAGCCGGCATGCGTCCCCTCCCGCCGGTCGTGCGCGGCGACTGCGACGAGGCCGCCTCGTCTTCTTACTCTTTCAACCTCGCCCTCGCCCGCCTCGCTCGTCCACTGCTCGGACGCCGCTGCGCCGGCCGCGTCAGAGCAGGGTCTACCTACAGTCCCACGTTCCGCGGCGCAGCTCCCTCCTATCGATGGGGAGGACCGCTTCCTCCTCCTCGCTCGCGCATCCGACCGCCTGCGCGAGTGTCGCTCGTCGTCACAGCTTCGGCTTCCTTGCCGGCTGCGGCTGTCTCTCCGCAAGCGACTGCGGGTTGTCCGCATCAGACGAGACATCTCCTGTCCGCGCACACACCTCGTCGGCGTCGCCTCCTCTTCGTCTCCGTCCGTCTGACGGTCTGGGCCCCCACGCCTTTCTTCTTCGCCCCTCGCTCCTTCGTCCCTCGACTCTCGACACCTCGACCGCTCCCTCGAGCTTTCGCGCACCTAGCGTGGCCAGCAGCATGGCGACGCCCGACACGCCGACCTACCCGCCTTTCGCCCACCTCTCGGCCATATCGCCCCAATCGCGCTCGCCCGGCGTCTCTTCCGACGCGCGCACCAGCTTCACTGGCTACTCGAACGAGTCCAAGAGCAAGGAGCCGCTCGTGCGGTGGACCGACCTGGACGTCAAGGACCAAGGGCTGCGGCGCCAGCTTCAGCCGCGCCACATCGCCCTTATCTCGATGGTCCGTCGCGCCCTCCCTCTTCCTACTCTCGAGCGACACATCTGACTCTTCTCAGCGAACAGGGCGGCGTCATCGGAACTGGACTCTTCCTCGGGACGGCGCAGAGCTGTGAGTCGCTCCTCGCGCCGCCATTCTCGAGCTCTCGAGCCTCGCCACCGACCTCTACTCTCCCTCGCAGTGACGATGGCGGGTCCTCTCGGCATGCTGCTCGCGTTCAGCTTCGTCGGAGCGCTTGTCTGGTGCGTCATGATCTGCTTGGGCGAGATGGTCGCGCACCTACCTCTTCCCGGCGGCCACATCACGTTGGCGACGCGCCTCGTCAATCCAGCGTTCGGCCTCGCTGTCGGCTGGACGTACGCCGCCAACTGGCTGCTCGTCCTCCCGGCCGAGCTGGCGGCGGCGGCGACCCTCGTCTCGTTCTGGAGCGACGCCAAGTGCGTCCCCTTTCCCCTTCTCCTCCCGCCTTCCCCTCTTTCGTGCGCCCATGAGCGAGTCGTCTTATTCTTCCCACTGTCTCCTCTCTCGGGGGTGCTCGCGAGTATCTCGCCGAGTTGCACGATAGACTGACGCACTCGCCGCAGCCCTGCAGGGTGGGTCGCCGCGCTGTTGGTCGTCGTCGCGCTCATCAACTTGGGCGGAACGAGGGCGTTCGGCGAGATCGAGTTCTGGTTCAGCTCGATCAAGATCGTCACCATCATCGGCCTGCTCATCTTGTCGGTCATCATCAGCGCCGGCGGCGTGCCCGGGACCGAGTGCGTCCCCCTCCCGCCTCACCCTCTCCCTATGAAGCGTACCGACGCCTTCCTTTCGTGCAGGCCTATCGGTTTCTCGTACTGGGCGACGCCTGGGCCCTTCGTCCAGTTCCTCGGCATCCAGGGTGCAGCAGGTCGCTTCGCCGGCTTCGTCGCGGTCCTGCCCAAGGCGGCGTTCGCGTACGTCGGGTCCGAGATCGTCAGCATCGCAGCAGGCGGTGCGTCGTCCAGCTCCCTGTCCTCGTCGCCGTCCGAGACTGACTCTCGCCGCCCGCAGAGGCCCGGAACCCTTCTCGCTCGATCCCTCGAGCCATCCGCCGCGTCTCGTTCCGCATCGGCCTCTTCTACAGTGCGTCCTCTTTTCTCGTCTCCTTGAGCGGCGCGCAGAAGCCTGACTCTCGGCGTCGCGCAGTTCTCGGCACCTTCGCAATCGGGCTCATCGTCGCCTCGTCGGACCCTGCGCTCGCCCGGAACGACGGGACCGCCCTGTCGAGCCCGTTCGTCGTCGCCATCGAGCGAGCCCAGATCCATGTACGCTCCTCGCCGTCCTCCCTCGCCTCGTCGAGCGCGCTCACCTTCTTCCTCGTCCCACCGCGCTCAGGCCCTTCCGAGCGTCGTCAACGCCGCCTTCTTGACCGCGGCGACCTCGGCCGCCTCGTCGGGCCTCTACACCGCGTCGAGGTGTCGGTATGGCCTGGCGCTCAACGACAACGCGCCGCGAGTCTTTGCCCGGCTCAATCGTTACGGGCTGCCGTGGGTCGCCGTGTCGACCGGCATCGCCTTTGGCGCCCTCGCCTTCATGTCGGTGCGTCGCCTCTCGCACCTCCTCGTGTGCCACACCCCGTTCGACCTGACTCTGTACGCGCCTGCAGGCTGGAACCCACGACGCCGCCGTTGTGTTCGCGTGGCTATCGAGTTTCTGCTCGGTCGGCGGGCTGCTCAGCTGGGCGTGCATCTGCTTCTGCTACCTTCGTGCGTCCTCTCTCTCGACCTTTCCGTCTCACTGAGCGACACTGACCCTCTCGAGCGCTCGCAGGCTTCTACCACGCGGCCAAAGCGCAGGACATCTCGAGAAACTTCTTCCCGTACCGCGCTCCCTTCCAGCCGTACGCCGCCTACGTCGCCTTTGCCGTGCGTCGCCCCTTTCTCTCGTCTCTCTGCGGTCGTCGACCCTGACGTCGTCGACCCCGCCGTCACCGCAGGGTTTCTCGGTCATCCTCCTCGTCCAAGGGTTCCACCTCCTCGTCCCCGGGCACTGGAACACGTCCGACTTTGTCACGCGGCACCTCATGATCGTCCTCTTTCCCGTCATCTACTTTGGCGCAAAGTGGTGGCAGAAGTGCGAGACGCTCGACCTCCTCGAGATCGACTTCTTCTCCGGCTCGCGCGAGTGCGTCCACCTCTCTCTGCCTCTCTCTCTTTCTCTCGGTCAGCCCCCGAGGCACGTCAGACTGACACAGTGACGTCGACGATGCAGCAACGACGAGACGCCCGCGTCGGTCGGCAAGAGCAAGTGGAAGAGGGCGCTCGCGGCCTTGGCCTGAGCTGGAGCGGCGGCGGCGGCGGTGGCAGATGGTGGCTCGGTAGCAGGCTCTCTTCCGGGTTCTCTCTCTCTCTCTCGCAGTATCGCAATGACAGTCACGACGTTCACGAGCCACTCGGCGTTGCCCCTCGCTCGGTCCGTCTCGTCGAGCACCCGAGAGCTACCGGATCGCCATCCCTCCCACGCCCCTCTCGACGCCGCCGACCCCTGCGAGCCCGGCCCCGCTCCCGTTGACCCTGAACGGGTCGGCGAGCCGGCCCGTCTTGTCGCGGTAGATGGCGCGGTACGCGTCCTTGAGTTGCTTGAGGTCGAGGTCGAGGGCCGAGACGGCGCTCGCGAGGCTGACGAGCGACGCGTGCTGCGCTTTGAGCGTCGGGATGATGGACGAGGGCGAGAGGGCGTGCGAGGGGGACGACAGGAGGGCCGAGATTTGCTGCGGGTGCGCCGAGGGCGGGAAAGGGTCAGTGCGGGAACGGCCACGACGCCGACGACCGACAAGAGACAGGGGGACAGAGAGAGAGAGCTGCCGACGCACGTCCATCGTCGCCTTGTACCGCCCGACGCGGTCCTTCATCTCGTCCGTCTTGCGCCGGAAGAACTCGTACGGGAACGTGGCGACCTGCTTGGCCTCCTGGGCCTTGGGCGACTGGGGCGCCTTGAAGCCCTCGATGAGGAGCGTCGTCTTGGTCAGGTCGGTGAGCGACTGCTCGAGCTCGGCGCGCAGGGCCGACAGGAGGCGAGAGTCCATCTGCAGGAGCGACGAGACGGTGGCGGCTTCCTGCGGGCGGGCACTCGAGTCAGCGCTCGAGCCGACAGGGGAACGAGAAAAGGGAAGGCAGGGGACGCACAGCAGAGTACTGCTCGTACATGCGCTGGGTCGAGGCGATGTCGCTGCCGAGGTCCTTGGCCTTGAGGTCGTCGGCGAGGGTGCACTGCTGCCGGATGAACTTGCTGTTGGAGGGGACCGCGCGTCAGCTCGCGCTCCCTCGAGCCTCGGCACCGACAGGGGGAGAGGAAGAGAGAGAGAGCGAGAGGACGCACTCGATCTCTTCGACAGCGTTGCGCGCGGCGTCGGGCAGGTCGTTGAACTTGGTCGTCTTGCTGATCGCGCCGGCTGCCGGTGCGCCGGTCGAGGCGCCGAGTCCTTGAGGTACCGCACTGCAGGAACCACTGTGTCAGTGAACGTGGACTTGTCGAGCGACGCGATCAGGCAGCGACTGCTGGCCGACGCGCGAGGCGAGGAGAGGCGTGCAGCTCACCCCGGCTGCTGCGACCCAAAGAGCCCTCCCGCCCCCTGCGCCTGGCTCTGCTGGCCGAACAAGCTGCCGCCGAGCCCGCCCGTCTGCTGCGGCGCCTGCCCAAAGAGCCCGCCGCCGCCCTGCTGCTGCTGAGGCTGGCTCGTCGCGGTCGAGCCGAACAGGCCGCCAGTGGCCGGGGGTGCCGAGGCTGTTGGTGCTGGTGCGCCGAACGAGAAGGCGGGCTTGCTCGCCGCTGGTGCCGCCGCGCTCGTGCCGAAGAGGCCACCGCCGGGTGCGGGAGGAGGAGCCGAGGTCGAGGTCGAGCCGAAGAGGGAGGGTGCTGCGGGCTTTAGGGCGCCAAACAGGCCGCCTCCTGCGGGTGCGGTGGCGGCTGGTGCGGCTCCAAAGAGCGAGGGTGCGGGGGTAGAGGTCGCGGGTTGTTGAGTGGACGCAGGAGCGCCGAACGAGAACGACCTGTCGGGACAGCGCGTGCGCGTCAGTAGGCTCACACGAGGTGCGACAGGAGGCTGGAAAGGGCTCACGGTGCGCCCGAGGTGTTGCCGAAGAGCGACATGAGCGCTGGTGATGAGGACGAGGGCAGCTCTCTCTCGCGCAAGTCGAGCGACGGCCAACTTGCTCTCGCCGCAGCCACTCTCTTTCTTCGAACTCGTTCGTGCAAGACAGTCGTGCAGATGCAGCGAGACGGATGGCGGGGCGGGTATACAGCGTCGGGTACAGTTACAAGAGGAAGATGCCCCCCTCCTTCCGCTCTGCCTCGTCGCGACGACGACGACGACGACGCGCTCCTTCTCGACCACGTCCTCCCGCAACGGCTCGGCTCGGGGCGCCCATGTCGACCTTCTCCCCTCACCACATGTCTGCGCGGGCGGGCAAGGAGAGTCAGGACGAGGGGAAAAGAGGAGGGGTCCGAGAGAACGGCAAGGCGCACCCTCGAGCGTCTGCATGTGCGCACGAGAGGGTCGTCAGTCGTGCGTCGAGAGTGGCGAGAGAAGAGGGGCGACGCACCATCTGCTTGGCGATGTCGGTGCTTGCGACCATGTCCTTGAACTCGCCAAAGCTGAGCTTGCCGTCGCCGTCCTGGTCCGCCTCCATCATGGCTGCGGGCAAGGCGAGAGACAGAATCAGTCACATCCTGTGCACCCAGGTCGACAGCTCGTTTCGACAGCGAGCAGCCGACGTGGCCAAGAGAGAGGGGGACTGACTCTTGTCGACGATCTGCTGCAACTGCTGGTCCTGCACAACGGCGCCGCACCGAGTCAGTCCGTGCGCTCGAGAAGGGCTCGACGACGACGAAAAGGAAAGGGGTGCGCACCTTGAGGTTGTTGCCGACCATCATCTTGAGGACGAGGAACAGCTCGCCGTTCGAGATGAAGCCGTCTCGGTCCATGTCGTACACCTTGAACGCGACTGCGCGGGCAAAGGGACCTCCTGGTCAGTTCTCGCCCCTGGTCAAAGATCGGGGGCTGAGAGGCGACGCACACTTGAGCTTCTCGTCGCGCTCTCCCCGACTGCTGAACGCGCTCAAGCCGGCGACAAACTCCTGAAAGTCGACCGTCCCACCACCGCTGCGGACGCTCACGACAGAGTCAGTAGGACGATCGACGGTGTGCGTGTGGACAGGAAGGAGAGGGACAAGGGACGCACTCCTCGTCAAAGATGGCAATCATCCGGCTCGCGAGCGGGTTGGTCGCAATCTGCGGGATCTGGAGGAACTCCTCCTTGTCGATCGTGCCGCTGCCATCTCGGTCGAGCTTCATGAAGCGCTTCTTGAGGCGCTGAATCTCGACGGCGGAGACTGGTCGGAGGAAAGGCGACGAGGAGGAGGTGGGGGAGGCGGAGGAGGGGAGCGAGGTCGTCGCGTTCAGGCGGCATTGATGAGGGAACGGCGCAGGATAGATGATGTCGCGGTGCGGATAGGCGGGCGAGGTACGGTGCAGGATCGGCGTGCGAGAGAGGCGTGGACAGGGAGGGAGGGGGGGGGGGGGGGGGGGGGGGGGATTGCTGTGGGGGGCGGGGGGGGGGAGACCAGGGGGAGGGGGACAAAGAGGGACGGAATGCGAGGACGAAGGTTTTTTCTCGGGCGGCGCGTGCGCGTTGGTCGATGGCCCAGTGTGATCTTGGCCCAG